GCCATTAAGGCCACTAACACTACCGCTTTAGGTGGTTTATGGAGTCAACTAAGATACAAAGCAAGGATAATTGGATAATGCTGATAATCTACTTTTATATCGTGTTTCCTTTCTACTGGTTATTTCTTATCTTACTGCATATTTTTTGTACTTTAATTTCATTCATATACATCACAAAAGAATTTTAATAATATTCAAAAAATATATAAATAAATAATGATGTGGGTTGACCGTTGATATAATATGAGGAGTTAATCGGGAGGGGGGGGGGAGGGTGCGGTACTAAATTAAAATATAGTAATTATTAAATAATTACTATATTTTAATTTAGTATTTATTTGACTGCACCCCCCCGATTAACTCCTTCCCATTTATAAATAAATAGATTTTTATGGAAATCGAGATGAGTATCGATTCCCATGTAATGAGTATGGAATGTAATGAAGCTTTATTCAAATGAAAAAAAATATTTTATTGTATGATTGTAAACAAACTAAATGTTTTTAATAACTTTTTTAACTCCCCGTCCCTCTAAAATTCGTTCCTAATGCTGTCCTCTTTAAGTTGCAATGTTTTAGAAATAATATTGAAATAATCAAAGATTTTGGAAATATGTGCAACAATTAAAGAATTTCTGGATTTATTATTTTTAAAATATTGTTTACAATATTACAATTGGTATAAAAAAAAAATGTCAATGGTGATCAAGGTTCACTTTGGAAATAAACGATTCAATTATTAGTGACCTAATGTTTTAAGCTTATTTTGTATATTAATATTATATATGTGTGTGTGTGTTTATTTATAAAACCCTCGATATATCATTTTTCAGTTATCAGATAATTATCTGAGGCCTAACCGCTCAATCTGCGGCCACTGACAAAAAACACAAGAGGCCGTTAGTGAGCGCTTAACCGACTCCCGAGAGCACACCGGGACCATTTGGTAATTCATCTGCTCTCCGTCGGTTGAGCGGCGGAAATCGGTTGGAATTCCAACGGTCTTTCCCTCCTCGGTGTCCTTTCAAATCCGATCCCGGGCTAAATGGTAGGATCCTCCGCAGAGGAGCAGGTAGCCTCTCTGCCAGGATAAAAGAGAAGGGAAAAAAAAGAAAGAACGCCCGCACAAGGTTTTGGACGTTGGAGCCGTTGAGCGGCGGTTGGTCCCTGCCTTCCAACACCTGCGCTGGTTGACCTGCGCACCCTTTGGGACATCCGCCCTTCACCTTTCTGTCGTGACAAAAGAAGTTTTACTTATCAAAATAATTTATATGAAAAATGAACTAAAATCCATAATTAAAACTAGTAAATCATGAATTATAAAAATCTATAAATTCATCTTTTAACAGGATTTACTTTTGTAAATCGCAGCTAGTTATACTGCTTATACCTCCTAATAAGTTAAATGTAAACCAGCATACACCAATGACACATGTTCATTCGTAGACATAATACTATTGTCAAGATAGTCTATTCAACACAAACAATTAGTAAATCCCCATACTTCAATAATTTACTTAATGTAGTAAAGATTTTGTAGTTCTCTCATTTACTAAGACCATAGAATTCAATTATTGAGTGTATAGAAGCCATGCATGTCAGTAGCCTTATTAAAAATATCAAAACGTTTCTTTTTGACATCGAAGAGCTACTCTCCTCCATTTTCCTTTTCAATAGATTTCTGATTCGTCGAAGACAATCATAAATTACAATGTTTTAATTTTTTAAACCTAAATATTTTATAAGTATTATTTAGCAACCATGACACCCACGAGATTTTCGGCAGGAATTACTGTTGACTCGAAAACGTATAGTTGCCATCTTAACACTAATCATTACATGAAATCATGTAACAGGCAGTTTATTTAATAACAAAAAAAATTACAATATATTATGACACAGACGACCATGGGCTAAAGCATACAGAAGGTGGGGGTATCGCAGGTAGCCACCCTTTGTGCCGCTCCAGGACACTAACGTACTGGAGCTGGAAGACGCTACACAAAGCCAAGGAGGCTAGGTTAGGGGCGCTCACCTGCCGGCATTCCGTAGTCGCCCACGCCCCTAGAACCTCCCGGGCAAGTTTTTTCTCGGAGGCGGTGGAGGTAGTTCGTCTGGTCGTGTCTAACCTGATTGGGAGGTGGCTGCTGAGGAGATCCGTACAGGCCACAAGGTGGCGGATTACAGTCGAAGGGGAATCCTCAAAGACAAGCAGACATTACTTGAAGTTACATTAAAAAAATGTAATTTTAGATTTTAATGTATTGAATAATCAGATGAAATAAGACAGGAGAGTTTATTCGGATTACAGGGTTAATCAGCTGTTTGATAATTTATCAGTCTAAGTAATTTTATATGGAGGGGTGACCATCCTCCTCAAGGACGATGGATTGTTCTGTTTCTAAGTGGTTAATTAAAATTAAAGGTTTTGTTCACAGTGAAACCGATTCCATGATAAATTAAACCTGTTTGGTGTTTTAGGATCCTCTTAAATTATTCATTTATAATTCATAAGAAAGATAAAATATATTTAGTGTGCAATCGAAGCCAAATGGTTACTTTACATTTTTTCTAATCATCCGGAAGTTCCTTCTTATTTGTAAATTGTGATCTCAGGATTTCGAAATTTCTACTGATTACCCTCACTTAACGGTATTTTTATCATTTCTTCTCTATTGTATGAAAAGGACATGTTGTCGACTTTATGAGAGTATTATTCCTCCGTTAAATTGTATGAGGGCCGAAGAGCACAAGACACACGGTTGCTCAACAAGTCCTTCACAACTAATTGAGCCCTCTTGCTAAATGGTTCTGTTTGCTGCTTGGCCCAGTTCGATATGCTCTAGGCGAGCGGTTGGCATAGTTTGTGCAGGATTGTTGCTATATTGAAACGGCCTTCGTATCTTTTTACTATTGTAATCTTTCAAAATGGCCAATGTCTAAAGATCAATATTACAAGAATATTTATTCCATATTTCTTTCACCTCCCATTTAGTCTAACTTACAGTTGTTTTCATTTTCATGTCTACAAAGGGAATATATAAGTTTATTTTTAACCACCCTTAACCATGAATTTCTCATTAATAAAATCCTCCACATATATTATTACAGTAAGGCTCAAAATCGGTTTTGTAGCAAATTTAAGCTCCTCTCATACTCAAATATCATGAATGGGGGGGAGGGGGTACCTTTGGATTCAGAATGACTTGAGGTCCCCATGATCGAGAGACGAGGAGTTTGTATTGTTTATCAAAGGTGTTTTTTTTTTCTGTAAGCCGTGTCATTCTTCATCAAATCCACAAAATCGAGTCACCAAATTTGAAGGTTTCCTTCTCTTTCAGGCGAAAAAAAAAATAGTCCCATTACCAAGAAAATTAAGGCAAAAAAAAGTTATGAAAGAAAAGAAACTTTATTACTTTATTTTCGAATAACCCAAAAATTAAACACTTTTCCCTTTAAAAGAAAAAAGAAATCATCGAAATCGGACAATTATTATCAAAAATACAGCTTATTGAAATTGGTTCCAAACATTAAAGAAGTTTTAAATTATTTTTTGTTTGCTTTGTATTTTGTGTTTGCTGAAAAAGTAACAATTGATTTATTTTATGATACGTTGCATTATTTCATTTTCATATTAATTTATTATTTGATCACTTATATATATCTATATATTAATAAGTATATATAGATGTACTGTACGAGTTTTCGCACGAGCATACTAGTAGTCTATAAATATCGTACTAAAACGCAAGTTGGTCAAGTTGAAATAAATTGATCACCTTGGTAGATAGATCTTTTCTATATTCACCTCGTCTGAAAAGGAGATGGCCTCGGGATCTTTTAACAGCCGTTAAGTGCTATAATTCATATTTAAAGTAGATTTTTTAATCAGTTTATGAAAGAAATGTACTGTGATCATCTCTTACAATTTTTTGTTATTAATTTATAATTAATTTATTATTCACTAATAGTTTACTAAAGACGCGCACACGCTCATAGCCGTCCTTGTAGTAAATTATTAATAGTTTATCGGTCGGTGGCTATCCCGTGCAGCCGTGTAACCTGAGTCATGTCTTAGGCTGGGCAATTGTCCCAATGTTGGGCAACCGTTAAAACACCTTTTCTTAGCACTCTACCTGCATTCTCAGCCTGCCCTTTTTAGTACTAACATTCTGCTGGATGCCTCGCATAGGCCGAAAAGTAGCTATTATTGTTTATCTAGTGGGAGAATAGTCAATTGAAAAAAAGAAAGAAATATATATTATTAAAGTTTCTGTCGCTGATAAAATAGAAAAATACTTCTATTCCAGTTTCTGGTGAATCCACTTAATTTAAAAATGAAACGACAAAAAATCTCCATTTCCTATTTTAAAAAAATTTACTTGACTAACGCTCTTCTGACGTTTGCAAGAATATCTTTTATACTGCCTTAACTCTTATTCAGCGATATAGAATTGTACATTGTAAGCTCTTTTAAACTGCATCCATTCCAATATTTATTTTATTTTGAAACCTATTCATGATAATCTTCTAAACCGTTTAAACATAAGATGGCCCCAGAATCATTTAATAATATAGAGTAGTTCTTCACTTTATAATGATTTTATATTATTAAACAAAATGTAGTTGCTAACTTAAAGATACGCTATAGTATTATTTTTATTCTAAACATAGAAAATTAATAAACATATTATCAGTATAGTTAAAATTTCATTTCGCGTTTTTTTTTATAAATGGTTTATTCATATTGGCCGTGGTGAAGGATTCCTCAACATAATAATAATGATTTCAATATTAGAAAAACGATTGTAGTTGTTTTTGTGGTCATTATGATTTTTTTTTTAAATATATCTGCTATTTTTTATTGCTTGCCAAATTTTGCTGTTACGAAGGAAAGAAATCCTAAAACTTAAATTTAGGATTTCACATCACACATTGGTGTGCTGTAGATTGAAATATTTGTATTAATTTCTTCTTAGAAAAATAGTAAGAAGGCAACATCTATCTCCTTGGCCATGGAGGATGATCGTGGAAGAAGCCTGTGGGCCACGAGAGGTCAGACGTCTCGGTTGGCCTCCGCGGCCAGCGGAAGAGAGCATCGGTGCTAAGATGGCGGAATGGGGATGTGGAACGACTCCCTCGCGAACGAGCCAGGCAATTTCTATAACCGTGACTTTGAGAGTCGACGACCCCGCTCCCCTCCATCTTTCTCTTCCCGACTTTCCAAGCCTTTCCTTTTACCATCGACGGGCGTCTCTGGTCTTTCATCTCCGAGGTGGACCTCGAGAGGTCTACGGTTAACTTTTGGTTGGAATTATAAAACTGTTCGGTGGCAATTGGAGATAATAGAATTGGCAAGTAATTCCTCTCCATGTTATGTGGCCTAATCCTCTTGGTTGTTCTAGTTATCTTCCATAATTATATTGCCATAAAATGGAAGCTATATAGTTTGAATTTATATTGTTTTGTAATTTGTTAAGAACCCTTGAGACACGTTTCCTTCAATTTCAATAACTCTAACTTGAACCTCTTTATTAATTGAGAAGATGTAAGAATTACATTATTTCTATTTTGGCTACTGATGTAACTGTCGCGAATGGGGAAACCAACCGGTGTGTGAATTCCTGGAATGGCAATAGGAAGCAGCCTAGGGCCGTATTACGCTACTATTTGTGCAACTCTACTGGTTTCTTTCATCTTACCCCGATTCGAATCGGTCTCCTTGCACACTGTTTTGCTAAGTCTAATTGGTTCTTGCCAACCCTTTCCAGCTCTAGTAAAAGAATAAGACCTTAAAAGATGGTCCGTTTCTCTCTAATAAGGACTTTACATTGCTTAGAGGATACTATTGAAATTGTCAATTCCATCATTGTGTATCATTACAGTCTTGATTCTGTGTTGAGAACAAATATGTTCAAGTATTGGTTCTTGTTCTTTTGATCCTTCGCTCATGAAGGCCATCAATCAGGTAGAATCCGACGGCGGGATATTGAAACGGTCCGCATTGGGACGTCGGACGGCCGGGTTTCATTAACATAGATTACAAAAGACGTGAAGCAACCCGGCCCCAGATATTGTGGCGCTAGTTACAGTAAGCAGTTGCGAGCAATTTAGCAATATCTTGACACAGTTCGCCACACCAACTCGGTTCTCTGCCATAACATCCATTTATAGCCTTATGGATTTTTATCTATAATAAGATTCCGTATCGGGATTAGAATATGACAAGACCAAAAAAGGAAAGAAAAATTAATTGTATTAATGTAAACGAGTAAAAACTCACCAAGAGAAAGAAAAATCGATGTTAGGTTATAACTAGAAAACTTCAACCACATGTCCTTCTGTATTTAAAATGCAAGTAAGTAATAAAATAGTCCTTCAATGTTTCGCGTATTCAGGCATTATCTGGACAGAAAAAAAACAAAGATGACATCCAATGGTTTGTCTTCTTTTCTGTTCTGATGATGCTGGAACTGGCTATACTTCAAAGGGTTAATTTTTTCTTTAACAGCAATTTATTGACACAAGGTTGTGTGGTTTTAATTTTCCTATTATAGTCAAATATTTTGATTGTAATTCGTTAAAATAAGACATTGAGATTATAGTCAGGAAAGAATCATTTCTTAAAATGTTATCCGAGATGAAGATTCCGCATTTTGGCTGGTTTAAAAATGTTCAACGAATGGAATGTTGGTTGCTCACATCTTGTCAGAAATTTCTTTTATTTTACCTTTATCTTTGTTAAAATTTGTATAATGTTCTTTTGTTAATCATTACTGATAAATACCTTAAACCAGCTATCAGAGTTAGCTGTATAACCAAATTGCTCAGTTACTTTGTCATGTTGACAAGAAAACAAAAGTATAATTACATTATTAAAATGCAACATACTGCCAATATTTTTGCAGTTGATAAAAATAAAAAAATACAATTAACTGATTTATTTTGACTGTATTCTAATAATAATTAAATATTAATTTAATAATTAAAATATTATTTCTTTATACTTATCTCCATGTTTCATTTCTGACATTTATTTATCAGTAATCATTCTTTAACTGCATCTATTTAACAAAAAAAAATTCTATTTTTTTGTGATCTACAAAAAATAAATAGCCATAATAAATAACCAATTAATATAAACAATGTCATTATGATATTAATAACGGTTGTGATAGCGAGGTCGTCGACCTGTGGCTCATCCAGAGCAAGTCACATAAGCCTGGTGTAGAAAGTGGTTGAGGTTTCGACAGAGCTGGAGGGGGTTTCCGCATTTCTCCATTCTCCGACGATTTGCCCAACTCTCATCTCGCCCCAGGCCGAACCGAAAATTATATAAATTCTTTCGACAGATCACACCAGCTAATCCTCCAGTTCCAAGCAAGCAGGGGAAAACCTTACGTAGAGATTTTTGGATTAAATAAAATAAATATACACTTGTTTTAGATTTTCTTGAATATTGGTATTCTCTAAGGGATGGCTTGGAAAGCAGTTATAATTACTCTTGACTGAACGACCCCGCCTTCTATCCTGCATTTGTGATAACTTAGGTTTCTCTTGTCGATATTAATTTTAAAGGACCTTTATTTATTTATTTATTTTTTGACACTGTTTAATACATGAAGTGAGACAACTAAACATATGTTTATACATATACGAGGAAATTTAGAAGAAAAAAAATGTTCAATTAAAAAAAAAGATGTAATAATCATAAGATGGAAACCTTATTTGTATGTTAGAATTTAGTGTGCTAGAGGTCAGGAGGTCTGTTAACACATTATTCTGCAATAAGTTTCTCGATTTGAACGTATTGAAGAGGTTTACAATACTTAGCAGTGGTTGCATGGATACTCCTATTCTGAAATGCAATTCAAACAACAAAATACCCAGCCATCCAGTTGCTTCTTTTTCTAAAAAAAAAAAAAAAAAAAAAGTTGCATCTGAAATGCTTTATTCATCAAAATACTTTTCATACTTTACAGAACAAATAAACCATCGGATTAGTGACCCGCATGTTATTTTATTCCCGAACGGAAGGTTCTCATTGTCTCGTTAACTCTCACATAGTTGACGCACTTTTAATACGGTGTCTGTGTTTAAAGTAAGCTTATATTACCTGAAAAGTAGAGCAGAAATATGCCTCACTTATTATTTCTAGATTAATTTCTTTCCTCGCCTTTTTTAAGTATCGTTCTAAAATCATCCTAGTGGATCTGTTTTATAAGTATTGCACCGAACGCATCCTAACTTTTCTTTTTAATTGGGTTTTTATAATATTAAGATTATGTCTGTTATTCCGGTGTCTGTTAACTATTTTTTTTTTCTTTTTGATCCCTGTTGTAGACAAGGTGTTGCGTGGTGTCACAACCGAGGTCGGTAGCCGGTAGCTGAGCTAGCTCGGAGGGTACATTGCACCCGAAACCATTAGGCAATAGACAAAACATTGTGGCTCCTTTCAATAGGCTTCTATCCCGCGTCCTGAGTTTCACTTTTGTTATTAATTTCTTTGTTTACCCTCGCTAGGTGAGAGTCCTGTATAATTTAGATAGGAGCTCCTTTGTGTTTCATATAATATGATGAAGAAAAGCTTCATCAAATATTTTATAGTGACAACTTAATATCTCAAAAGGAGGTAGGTGGACTGATTGGCAGGAAGGAGGTAGTGTTCTAATTCTTGAGAAAACCTTAAGAAATAATTTATTATAGTTTTTCCAACCCAAAGCAGTCATTTTTCACCTCCTGTTCGGAACGTATCTTTCCACGAAGAATCATATTTCTTGAGATTGATAGATCACTCACACATTTCTTGAGGTACTTCCGTTCATACTGTCTTATGACCTCGGTTTCTTGTTTTTTATGTACAGTAAGTAACGTATAAATTCCTTTTTTTAGTATAGAGTTTGTAAACTTCTGTTGTAAATAAATACGATTGTAATAAAAATGGGCACTGTATTATACTAACTCTTTCTACTAGCGTGTTTATATTGGTGTAACATGAGTTTCCTTAAATTGCACGGAGTAACATTTTTTTTTTTTTACTCCAGTCATCTGACAACAGGGGAGAACATTATTCAACCAACTGCGTATATGTTGTGTGTACTTTGTCGATAGCCTTCTACGTAATGAAAACTAGAGAAAGCCCAAGATGACAGTAATTAGAAAGTGGCAGGAAAAAAAAATGGTTACCAAAGCAGAGGTTAGAAGCGAGGGAGTACAACGCCCTGGGAAGTGAGACCGAATACCTTGCGCAAGGTAACTTTATAGTTGCAACTGCAAGCCGTTATATAAATATTAAGTGTAATTGTGAAGTAACCGCCTCCAGTGTGGAGAAATTGTACCTTTCTCTCCCTCTTTCACAGGCTGTTCGGTCGTCGACCTCTCCCTCCCCTTTGTAGATTTTATTCACCGTGGATAGCCTTCTTATTTGTTATACTTCCGGGAATTGCAGAAGCTATATTCCTTCCTGTATCTCAATGAAAAGTGGGAATACGTTCTCTTTTTTGTGAAAGATTGTCCAAGGATTATTAAATGTTCCTATTACTTTAACATAAATGTGCACCTCATGTCCGTACTTGATAACAAGGTTTACTTTCTACATTCCTGCAAATAAGATAGTAGAATTGTTTCTGAAGGATCCTTGATACAGGATGGTCTATTCGACTTGCTTCCTTTCCATTAATACAGTTCCCAAACACGCGGCTAGAAAGCTGACCCAGCAAGACGGACCGGTAGAGCAGACGGATGTGAAGCGGGAACGACACACATCCAGACAAAGAGTCGACACTCGGAGTGACCGATATGTGGGCCAGAGCTCTCCTCGAGAAACAGTTCCTGTAGGAGGTTCTACTTTCTCCCTTTGTGGCCCGCCTGTGGGATGTTCTCATCCGGGAAAGTACCCTACCTTCCCGTCCTTAATCGAGATAGCAATCAAAAGGCTCTGCTTTCTTCACACATTCATATACATACATTAGATACAGTAGTCTACTTACACGCTGTTTCTAAATTAATAATAATGACTCCAGTTGAATTGTATTATTTATAACAATCCAAGAACGGAAAGTATTTTCAATTATGTGATCTTTCATTGAAGGTTATAAAAGTAATCTTAGATCGTATGATGAGAAGCTGCATTTTAGAAACGTTTGTTCTTAATGCTCTGCTCTATGTTGTAGGTATATATAAAGATATGTTTTTTTAATATCTTATTCCCTCTAAGTCGGGAACTTTGTAATATGGGGATTGAGGATGTACTTTAACTATAAAATCAAATCAAAAGACTTACGAAACCGATTAAATCCAGATGCTTCTTAGCATCTGTTGATTCTACCAGACTAGTTAGAGGTTCAAAACTTAAACACGACGCGGATAGAAACTACCTCCAGGTACAATCGTGTTAAAAGTAAATCGTGAAGGGACCCTACTGAGGCTTGTTGGAAGTGGGAGGCAATAGGGCGAGTTCTGTTGTAAGGAGCTTCGTGACGACATTTGAGCCCAAACTTGAATAGAGCAACCAACCACTTTCGACACGTCCATTGTCTTTATGTAAGGAGGGAGCGGCGGCCAGCGACCTCATCCTCCCATCCTCAGCCGGAAGTGTATCATTGAGTCGACCCGCCGATGAGTTGGTCAACCATTTAAATTATTTCAGTAGGATATGTCGAAACATCGTCTTAGTCGGTACTGCATCCAACTTGCTGTCATATCTAACAGAGGAGTCTTCTCAACTGTATCACAATTAGCTAGAAGAATGAATGGATCAATTAAAGCTATTTAAAAAAAAAAAAACGTTATTTTTCACTTAATATAAGTAAAATGAAAATCATTCCAATTGTAATAATCCTACATCAATTAACTGAAAGAGAAATGGTCAATTTTTTAAAGAATAATTACTGTGTTCTGGTTATACCAATCATTTTAATATCTCATTGAATTTGTAATTATGTATATCCATTACGACATTTTATCTTTTATTTTTAGGACGGAACTGAAATTGGAGAGCCTGGAAGATGCGGTAGTGCTCGAGGATGGGGATGACGATGTCCTCCAAGACAAGAGGGGATGCCCCGCTTATGTAAGTCCTGAGATACTCAGGAGTCATGCGAGGTATTCCGGCAGAGCTGCTGACATGTGGTCCATGGGAGTCATTCTATACACTATGCTTGTTGGAAGGTAATTGATGTTTTATATTATTCTTTTATTTTATATTCTTGTTTTTTTTTTCTCTAATATTCCATTGTGTATACAAAAAAGCCTAATGTTCTGCCTCTTTTATTCCAGGTATCCATTCAACGATGCAGAACATGCAAATCTGTTTGTCAAGATAAGCAGAGGACACTTTGTAATTCCTGAATGTTTATCGTCAAGGGCAAAATGCCTTATTAGGAGCCTCCTGAGACGGGAGCCGCAAGAAAGGCTGACCGCATCAGACGTCCTTATTCACCCCTGGCTAGTTCAGGAAGAAAAACTTTGCCTCAATACATCTCATGACCAAGTCGTGCCAGATATGTAAAAAAAGAACTAACCGTCCGTGTTCCTCCCCTCCCAATCCGGGTCCCTAAATACTATTATTGTAAATCAGAACTATCTATTCTCGTCTTAAGATAAATTATTAGTCTTAGTTATTTTTGTGTATAGCAATGACTCCCACCTATGTACATTCATGTTATGAACTAAATGTATGTATGTACTTTGATGTCAGGCCTGGAGCCTAAAAAGAATATGTTTCATTGTAAATAGTACATAAGATATGAAATCTTAGTCTTTGTTGTTTCAGAATGTTTTAAAACTATTATGAAATTATGTGAAATTGATGTTTCATTACTGTAAAAAAGGAAAAAAATGTTGAAAATTAGATAATTTATTGATAGAAATGCCCTTGTGATCTATTTAAAATGAAGTACAGAAGACGAATGGGGTTTTCCTACCAATAATATGTGATTCCATATTCCTATATAAGACAAGGTATGTGGTTCGTATATGGTCGAGTTGTAGACTTTTATAAGACTGAAAATCTAAATGACACGCCCAAATCAGCAGAGACAGTTCTTAAATTATTCTAGTTATTAGAAATTTCATTAAATCTATGAAAATTTAAAAAAATATATTAATTACACTGGTACTGTGCCAAAATAAGTGATAATTTCGAACAAATCTCTGTTGTACTGGGTTGTGGTTTTACATAAGACCTTGGTTCGAAAGGATTGCCACACGACTGAATTGTAAATATATAAATAATTATATTATTACTGTAACTTTTTCTTGTTTTGTAAATATTTAACTATTGTGAATACTGCTCTGTTGCTAGTTTCGTGTTAGTTAAAATACATAAATTGTACTTAGAAGAGTTGTTTGTTTTTGAACCACATCTATCCTCTTCCTTCATACAAATAAAGTAGGCATAATTAACATTACTAATAAAAATTATTAAATAAATAATTAATTACATCATGATGAAAGGTAAAAAAGAAAACCAAAAACATTAAATAAATTTTTATTTTCAGAAATTAAACAGTAAAATCATAATCTAAAAATGAAACTTTGATCACACCATCCATGAGTATTTACAAATAAATTAAATAAAAACATCATGAGCATTATACACTTAAGAAGAAGGATAAAATATAAATTAATTTATATTATCTATTGCAATAAAACAAACAAGGAGGCAATTTTTCTGTGGAGCTCAAGTTAAATAGCCAAATTCTATAAGTTATTATACACAAACTGTAGGTATCTCACTTAGTACATTAATTTAAACATTTGATAATCATATCGAGGCAATGTACTACGTATTTAAAGAGTAAAAATTAATCTAATTAGCGGCAGCTCGGCGCTGAGGATTACTCTCATGGAATTTCTTCATTCTTGCTTCCAGCTCGGGCCTGAAGTGCCTTATGAGACCCTGCAAGTCAAAACCACAAATGAGTTTTAAATAAAACAAGTCAATTATAACTAAAATAATATAACCTTCTTTTGCCTTCGTAATAAATGATTTAGATTCTCAATATATAACAGGATAAGGGAAATGGTTAAAAATGAATTCACACAAAGTGATATTCAAACTAAATTTATAGCTTGTGTACAAAACTGTGAAAATTAAGAGAAGAATCCAAAGAAAATACATTAAAAGTCATGGAGTTTTATAAGCTAAAAAGAAACGCGGGACAGGAGTAGCTTAATCAGTAAGGAAGACACGTCCTGGGGTCATCTCCTGGGACACTTCCAGCTTCTACAAAGTGGTTACTCAGAATTGATGAAGGGGAAAACATGGTTGAGCATGACATATGTAAAAAACCTACTTGTATAACTACCGACCAAGAACCATTATTTCCAACAAAATACTGAACCTAAGACAGATTCAAGAAGAGACAAAAGTGAATTTTCTGTTAAGAAATAAAATAATTTTACATGATTTTGATAAATACAACAGATTAAACATACGATTTTCTCATTAAATTTTTATGATACACAATAATTGATAGTTATAAGAGTTGACAGAAAATGGTTCTATACTTTTATGTATTGTAACAATATATAAATCTCATGAGCTTCACTACAAAACAAGTTAATGAGTACAGTTGTTTTTTTTTACTTTCACTTACGTATATATGTAATATATAGTAAGTGTAAGTATTGCGATCGAGAAAATTTTTGAATCTGAGTTTTCGACGGATTTATACGTTTTGAGGTACCCTGAGTTGAAATGACCAAGTCCCGAAAAAGGGTCTGTGTGTTTGTATGTTAGCAGTCTAGCTCAAAAACGAAAAGTCCTAGGAAACTGATATCACGTATTTAAGATAGGTATATGCCTTAGTTGTGACGGCAACTTTTTCCTTAAAATTGGCTAACCGGAAGTGCCACTTTATACCAACGCTGAAACACATTTTCACAGTTTTCTCAAAAACGGCTCTAACGATTTTGATTAAACTCGGTGTATCATTGTATAATTAAGTGGTCTTTAATATAAATTAGGTCTTATCCCCATTGATGTCACTTTACAGGGCTTAAATGCCCAATGTTCATATACGTCTTCCTCTAAAGTACCTTTAATATGGTTTATTTTAAAAAGGTAAATATTTCGCATTATTCAGAGTTGCGAAAAAATGCTAAATATAACTTTTGAAAGAATTTGATAAGTTAATAAAGGAGAAAAAAAATAAAAATGCAGAAAAACGTAGCTATAGACTGTAGCGCCTAAACGAATGTACCTATTGCATTGAAACTTCGCTGAAGTCATTTTCTCGACACCCTTCAAATTTATCTATATAACATTCATCAGCAAAAAGAAGCTGAAAAAAAGTTACGAGGGATGGTAAAATTAAATTCTGAATAACTTAAAAAGTATACACTTTTTTGGGAATGTTGTATATGGTTTTCTAAAAGTTTATGGAATAGCCTAAAAAACAAATTGTTAAAATCGGACAATTAGGAGATAAGATATGGTGTCTAGTTTTTTTTTAATACATTCTGCTGCAATGGTTATATCCTTTGTTTCGGTTTTTGAATTTTGAATGTGTTAATAAGGTAATGCTAATTTTTTTTAAATGTATTTAAAATCCACCTAAGCAAGTTGATGGCATTGTTAAAAAAACTATTTCAGTGTACTTGTGTGAAAGCAGAAATAAAATATAAAATCATTTCATGGATGTATAAATCATGTGTTTATAATATTAAATACATTTACTGTAGTTTAGAAATTATTTATTAAATTTTAAATTGGTTCATAATCGTCTTATCTTTTTGGCTACATTCAAGGAATTGCTGTGTTATATATGTGTGCGATGTTATATTGCGTTTGAGAATTTAAAGAGAAAAAAGGAATTTTTTTTTATTTTGGGAAAGTGTTTATTATGCTACGTCTATTGTTTAATATGGTTTAGTGTTGATAATTTGTAAGAGTATTGTTATGAAGGGGGAGAAAAAAAAAAGAAAAATATAATATAAAATTAATGTCCGTATGGATTGATAAGTATGCTGTGTACGAAGCAACCCTATGTAGTAGGGCAGCATTACTTTTAATAAAGTATTTCTCTATAAATAATTAGGTATTAAAGTTAATTCCAAAATATTGTCATATAACTTTTTAGAAAACTAAATTAGTGAATAATTCGATAGATCTTCTCTTTGTGATATTCCACTACCATTTCATTGTACTTGTGTGAAAAAAGAAGTGAAATACAAAAATATTTCATAGATACGTTTATAACCCTAAATATATTTACTGTAGTTTAATAACTCTAGATCTCATAATATATTTAAATATTTAGATATCTATCGTCCGTTTATTCCGAAAAATCATCATGTAACCTTTTATAAAATTAAATTAGTGAATAGTTTGATAATTTTTCTTTTTGCGATATTCCAACAGAATCCACTTACAATTAGTGTGACAACTTTTGACCTGTCTATGACAGACACTGCAAATCTCTTAATTCCGTTTTAATAAACTTTGCAATGGAAAATAACAGTTTAATGACTTATAGTCGTACAATCCATAATAAATGGATCGAACAATCCATAATCAACGACTCGTACAATCCATAATCAACCGGTGATATAATAAATAGGACTTTTGTTATTTTAATAGCATTTGTGTTTTTTTAGCTTTAGCTCAGTTTAAAATGCAATTTAAAACATTTTATAATAGCCTAACATGGCCAGAAAATAATTTTTATTCAAAGTTCAAAGAGTAAGTGAAAGTTGTGTGTTGCACGCACCAGATTTTTTAATTTCTTTAAATTAATCAATCAGAAATTATTTCAGTGCCAATAAAGACAATTTATGTTGTTCTTTTATAATCTTATGCCAAATAAAAAAGTTTTTTGAAATGATCGTTTCTATTGTTTTGTGAATCAAAGAGTATATGTTGATATCATTATTTATACATACACTTGAGAAAATAATCTAATGTTAAGACCCTATCCTAGTGATGTGGAGGACCATCTGAGAGCACTCCAGTAGCATCACTGTTAAGTTTTTAAAAACCACTATCATGAGGCCATGATTATTGAGAGTGTTAAGGTGTAACCTTAACACTCTCAAGTTTAACAATTCCATTTTGAATTCTTTGGATGGAATTTATTTCCACGAAATGAATCTCGACCTTCCTATTCCAGAAGAGGTAGATTATCTATACGATAAATAGGTCATCAAAATAATTTGTTGTGACCAATCAGTTGTTATAACCACCGCAGCTGATAAAAATTATAAATTTATGATAATTAAAAAGTGATAAAAATTACATCGCTAAGGCTTTGAAAACCACATGTCCAGAAAATTTATCACAACAATCGATGTCTTCGACTATCCTGACTTATTTAAAAATATATCCTAACTATATTTTGAAGTTAATAATAATGAAAAATAAATTAATGTATGATATTCGAACATAATAAATGCTACCAGTTTCTCAAAACAAAAACAACTAATACACCTTCTACACTTTTAAAAACATATTTAAAATATACCATAGATGCATGATATGTAAAGATAATAATGAACGACTTGAGTAATGTAAAAGCCTAAAGTGGTTCCTGGTCCTAGCTCTGTCAATAAAATTGTTAGAGAACAGATTTAAAATTTTGAATATTCATTAAAAAGAGATCAACGATAATTAATTGATAAAGCACTGAATTTAACTAACCTGAACGGGCCAAGCAGCACCATCTCCCAGAGCACAAATGGTATGACCTTCAATTTGCTTGCTTAGTTCCCAAAGCATGTCAATTTCTGCGGGCTGGGCATTACCAGTCACAAACCTATAAACAAAAATACTTAAAATTAGTTTTTAATTTAAAATTTCTAGAAATAATGAACAAATCGCTGGAAGAAACTAATAAAAAAATAATCATTAATTAATGACTATAAAACCTAAAGCCAACTCTCTTAAAATTTGCTGAATTAAAGTCAAATCTTGGTTTAAATCATGGCTTGAAACTTAATTAAATTTTTTTCAGGTGTCCAGTAAAGTATATATTCAATGAGAAATATCTGAAAATACATTGAAAAAACAAGTATAGAAAAAAATCTGATGCAATGCACACATCATACAACTTTCACTCACCACCCTCTTCTGCAGCAGAAATAAGTATTTTCAGACAAAGGGAAGTGAAAGTAAAAATTATAGACAGTATAAAACATTATTTAAAACAATTTATTACCATATGTTTTTCATAGCCATTTATTATATTACATTTATTTTGTTTGACACAATTTTCTTTTACAACTGTATTTTTCAATTATTAATTTGATTATAATAAATAATTAAGTGCCACAAATATTTTTAGTCTTACAAGAGAGCCACTGATAAAGAAGGCCTCTATACTTATTCATATTTCATTGAGGGTATTTTTATTTGTTTATGTACCGGTATATATATATAAATTTTAATTTTTATATTGCTGTAATCTATACAATTAAAAATTAAATAATACAAACAGCAGCATATATGAAAACTGCATATGTTTATGTATATAATATTGTCAGAGTCCGTATTATATTAAGCCTCTGTTACGTATAGAATCCTGTTTGACTCTTTTGGCACGATCGTGTTTCTTTGTTTTGGTCCCTCTATTACAAATATTCTTCGTTACGATCTCTTATTTCTCCTTTGATTAATTATCAAATTCTTTAACATTTTATATTTAACTATTTTTTATATCAGAGTTAGTTGTGAAATGGTTATTTCAAATCAAAAAAACTAAAGTTAGTTTAGAAGAAGAAATATTGAAAATTAACCATTCAAGCACTATTAGAGAACATCAAAGAGAATAAAACCTCCATTATATTAAAAGCTGCTTAATTTTAGACTAATATAATGAATTTAATCAAAATCGTTAGAGCTATTTTAAAGTGGCACTTCCGATTAGTAGCCGATTTTGAGGAAAAAGTTGCTGTAACATCTCAGGTATATACAAACCTTAAATAAGCAATTTCACTTTCATTCAACTTTTCATTTTTGAGCTGGACTTTTCAAATAAATACACACAGACCATTTTGCAGGACTTGGTTATTTGAATTCAGGAGACATCAACATGTATTTCCATTGAAAACTCAGATTTGAAAATTTTCACGATAAAAATGCTTTCCCTTCCTCCCATATATTTCATATATAGTTAAATGAAATCAAAAATGGTATTTAAAAACTCAAAACTTGGGAGAAACAATAAAATATTCTTGTGAAATTTTTATGTATTAAATTATTTAGGAATAAAGATGATTAATTTTTTGCTTGTACAACTGATCATATATATTATATATTATCCTTGTCATTCTGCTTATTAAATTGAAAACATTGAAGATGAATTCTGGGTTGAAGATAAACTTTCACAAGCCGACTCTACACTATATCCATACTGATGTTTACATTTCAAGCAATTTGAAGTCCCTGCAGAAGTATTTGTATCACAATTATTGTTAATCTTAAATGATTTAGATATGGCCACTGTACGGAATTATTGATATGAAAGACTAAACTAAAGATTACCCAAAACAAAGCAATGATATGATAGGCTCAAATCAAAGTTAATCAACTACATGCTTGTCCAAACCTAAAGAGTTTAGCTCCAAAAGAACATAAAAATGCGATGAAAAATTAATTCAACAAGGTTAGACTAGGACACTTTTACTGAGGATCTGAACATAGATGGTATGTATAAAGGAGCTGTAGAGGAAGCATTCCTTGAGATTGAATCCAATGCAAAAAGCTTAGGTTAATTGTGAACGAAAGGAAAAACAAGTACATGGTTACTGTCCAGCGATCAGAACCCGAGGAGGGTGAAGTTCATCAGAGAAAGTGAATGAGTTTGCATACCTGAGGAAATAGATGGAAAATAACAATTACATTAAGGCCAAAGCAAAAGTCAAATCACAGGCACTACCAGATATTTTTACTTAAACTATGAAATGAGAAGTGAACTCATCACCAGCCACAGAACTGATCCTGTACAAGGTATTGATATACCCTGTCCCTCCACATATGGGTCTGATGACTGTCTTGGACGATGACCATGGCAAATATACATTCTTTACAAATATTCTAAAGGCTCGTCCTATACTGGTTCTATGGAGGGATCCAGGTCTGAAATGAGTGGCGGAGGAATGCTAATCAGGAATTGTAGAATTTGAGTAATGGGTCAGATGTAGCCAGAGTCATCAGCCTTGGGAGGCTGTGGTGGGCAGACCATGAGACTAGTATGGATTACTCAGCACTTCTAGAAAACATCTTGTAACTGAGATGCTCCATGGAACAAGACATAGTGGATGACTTACCTTGCGGCTAAAATGGTAGGATAGTGTGGGCTATAATGGAAAATTCCTTCTAGAACTCAGAACTGAAAAGCAGCTGGACAGACCGTGATGCTTGGCATAGACTAATCTAGGAGGCCACGACTAGCTAGCGAGTTGTAGTGCTAAGAAATTAACCGATCATAGTATTTTATTTTTATATGTCTATGCCTTAAGTACCTAAAATATTGTTTATTGATAATTACTTATAAGTTGGTTAATAAGGAGGAAAATAATCAATATGACTAGAGCTAAATGTGTTCTTTACCTTTCTGTGATTTTATACATCCAGTTGATACCCTCTCTGCATGGAGTGCACTGGCCGCACGATTCGTGCTTGTAGAACATTATCAGGCGACTGATGGCTTTAACAATATCGGTAGACTTGTCCATCACAATAATAGCTGCAGTTCCCAAGCTCGTCTGGCAAGCCAACAATCCATCAAAATCCATGATCGCATTATCACAAACCCTAAGGAGGAAAAACAAAAAGACGTTATAACCACAAAAATATAATTTAATTAAATTAATAACTATAGTAGTTAAATATTGCAATAAAACAAACTAACAATTTTAATATCCCCCCTCCCCCCCGTCAAATATTTCTAATAAAGTCAACAAACATAGTACTATCACTAAAATATTTTCATTTGCTTAGATAAAATTAAAAAGTAACACCATTAAAACAGAAACAATAAAAACAATAGATTTTGATATTCAAATATCTAAATTTCAGTTAAACGCATCGTTCCACTTTTTCTTTTGATGCCCTCTTCTTCTTTCCGTATCATATAGAGTTCAGTATGAGAACATTCTTGAACATCTATTATCTTTGAATACATACTGTGTATTAAATTAATAAAAAATACATTTAAAACAAACTGTGTTTTTGTCTTTGTAGTAGATTTTAAAACGTAGCGCTTTATTTACTCAAGAAGATATACTCAGCATACGGTAATTCAAGATTCGTGTGATTTTCTATGAACATAATTTCCGTGAATGTTAATTGTAATTCAATCAAATTCTATGAAGGATGACTACAAAATGAACTTTTTAACAACAAAACTTGAAGTGTGAGATGTCTTCTGAGTTTTGAAAAATATCGCAAACTTAAAGAAGAAACTAATGTCTTCTTGGTAAATTACAACGGGTATAGATTACAGAAGTTGTGACCTGCATTGATTTATAGTTTGTTCAAGAATACGTACTGCAGAATTATCAGTAAGGCATATCCGAGGGATCATTACAAAACTACAAGAAAATGTGCCATAAAGACAGCATGTGTGATATAATTAATTAAAATTTTCATATTTTAATAAAAAGAAGGTAAAGTTAATCACTCACTCTTTAGGAATAAGAGGGGTTGAAGAGCCGCCAGGTATAATAGCAAGAAGATTATCCCAGCCTCCTCGAACACCACCAGCATGCCTTTCAATCAATTCCCTCAGTGGAATGGACATTTCTTCCTCAACTGTGCAAGGAGTATTAACATGTCCAGAAATGTTGAATAGTTTTGTACCAGAATTACGAGGGCGGCCAAGGCCAGCAAACCATTTTCCACCCCTGCGAAGGATAGTCTGAAAAATAATTAAAAATTAATATACTTATTAAATTAATATATAATTATTAACTTAATAATCTATATTAGCACAACATTATTGTTTAATCATTTTTACTTAAAATAAGGTTTAGGTTAAGAAGTACCTAACATGGTTTGAACTACGGTCAAACCTCTCTATATAAAATATGATGGATCATATCCATCTGTATTATCTATATATCAAATATGAATACATATTTTCCACTCTTCCCTGACTTATGGGCAATTCGTGTTAACTCTAGCAGGATGTTTTGGATGACTACAGCAGGTCAAAACCCTTTACAACAAGCTTAACAGTTTACAATGTTTATAGAAAATTGTAATACTGCAATCATTTAATATTTTATTGTGAGAGGTGAAGTAAAGAAGTATATGCTACTGAAAATATTTCCAGCATTGTTCCAAGTGGAAATAACCTTAAATAACTTTATGAGAAGGAGTTGATCGGGGGGCAGGAGGGAGGAAGGAGGGGATGCGGTCAAATAAATAAATAAATTTTATTTGACCGCACCCCCCGATCAACTCCTCATATTATATCACGGTCAATCATCTCTAAATCATTATATAACTTCAGTTCAGATAACTTTAAATAATTATATAATAGTTGACGAATAATTCACATAGAATATTAGTCAGTGACAAAATGATAATATAATAATAATAATACTTTATTTATTCTGGGACAAGTCCCTTTAGAATAATACAGAAAGAAAGAAATGTGGGCTGAGGAGCCTTAGAGATACATAAACAAAAATACAGAGTAATTAAATAGTCATAATAAAAAAATATATATATGTAATTAACTACTAATTTTCATCAGTTAATAATAGAAAAATGAAAAAAATAATGAAGAACGATTTAATAATTTATATACATATTTACAGTAGTATCTATTTACAATTTTATGGAGACTGGACGGATAAGAAACAATTGAACAGGCAGGATTTAAGGTAGGAAGAGTATTGGATTGACGGATGTGGGAGGGATGGAGTTCCATAGGGATGAGGATTGGATAATAAACGATCTGTCGAAAGCAACGGCTCTTATGTATAAATCAGAAGACCGAGAACGAGTATTGCGGGAGCAAACAGAGGATTTGAATTGAAGGAGCTTGGAGATGTATGAAGGGCTGTGGGATTGGATGACTTGAAAGAGGAAGGATGCCAGAAAATACTTATGCTGGCAGGAAGGGTAAAGCCACTTCAACTTTACATAAAAAAGGAAAACAGAGGCGTCCCCTGGGATCCCTAAGATGAATTGTACAAAGCAGTTTATCGAACGTTTTAGTTTCACCTCGAGACCCTCAGAGACACCTCCATATACTGTACAGCAATAGTCAAATTAAGGAAGTGACTAGGAGCCTGCGGGTTTCAAGGAGAAATAGGTGATTTAGATGTTTTAAGATGGAAATGGTTTAGCAGGAGATATAGGATACATGTGTTGGATATTGAATAGTGTTTGATCATTCCAAGGTTTTTGATGGAGGGATAAAATTTTATGGGATTATCATGTAGGAACAGTTTTAAGGAGGTGATTGGAGCCTATTAAGATTGTCTTCGTCTTTTCCACATTCAACTTCAACTTGTTAGCTCTTGTCCTGAGGGTGGGGAGAGGAGAGGCTTTTAACTCGGCCATTATTCTCCTGCCCTCATCCCTGGTCTAGGAAAACCCTGTATCACTCGTTGAACCACCTTGATAAATGTTAAAAAGGATAAGGGAAAACGAATAGGTTGAATACTTCTATATGACAGCTCGATTACTTGGCCAGAAGCTGACAGGAGGATAATCTGTAGCAGGGATGAACCAGAAAAGAGAATAATACAAAAAAAACAACTGTCCCATATCAATCAGTTAGACAAAGATTTTATGAGCCTTGGTTGGGAGATTATACTATCATATCAGCATAGTAATACATAAATACACCCTTTCCTTCAGCTTAATATAATTTTCAATACTGCATAATGCATAATATGTAGATCTAAGTTTTAAATTAACAGACTAAATATCATCAAAACAATCTAAAGTCTTACATATGCACCTTCTCTTCCTTAACTGATGTAAATAAGGATTTAAAACTGAGTATGGAATAGCTAATAAATAGGATAGCAAGGTGGGAAAAACAAATCAACAAACATAAAATTATTGAGATTTTAAAATTATCTTTGGGATTATAAAGTCCTGTAATTATTAATGATAGAATGAGAAGAAATAAACTGAAGATAAATCCGGTCACATAAAATAATAAAACAGGAGTTTTAATAGTACTACTGACCGGTGAAACAGCTACAGTTTCAACATTTGTCACTGTAGTCGGGCAACCGAAGAGACCAACATCGGCTGGGAAAGGAGGCTTTAGCCTGGGCTTGCCCTGTTTTCCCTCCAGTGACTCAATCAGAGCAGTTTCCTCGCCACAGATATAGGCTCCAGCGCCTCTATGCATAAATACATCAAAATCGTAGCCAGAGCCACAGGCATTCTTTCCAATGAGCCCTGCCTGGTATGCCTAAAATTGTTGTAAAAGATTATATAAGTATAATCGATAGAAAAAAAACTGGTCAAAGAAAAATATAAAAAGTTTTCGTGGTAAGAAACAATTATTTATGATACTTTTTGTTTTTCCAATGAACTATATACCACATTAGAACAGAATTTATATTTCAACATCAGAAAATTTCAGAGATCAATCTGCAAACCTAATTCTTCAAAAACTTATGCCTTTTAATTTTCAACTACCAATACCTAGTTGTACAAGCAGGATCAATGTCCTAGATATTAAATGAATAGACTTTTTCTTGATCTCGAAATGAAATTTATAACCAATATTTCTTACCACTAGTTGATAAAGTTAGGTGCGGTAATTAATACCATTAAAATACAAATTTAAAAAAAATACATAAAACAAAAAAAAAATTATAGTTAGTGTTTCATTGCTTGAAAACTTGAAACACTGTTTATTTCTTAGGAATGAATCTGTTTAAAAAACAATTGACATTGATCAGGTTTTAGTTCTTTTTTATCATAAAAAAAAACAACAGAATATACTTTATAATGATTAATTAATGCTACATGAGATAAAAGCCAATTAAATAATACCCAAATATCTCATTTGTTATATACTTTTACAAAAATCAGTTATGTTCTACTCACTTCGGCTATGGCAACCTGCATATTAGAAGCTTCATTATAAAATTCACCACGGATATATATATATGCTGCTCTAGCTCCCATGGCCCGACCAGCAATAAGACATCCTTCGACCAATTTATGTGGATCATGCCTCATTATTTCTCTATCCTTGCAAGTACCAGGCTCACCCTCGTCAGCATTAACAACAAGGTATTTCGGCCTTAAATGGAAAATATAATGTTAAGTAAAATACATGACTGAAAATTATTAATGAGAGGAACTGCATTTGAAGAAAATTTTGTAGGATTTACTGTCTATATGACAACAGCAGCCAATTTGCTCTTACTAATAGTTAACATAAGCAACAGCTAGTATGATAATAAAATAAATAAATATTATGTAAATACTCAGCTTTCAAAGAAAAACCGAGTCGCTGCATGGTGTCAGAAATAAAAGGAACAAATGGATTAAATCTTAAACAATTAAAAATAAAGATGAACTATTATATCTTATTAAGTGAAGATTTCAAGAGTTTACTTTGTTAAATACATAGCATTTCCAAGTCAATTTCAACCTTTTCCAAGTCAAATTCAACCTTTTCCAAATCAAATTAAACTTTTTCCAAGTCAAATTCAACCTTTTCCATTTCAAATTCAACCCTTTTTTATTTATTTAATTATTTTTAATTTTTCGATGTGTGGGTCTGTTATTGTATGAATAGTTTTTGAAAATAACCTCCATTTTAAGATTACGTCACTGCGTTTCCACTTATTTAATTTTTTTTATTTATTCGATGTAAGTCTGCATTCTTATGTTTCCCGAGCCGTAAATTTTGAAAATGACCCCCTTTTTATGATTACGCCACTGCGTTTTACTTATTGAAGTTTTTCAAATTTATCCATTATAAAGGTCTACTTTTATGTTTCTTGAGCCGTAGATTTTGAAAATGGCCTCCATTTTAAAATTACGCCACTGCATTTCGACTTATTTAAGTTTTTTTTATTTATTCGATATAAGGGTGTATTCATATGTTTCCGGAGCAGTAGATTTTGAAAATGACCTCCATTTTATGATTACTCCTCTGCGTTTTAACTTATTCAAGTTTTCGAATTTACCCAATTTAAAGGTCTACTTTTATGTTTCCGGCGCCTTAGATTTTGAAAATTGCCTCCATTTTATGATAACATCATTGCGTTTTGACTAATTCAAGTTTTTTGAATTTATCCAATTTAAAGGTATACTTTTATGTTGCCGGGGCCGTAGTTTTTGAAAAGACTTACATTTTAAGAATACACATGAAAAAAAATTTGAAACACTTAAAGAAATCGAAACGTGGTGGACTATTCTTAAAATGGTGGTCGTTTTCAAAATCTACGGCTCCAGAAGCATAAAAGTAGACCTTTTAATTGGATAAATTTGAAAATTTTAAATAAGTCAAAACGCAGTGGCGTAATCATAAAATGGGTGCCATTTTCAAAATTTACGGCTCGGGAAACACAAGAATACACCCTTATATCGAATAAATCAAAAAAACTTAAATAAGTCAAAACGCAGTGACGTAATCTTAAAATAAAGGTTATTTTAAAAACTAGGTACAGGACAGCATAATACTAGTCCCTAATAAATCCGAATAGGTATAAGAAATCGATATCCGTAAGTGTAAATTCTACTTAGGAAAGCATAATAATAGAACTTCATATTGGAGGGGGGGGGAGATGGCCATTATTTTAAAATAATATATAAAATTTACAAAAAATTAATTAATTTGAAATGGAAACGGTTGAATTTGAATTGGAAAAGGTTTAATTTGAAATGGAAATGGTTGAATTTACTTGGAAAAAGTTTAATTTGATTTGGAAAAGGTTGAATTTGGTCCGGAAAAAGTTGAATTTGACTTGGAAAAAATTGAATATGACATACAAATATTACACTGAAAAAAATCTAAAATGTTAAAATAAGTGAATATGCAACTTTATTTTGTATTTTTCAAAAGCTATGCCTTCGATAATATAGTAAGTGGCCTTCATTTAGAAAAAAAAAGAAAATTGACAAAAATTCGAAAGTTGAATTTGAAATGGAAAAGGTTGAATTTGATTAGGAAAAGGTTGAAATTGACTTGGAAATGCTATATAATATAATCAATTGAAAAATATTTTAATTATATAATAAATAAATAAATACCTTCCATCAGAGGGCTTATTCATAAAACTCCATTTCATTCCAGAGGGGAAGCCTGCGCCTCCTCTGCCTCGCAGTCCTGAATTTTTAACCTCATCTATCAACAAAAAAATAAGTTAGGCATAGTTACGGTACTTGAAAAATCATCTATCAAAAGTACAACTTACTTATTATGAAGTCTGCTCCTTTATCGATAATTTCTTTGGTTTTATACCAATCACCTCTCTTCACAGCACCTTTAAGCCTCCAGTCATGGCGGCCATACAAATTTGTAAAAATTCTATCTTCATCAGCGAGAGGACCATATTTCTCCTGTCAATAGAGAAAATTACACAACTACATTGCTATTCAGAAAAATGAAAATAATAATAAATAAATTAAACCTATGATCTTTCAACGGTAGACTGTAGATTCTTATAAGAGAATTTGGTTGGGGATTGCAGTTAATAGAAGTACACAAAAATAAATTATATTTATTTTGTGCAATTCTCGACCAACTTCTCTTCTTTGGTCTAAAGATATTTTGTAAATTAATAATTAAATAAAGATATTGGTTAGATAGTTAAGTAGTATTTAAAATCACAATTATTAAGTAGTTTACAGAGGAAAATCCTATCTGAGAAACTGAAATATCAGAAGTATCTATATAAGGGTGACCTTGGAAACCCTGATTGATTCACTTTTAACAATTTGAATTCTAGAATAATTCAAACATTTAATTGTTTAGAAACCAACAGTCCAAATATTCTAAAAGAATATTATCCAACAAAATTCCCTATTCGAGGAATATTGATAGAAATAATTTCTCATGCATCATTTTTATCAAAAATGAAGTTTTAAAAAAATCATTTAATGGACTTAACATAAATAAATAAATATTATTTAAGAAAATAGTTTTTTTGTAACTTATTTTGACTAATTACAATCATTGACTGAATGAACAACTATTAATTTGAACTATAAGGTCTATCAAGGTAATTTTTTTGTTGTGTCCTTCAGTCACCATTCCTACCCCAGTTTCCAAATCCTGTTCTTCCAGCTGCTTGGCTTGCATAGCATCCTCTTGTGAAAAAGGAAAATCGTCACCTGAAAGTTTTAATCATCTTCAGGAGGATGACACAATCTGTTAATCCTTGATAAGCATATTGGAAGCTTGCTTCATCTAAAACAATCAACATTTATTTCTTCCAGGTTGTTGGATCTTGATTTAACACCCCAACGAAATACTAAACTTTCATTTTGTATTTTGAAAACAGATGATTAAAGTTGTATCCTTTAGAGGGCTGAGTTTCCTCTTTTTATTTTGAGTAATTGCAGGAAATGAAAGGTTGTAAGAACTGTTACCAGTGTTGGAAAATAAATTTATTTATTTGTTTACTTCATATTTAAAAGATGTTTGACTATTATTATGCTTTGTGAAATAATATTTATATTATTAAAAATAATAATATTCATGGATCAAGAATATTAGCAGGATAGCCAACCCTGAAGTAGTGGGAGGACTTGGTCCTATCAGAAGCAATAGGGCAACACATGAAAGGTTTCTTCCAGTAAATTTGGCATTCCTCACTGTGCCTAAAAATATAAGTGGACTCTTTCTTTAGTAAGGTACTGAACACTCGCTTGTTCAAAATTATTACTATCTCACAATCACTATGCCCAAATAAATTGGCAATTGGTGCCACACTTGTACCTTCTTCACAGCTACCCAAACTTTGCAAAAACACAAATATCTTTTTTTTTCTTCTTTTTCTCTCCTTCCTTGGCTTAATGGTAATACAGGATTTTTCGTGGGCCAGGGGAGATTAATTCCAGAGTTAAAAGCTCTGTGGCACTAAGATTCGAACTTGTAATTTTAGATTTACCAGGTTGTCAATCAATGGCTATTTGGCACAAACGGTAGTCCACTGGGTCATCCCGCCACCTTAATTATTAAACCATAAACAAGTGGGACAGCAATTGGGTGCCGTTTTAGTGAAAAACAGGAATGTCTAGAATTTTGTTAGATTTAAAAATAAAACTTAAAAACTGTCTGCCTGAATCTGGCATTATCCCTTAGGTGCAACACGTTGTGCCACCAATGAGTTTACTGATCCAGGAAGAAAATTTATCCTATGCTTCATGGACTGAACAGTAAGGATTTCATTAATGTTTTATCAGGTTCTTAGCCTTCTTCGTCTTCATTAATTATCTGTTATTCAAGTTTTATGCAAGCTGTTCAACATGATAGCACATTAAGCATTTTTCATAAGTACCATAAATACCCATATTATCTAAAATACTTAACAAAAATCTATGTAATTAAAATTAAAAAAAAATATTGCTTCCATGAAATAAAAATAGGTATTAAGCCAAGTGAGATTAATCCCAGCTTAGGATTATGTTAATTTTATCTGTAATAATAGTTACAAAAACTTTATAAAATAACCTTAAGTAACTACATAACCATTAACAATATAATGAAAATATGTATTGATAATTAAATATAGGTACATAAAGAACTAACCTTGGTTGGTGGTGGAGCAGTTTGTTGTTTTCTAACAAGAACATTCCCAAGAGGAACAGCTACTTGATCTAATTAAAATTATAATAATCAGAAAATTCATTTAGAAAAAAAAAAAAGAAAAGCAATCAACCTTAACATTCGACGGAATATGTACTCACTAAGATTAGGCTTGGTAAAAACTGCTCTGGTTAAAGTGCTTGCCATTGTCTTTTACTAGAGACAGTTTGAAAAAATAATCAACTGAACAATCTCGAATATCTTCAACATTCACAACTTTCAATGACCAGAACAGCTGTTCTTTTCATCAGCTACTGAAAATATTACCGATCTTAAAGCTTATAAATCGATATTATTAATTGATAGTTTTATAATTATATTAATATATAAAATTATTTAAATATATATGCGTATAATATGTGACTAGTAATGATCAATTAATATAATGTCTGTATCTTCGATAGGAACTTATTGAATCTTTGAAAAATCAATATACATTGGAAAAATATATCGTAATAAACTCTTCCGATACTTTTAATCGATAATAGCAATATCGATTTGTAGTAGTACAATCAAGATGTTAGCTCGAATAAGCGCCAAAGTACATAATTTTAAGTTCAAATAAACCATACTCCCACTGAATTCGTACCATCTGGAAATATATTTCGGGGAACAGTTTAAAATATTACTTTCTAGAGAGAAATTTTTCAATGCTGAGACCTGGACCACTCACTTTCATAGTTCCTAGTTGCTAAATGACATCTAAAAGGTTATCGAAAGTGTATTTAGGCAGGTTACTATAACCAAGGTCAATCCTCTCAAAATCATTTTTAGAATTTGAAGTCCTTATATTTTTTTTTCTAAGGATGTCAGCTGTATTACCGATTGTTTCTAGATTAACACCTAGGGTTGTTAGAGTTCTGGGTTGTAATCCTGGGAAAATGACTCTTCAAGGCACCAATACTTACATTATAGGAACTGGCAAAAAGTGAGGTTTTTAATGTTTCATGGTTGACGTTATTAGTTCAAACAATATTTTATGCCGATAATATAACTATATTTTCAGGCGAATATTATTGGATACTGGGGAGAAAGGGAAAAAGGATTATATAAAAAAATTGAAAGAATTTTTGCATCAAGAGTCAGTATCAATTGAACAGGTTATTATCACTCATTGGCATGGAGATCATATTGGTGGTCTAGAGGATGTTACCAGTATTATTGGTGATGGTAAAATCATTAGCTAACTTTGTTGTGACTGTCAAGTGTCACTGAATTATGAACAGAAAAATAACTGTATGTGTATGACATTTGGAAATATTCTATTGCTTTTTAAAAATACTATTTAATTAATTGTTTATTAGTAATCTCATATTTTATTTTTCTTAAATATTATGATATTGATTTGTTGCTTTTTTTGTTGAATTGCACAATGTAACATGTAATACAAATCAAATATTAGTACTAGATGCTTGATCAGAATATTATTCACAGAGGTGCCTAAAAGTTGTACCACTTAAAATTTTGATGGAACATGTTATAAGGTTATACATTTTGGAGTAGGCATATTTTTCCTGGATTGTAACTTCCAGCGAGACCATTCAAACAATGAGTCAGACCACAGCAAATGTAATTGTTAATAAATTACAATTTTTATAATTCTATTTCATTGATTTTAAGATGAAGATAGCAATCAAACTTCTTGGGAGAAAGAGTCAAGTGCTATTCTCCTTGGATAAAATGGTTTCTTCTGGTTTTCATCTCTTGGTTTGGTGATTTATAACAAATTATAGGTATCTTGTGCATTTTAATTTCTTGTTTGACATATTTCAAAGTAAAAACAAGAAAATCCTGGTAGGAAGACGGGACCTGACTTGACATGAGGAAGACCAAGACTAAGATGGGAAGAAACTGTCAACATGAATACCTACACTCTTGTTCAATTTATCATGTATTAGGTTTAAACGGATTTTTTTTTGTTGTCCCAAGCCATGACTTAAGACATTCATTGACTGTTAGCTTTCCTGATTAAGTGCTACTACCTTCCAATATTGGATATCAAGTGGGATCCTGGCATCAGTAGTCGCATTAAAAAAAAAAAACATAGAAGATAATATGAAGTTTTGCTAATGAGAATTTTATGTTCAAACGTGACCTTTAAAAATCTGTGTAACCTGTAAATAGTGTAATGTGTTAAGTGCAAAAATAATATTTTCAGAAAAAAACTAATAAAAGTTTGTAATTTTCATGTTCCAACCCCTGATTCGCAAAGGAATATTCATCTCTGTGATATCCAAATAAGTTAGCCCATTAGTCACAAAGAAAGGGACAAAAATTATCTTTCTGGTGATACCCATAAAATTCACAAAATAATATTGAACACACCAGTCACAGGTGCCACAGAAATAATGTAAAATATTTTTAAAGTGCCTTTAATCTTTTTTTTTTGTATTTCATGCAGAAGTATTATTTATGCATAGATATATGTATGTATATATTTCTTTCCCTTTGTGAAAAAGATCATTTACTTATATTCAAAATATTACTTACTGGGAATAGAATTTACAAGAGGTGCCCATCCCTGCCAAGGTCGATGGCGCAAGAACCTATTCTCCCTCTCCCGAGATATTTTATTGCTCATCTTTTTTAAAAACAGAGCAAGCGAAGGTAGAATTAAAAAAATCGGAGATCATATACAATTATACTTGCTGCGGTCTGTTCCATGTTTTCTCCTTGTTCCTTAGTATGGAACTTTCGTTCTAGAAATTCATAACCCCGCCAAAATGTGCCCCTTCTAAAATTAAAAACCCGTAAAATATGCCCCCTCAAAAATTTTCAAACTTGCGCCATCAAACCCTCTTCTGGGCATCCCTAGCATTTACAAATGTACAGAAGAGGGAGGAAAACAGTTTGTTTGACTCACTGTTTCATATATATATGTGTGTGTGTAGGGGCTGGGGTAGCCATGCAGGCTAAGGCGTTTGAAATAGATTATCAAAGTTAAGCAATGCCGAGTGTGGTTAGCACTTGGATGGATGGCCGCCCGATTTGGGTCGCTGCCCAAGCCACTCTGCCCGAGATCCCTCCTCCTGGGTATGTGAGGCCAGTCAGACAACTGGAGACAACTCACATCGACCGGGCGTAGGACTGATGACCCTATCACCGTATACTTAAACTGGGAATTTAGATGTGATCTAGGAGACCATATCTCGCAGTCAAAGATCTTAATGGTGTGTAGTGCCAACCGAAAAAAAATAAATATATATATATATGTGTGTGTATGTACATATAGGAAATGATCTCCACCTAAAAACATCTAAATTACTCCCGTCACCTATTTTCCCTTGAAATCCGTAGGCTCCTAGTTACTTCCTTAATTTTTCCCCATTTTGATTATTGCTGTACGGTATATAGGGGCGTCTCTGAGGATCTCGAGGCAAAATTAAAACGTTTGATAAATTGCTTTGTATGATTCATCTTTGGGATCCCAAGGGGCGCCTCTGTTTCCCATTTTTATGTAAAGTTAAAGTGGCTTTATCTTTCCTACCGTCGTAAGTATTTCCTGGCATCCTTCATCTTTCAAGTCATCTAATCCCACAGCCCTTCATACATCTTTGAGCTCATTTAATTCAAATCCTCTGTTTGTTCTCGGTCTTCTGGTTTATACATAAGGGTCCACCAAACTGCTGCTTTCTACAGATCGTTCATTATCCTGTCCTCAATTCTATGGAACTCCATCCCTTCCCACATCCGTCAGTCCAATACTCTTCCTACCTTAAATCCTGCCTGTTCAATTGTTTCTTATCCGTCCAGTCTCCATAAAATTGTAAATAGATACTACTGTAAATATGTATATAAATTATTAAATCGTTCTTCATTATTTTTTTCATTTTTCTATTATTAACTGATGAAAATTAGTAAGTAACTTACATATATATATTTTTTTATTATGACTATTTAATCACTCTATATTATTGTTTATGTATCTCTAAGGCTCCTTAGCCCATATTTTTGTCTTTCTGTATTATTCTAAAGGTTCTCGTTCCAGAATAAATAAAGCATTATTGTTATTATTATATATATACACACACGCACATAAACCTTCATTTATAGTTTGTTTTCTTGCCTGTAGATATTTCCTCCAATTAAAAATATTTTCCATTTTCTTTAGGTTTCTGTATTTATTAAATTTATTAACTATTTAGTAATATAAAGTACTATAGTTATATCTATTCTCTTTTAGGATTATTTGTTAATAAAAATTAATCCATAGTGGAGATAGCATGAGTTATTCGCCAATGACAATGAAGTTAAATCGTTTAATGTATGATCTTCTCTACCCCTTTCATACATATTATAACAGTTGTTAATGTTTAATAATAATTGAACTTGCCTCTGTATTGTAATCCAATCATATTAGTTTATAATTTTGTTCTTAAAAGCATGATTTTATCACAGTAATGTTTATAAACTTGCTTATGTTCGTAGGATCTATTGCTTGGAAATTTCCAAGAAGTGATATAAAAAATGAATCATATGATGGCATAACCATCCACAACCTACAAGATCAACAGGAACTATCTGTCGAAGGAGCATCACTTAGGTTGTTTGTAAACACTTTAGTTCCTGTATTAATCAGCTCGATATTTGTATATATAAATATTATAGATGTATTTGGTTTTATAGGATTATTTATACTCCTGGACACACGGCAGATCATGTGGTAGTGTATATGAAAGAAGAAAATGCACTGTTCAGTGGAGATTGCATATTAGGTGAAGGTACAGCTGTATTTGAAGATTTATATGATTATATGAAATCTCTGAGTATAATTTTAAATTTAAAACCAGATATTATCTATCCAGGGCATGGGCCAGTTTTGGAGGTAGGAATAGGTTGCTTGAAATAATTTTAAATAAAATATATATATAAATAATCAATACTAATAATACTTTATATTCTGGGACAGATCCTTTTAGAATAATATACAGAGATAGAAATGTGGGTTTTGTAGCCTCAGAGAATAATCACAAAAAACAAATAGATATAATAAATAAAAAAAGTATAAGTTATCTTCTCACTTAATCAATTAAGAAAGAAAAAAAATGAAATAAAAATATTTAAAACCAACTAATAATAATTTATATACTTATTTACAACTTTATGGTGACTGAATGGAAAAGAGGTGATTGAAAATGTTGTATTTAAAGGTGGGGAAGGTATTGGAGCAACAGATTCAGGGAGGGATAGAATTCGATAGAGATGAGGATCATGAAAGATCTGTCGAAAACAGCAGTTCAGTGGGCCCTTGTTTACAAATCTGAAGAACCGAAACGGGTTTTGCGGAAGTAGACAGACGATTTGAATTGAAGGACCTAAGATGTATAAAGGACAGCGGGATTGGATTACTTGGAAGAGGAAGGATGCTAGGAAGTTTTTACGACAGAGAATGCATAGCACTGCGCGTTGCCCAATCACTTGATAACCAAAGTTGTAAATGGAAAAATGTTACGAGTTCGCATTCCAATGCCGGAGGGTCTTTTAACTCTGGCATTAATCCTCCTCCCCCTCCCCCCCCCCCGATCACTTCCTGGCCCGTTAAAACACCGTATAGCCTTAAAGGCAAGGAAGGGGAGAACAAAAAAAATGGACTTTCCATAAAAGGGTTTATGTATATATATAAGTTTATATATACAACATCCCCATTAGATTTCATAAGGATTATATTATTACCTTCCATCATCTCTCTCTGGTTATTCTCCACGTTATTAAAAAAGTATTAATAAAAATCTATACAATTAAAACAAATTTTCTCTGTGAGTTGTGATCTGATTGTAGTGACCTAATTTTTGAAGAATAAGGCTACGCATAATTGAGTGCCAAAATGTAACATCCCTCTTATATTTTACTAATAATAATATAACCTCGGACGATCACTTTATACTGTTAGGATACTTCTTAAATAAATAAGAGGTTGTTAAATAATAATCAAAATTATAAGAATATTAATATAATAAACTGAAATTTAAAATTATTTAATCTCAGGTTTGGGTTACTGACAATCAGATCAAAACACTCAAACTATTATTATTTATACTGAAATTAAACACTGATTTTAAAATAAAGTCAAGTATGGATTGGCAAGCTAACTTTTTTTCTATATATACTGTTTCTTCCTTTGTTGCACTAATTTCATTTGTCTTCTAACATTTTCCTATGTTCTGCCAAACACATCTTCCAAAATGGTGACACTTTCTTCTACTCAACTCCAGCTCCCTGGGATATTCTCTCTCTTGTATTTCCAAACAACTAGTGACTGTCAAAAAATAACTTCCAAGATGGTAATACTATCCCTGGGTTTTACCCACTGGAGCCAGTATCCCTTTTTCCATCCTCTCTTCACCCCAGTCAAATACCAACTGCTTGCCAAAACAAAATCCTTTGTTCCATCCCCTCTTTGGGATTTTGATCATTAAAATCTTTTAATTTAACACAATTATTGAACATGATTATTTCTTTAATAAAAATTATTACAATATATATTAATTTTGTTCTTAATTTCAGACTCCAGTAGAAAAGATACAGTATTATATAAACCATAGAAATCTAAGAGAATCACAAATAAAAGATGTGCTTACTAGAAAAGAAGAACCTTTATCAGAGATGGACATAGTTAGAATTATATACAAGGTATTCCAGTTTTTTTTTTATTAAAGTCTACCTTTTTAGTGTTATACACAGTCCATTCTTGACTGACGATCACATCGATTTACAATTATTTAGGCTCACAACAAACAAACAAAATTAAAATGTTTATATTTGAGGGTTGGTAAAGTAATTTTCTGACGATTGGTAAAGAAAGTTTGCACGAATATAGTAATGATAATAGGATCCGTCTGATAAACTTTGCCATCTCGAAAAATCTGATAATTAAAAGTTTTACATTTAAAAATGCACATCACCATATTCGCAAACATGAAATCAAATTGTTCATTTCTTGAAACAACATAGTTAGAGCAAAGCAGTATAATTAATGAACGATATTAACACGGAATAGAATGTGGGTCGGATCATGAATTATTAATCACAAACTTCAACAAAAACTTAATATAAAAAAGAGAAAAGAAAACCGTATTGATATAGAGAATTTTAATTTGAAAAATTAAAAAATCCACCAATTCGAACTAGATGTTAAGAATAGGTTTGAAGCTTTAGAACCTTCTGGTGTGAGCCGCAATGATATAGAAAAGTTATGGGTAGGATCAGAGATAATATTAATGCGGTCGGTAACTGGTGTCTTGAGAAAAATGAAAATAAAAAGTACAAACCGTGATTCAATGAAGATTGTTTAAACATGTGTGATTAAAGAAAAGCTGTAAATAATCCTAGCGAAGACAATCTCGAATACTTCTGAACCTTAAAGAATGAAACAACTGAATTGCTCAAAAATAAAAAAATACAGTACATTAAAAATAAAATAATAGAAATAGAATAAAAAATAATGTAAGAGATATGTACAAAGGTATAAACAGATCTCGTAAATGTTTAGGGCCCACATCTCAAAATAGGGATGAAAATAACAATATTTTGATTGATCCAGTAGACATATTAAATAATTTTAGAACCACTTTGACAATATTTTAAATATGGGAAATAATTATTTGTCTTCCTTTTGAGTACCAGAGTGCTGAACCATTAATAGAAAAAGTGAGTAAAGAGGAAGTTGAAGTAGCTATCGGTAAATTAAAATCTTATAAAGCAGCGGGAACCGATAATATTTCTAATGAACTAATTAAGGATGTGAATAATCTGAAGTTTCTAAAATACATTTGTTAGTTAAAAAGATCTAAGTGAATAGAAAATTGTCTGAAGAATAGAAAGAATCTATTCTTATTCTGATTTATAATAAGGGTTCGAGGGTGGATTGTAATAACTATCTTTTCTAATCCGGTGTGTTATAAAATATTCACTTTAATCCTTACCAACCAAATCACAGGATACACCGAGTAAATTATCAGAGACTATCAATGCGGATTTAGACAGAACTGTTCAACTATTGATAAAATATTTCCTTCATGGCAAATATTAGAGAAAAATTAGAATACAATAGTGTTGTTCACCAGGTGTTTATCGATTTCAAAAAGGCATACAATTCTATTGACTGTCAGAAGTTGTATAATATTCTAATTGAATTAAAAAAATTAATAAATCAAGTTAGGATATGCTTGACGGAAACACTCAATTAGCTTAGAATCGTTAATTATTTATTTGAAAAGTTTGTGGTTCGTTCAGGTTTAAAACAAGGTGATTCTCTTTCACCTGTTCTGTTTAATTTGGCATTAAAACATACCATCAGAGAGGTAATGCATACCGAAAAAGGATTGGATCTGAGTACATCGTGCTAGGCTATGCAGAATTTTGTTCCTGTTAAGTGAAGAAACGGAAACTATAAAACTAAATACAACAACGTTAATGAAAGTCTGTAAAGAACTAGGCCACGAAATAATATGTTTAAGAAAAAATCTATGGTTAGGGGTGGTTAGGGTTATTATCGCAAAAACAGCGATAATACTGATGATATCGATATAAAAGGTAATATATTTGAACACGTAGAGAAGTTTAGGTATCTAGAGTCTAAAATAACTAGAAAAAACGAAATTGAAAAGGAGATTAAGATTATACTGAATGCAGGAAATGTTTTTTCTTGACAAAACTACTTAGCTTGTGCCTCCTGTCCCATAACTTAAAAACTAGAATCTATAAAATCATTATCCTTCCTACAGTTCTTTATGGATGCGAGACGTGGCCTCTTACATTAATGGATGGCCAACGTCTCAAGATTTTGAAAATACAGTATTGCGTAGAATATTCAGACCGAAGAAGGATGAGTTAACCAGAGAGTTTAGACTGTTACACTACACCGAATTGCATAACCTGTATCCGGTCATTATAATTGAGGTGATTACATTGTGGCGAATTAAATGGATTTGTAAAATTGTTGGACTTAGTAACAAAAGAATTCCTAAAAGATTAATATCCTGTGCCGACTGGTAAATATCTAAGACCAAAGGTGGGAAGATTGCATTCAGGCCGATCTGAAGAGACTAGGTTTGGATGGCGACTATTAGAGGAAGGTTTGCAATAAGTGATTGGTAGTGTTAACATCGAACCTTCGGATTCGCCAAGCCTTTAATTATTATTATATTTGATGATGGTATTCCTTTATTTTCAGCTTTAATTTAAAGTTGGATGGTCAGGTTATACAAGTTGTAGTTATCCTATTTATTTTTAATTTTATCAATTTTTTTTGGCTGTTAGTTTCATTTATAATTAATATGTTATTTTACAGGACACCCCAGAAAGTTTATACTTAGCAGCATCAAATAATGTAAATCAACACCTTCTTAAAATGGAAAAGGAAGGTATAGTACATAAAAAGGACAGTGGATGGGTACTGGCTTAATCTTGCCTCCTTGTATTTTCAGCCGTAAGTGTCAAATGTAATTTAGGATAGACTAATAGTGTTTGATCATTGAGAATCAAATAAATGGGGATGAGGCTGTTGATAAAAGATTCTTAGATGACCTACAGATGTTTAGTCAGTTGACATTGACATTTAAGTGTACGTGATCATGCAATGAAACAGCCCAGGGAAGATAATTGTACTTAGATCTATGTTCAGAGAGCAAAATGTTATGTAACTTTTTTCCAAAAAAAAAAATATATTTGACGTTATGGAGTCATTTATTGGTATTTAGGTTACAAATTTTAAATAAGTTGGAAATGTCATGCTGGCAAAATGTTATAAAACATCACAACTTTCACTTACCACCCTAAAGCAAAAATAAGTATTTCCAATAAATAGTAAAAGTAAACATTCCAGATGGTACAAAATATTATTTGAAACAATCAAGTACCATGTTTTTCACAGCTGTATAATGTATTATATTTATATTTTTTTTTGTCACTAACCAGTTCCTTTTACAACTGTATATTTTATTTATGTGATTATAATAAATAATTAAGTGCCAAAAAATATTTTTAGTCCGACAAGAATGCCACTGAAAAAGAAGGCCGCTATGTTTATTTATATTTTAGTGTAGGTATTTTTATTTGTTAAAGCATTGGTATATATACAAATATTAATTTTTATATTGCTGTAATCTATACCAGTAAATATTAAGTAATATTTACCAATGCTAGCATTTATGAAAACTGCACATGTATATGTAATAATAATGTTATCAGAGCCCGTACTTTATCAAGCATATGTTACGTACAGAAGCCTATTCTAACTTTAAGGCCAAGCTTGGGTGTATGCTCTGGTTTCTTTTGTTCTAAATTACAATCCCTTATTTCTCCTTTAGTTAATTATCTAATTCTTTCATATTTTATATTTGAGCCGTTTATTTTAAAAGTGGCCGAAGTCCTTTTGTCAATTATTTCCAGTTGATCGTGGTCATATGGACAACTTCAAGTTATCTATCAATAAAGCATTTGGTATTACATTATATCATGAGAAAATACGATAATTTTGGACACCTGAGTTTTCAGAGTTAGTTCAATAATTGATCCGTTTACTTTGAAAGTGGCTTAAGTCCATTTATACTTATATTGAAATATTTATTATTAATAATGTCCTTAGATAGCGACAAAGATAATTTTGATTAATTACTATTTAACAAGTTTACCTCACTTTTTGGACAATTGTTATAGTTGAATAATCAGTATGTTTAATTAATACAGTTAAAAATAAAATGCGCTATATACATACTTACGGTTAAAATGTAAACATGTATATGCATAAATTTAATATAAAACTTAAAATTTTAGAAACTATTTCACCCATGGGGAAGAACAAATTGACAAGACCATTTATTTTAGATAGTGAAGAAGAATTTGTAACTAATGATTTTAAGAAAATCGAAAAAGAAAGAGAATTATAGAACAATATTTTTCATCAGGATAAAAACTAAAGATACAGATAACAATGAAGTAAAGATAGATGAAACATATTTTACAAGTTCCATGTTCAATGGAACATGTTTTCCAAAATTACATTGCCATTGTCAAAAAACTTGCATTAAAAATTACGAAGAAGAAAAAAAAGGATATGTTTGAGAAGTTTTGGTATTCCGGAGATTTTAATAGACACAATGGACTGCTTCTCGAAGCTATAGAGTGCAAAACTGTGAAACAAAGACGTAAAAAAAAAAAATGAAAAAGGTTCGCCAAGAAATTAGAATTTTAGGTATTTGTTGAATTCTAAAAGCAGATTATTATTTCACTTTTTTGTTCGACTTACAAACAGCACAATGTCAAACATGAAATTATGAATGAATTAGATATAAGAGACATGGTAGGTGTTTTCGAACAGACAGTGCATAGAACGTTGTCTGTCGTGTCATGCGATTTACGGATCCAATGTAACCACAGCCTTAGAGAACATCAATGAGAATAAGACCTACATTATATTAAAAATCACTTAATTTTATTCTAATATAATGAATTTAATCGAAATCATTGAGTCGTTTTTGAGAAAATTGTAAAAGTGGCACTTCCAGTTGGTCAATTTTGAAGAAAAAGTTGCTGTAACATCCCAAGCATACACAAACCTCAAATACGCAATTTCAGTTTCGTATGACTTTTCGTTTTTGAGCTAGACTGTTCACACACACAAACCATATTGCAAGACTTGGTTATTTGGACTAAGGGTACCACAAAACATGTATTTCTGTTGAAAACTAAGATTTGAAAATTTTTCACAACCACAATACGATTGTTTTCCACTTGAATCTTAAGGTAATATGGTCACATAAGCGAGAAAAATGTGTCCTACAAAAATATTGGGCCATTTGGTTTGACCTCCAATCCCAATATTTTAATATAACAAAGTTATATAGGCCTAACAGCTCAATATTTTTTTAGGCTGTTTTTTTTTGTGATCATATTATATTACATTTCAAATAGAAAGCAAATTGTTATTCGTGAGTATTTTGTACACCCCATTTCTGAGAAGTTTTGCTGACAAAAAAAGTTGTAGGGTACTACAAGATGAAGCCATTCACGAATTTTAAGATGTTCGTTAATAATTTTATAAAAAATTGTCTGTACCGCACACTAATAAAAAACTTGAAATTTTTTTCCCAGTTTTCAAAATGAAAATGATGACTGTGATTATATTTTCTTAACATAGGTTTTAATATGACTAATAACATACAAGTTAAAAGAGCACTACAGCCATGTCTTCTCCATAGGTACATGGTATTCAATATTTTTCTTTTAAAAAAACAAACAAAAAAAATTGAGAATTAATTTTGAAAATGTACTAAATTATTTATAAAATGCCCCTTAGAGCACTTAATCATTCTGATGCACTAATTCCTCAGAGTCACAGGACTAAGGTTTATAAATAAAATTTTACATAATAAATATCATTGGTTTATTTATAAATGGGCTTGTGACAAGATTGAAAAAATTATTGTAATTAAGAAATATTTCTTATAACAGCAATGGTCAAATTTAGTATTTGGTTGTTCTTAACAATAAATGAATTGCAGTAAACAATATGATTTAAAATATATATATTTATATATATTATGGTACTAAATATGAACAACACTTTTTTATTTTATAATCTAGTCTGATTCACAGAGTGGTAAAATGACAAATGTGGCAGTGTTAATATATTTCTATAAACTGTGAATCAGTTCATAATAAACTATTTATTTATGACTTAATTTTTCTTCTTTTCTGAAATCAAATTCATTTTTTATGGAGAATAGTCTCAGAAATGCAATAATAAAATTTTAACAAAAATATACTTTTAACTAAACTTTAAATATTTAACAGGTTTCAATAAGATTGCAGAAGAGAGTTCTATGGATGGTTCCATAAAGTGATTTTGTTTTCTATAAGAACATTTATAGAGGTAGTGTTTAATTACCTCTTTTGTATTTGCCATTTGACTTTTCAAATCTCTACTTTTGTTTTGTATTATACGCATCATGCTTTCAGACTTAAATTTTATTTAACAGTTTATAAAAATTTAAGACTTTTAAAAAGTCTTTAACTTAATATCATCACTGTCACAGGTTTGCATTACAAAAAATATAGTTGCAACAAAATTGTTGTAACGTAAGAATTAAACTTATAACTGAATTGTTTGGTCAATATGGGTTGTCCATTTAGTTAAATATTTTCTGTCTATATGAAATTATTTTTTATCTGAAATCAAATTATAAACAATGATAATGTTTGAAATATAACATTTCTTTATGAGTCAAATTTTTCTATTAGTAATCAGCTTTGTATAGACCATCATAACACTTACAGTTACTAAAAAATTCCAGAATTTTTATTAAATGTTACATTATATGTTTTGATTTAGGAACTTACAATTTTCATACAATGATTTACCCATTTATCATCTTTGAAACATGGCAATGGTATAAATAGCTATTTTATGACCATGTTATTTTAAATCTATGCTTCATTTATTATTAATAATTCAGTTTGTTCTTAACATTAAACCAATATACCAAAAAAATGCATAAATAAAATACAAAATTATATTCATTTTTAAAAACTGTACATTCAAAAATAAAAAATAAAATTATACTAGGAACCTGTATTTATCGAAGAAACAAGTTAAATAGTAAAAAACAAAATACATTTTTAATAGATGATACAAATTATAAATATATTTATTTAAAATTCAATCCTATAGGTTATCTTCTATGTCTTGGTGGCATCTGTGGTGGAGGCATAATATCACTATCAGTTTTATACCTTGAAGTAGCGATGAACTCGAGTAAATAATGTTTTGTTACTGGGTTTTTAATTGAGTTGAAAACAGCTAAAAATTGAATCATATCAGTAAAAGTTTCTAAAGCCATTTCATAAAAATTTTAAGAGATATAAAGGGCAAGTTCCTAAACTTAGCACTGAGCTCATTGATTGAGGGATCCGATGCCATCGATGAGCTCAGAACTGAGCTTAGGAATTTGCTGATACTTACATCGTGCTGTCTTATAACTATTTGGAAAAGATTTATCAGTCCTTTCTCTCATAAATATCCAGGTATTGTTCTCGAACCTACATTCTATAATTTTTCCATCATATTTTTCTAATTCTTTCGTATACTTCATTCTTGCAAAGGATGGATCGAAACCTCCAACGTAAAGAAATCCAACCTTCTTAGTTAATAGCCTGAAAAAAATACAAATGCTAAACAACAGTGTATTAAAATGATAAGTCAATCATAGGTTAATTGAAAATAAGAGAGAGAATTAAATACTTTATTTGTAAGCAGTGATTCCTTATTACTTAATAGGGTGGCTGAATAATGCACAGCATACTAATCAATATGTATACAACATAAATAAAATTTTCTTTTTTCTATTTTCACATCCAAATATATCAGACTTCAAGCATAGTTTTGTAATTAAACAATGTGTTTTTCTACCTATTAATTGTTATAGAATCCCACATTTCTCTTTTCCATATAGCTGCATATATATCCCACATATATATAGAATCCCACATTTCTCTTTTCCATATAACTGCATGTAACATATATATATATATATATATATATATATATATATATATATATAAAGAGCTGTCAGATGTTTGATGTGTATATATATATATATATATATATATATATATATATATATATATATATATATATATATATATATATATATATATGTTATATACATCAAACATCTGACAGCTCTTTATATATATATATATATATACATCAAACATCTGACAGCTCTTTATATATATATATATATATAACACGTACAATTTATATAAGCATGTGCCACTTGGACAAGGAAATCAACCCAGCCGGAGATCTGGTACCTGTCCTGAGTCCCTGTCGGCGAACATTAGAGGCGATCAAGGGGTGCTGCGGGTGGCACATATAAGTACCAAATCTTCAACTGCTCACATCAATGAAGTGAGATTGATTTTTCAGCAGGTCGAGTTGGATGTTTTGGCCGTTAGTGAATCATGGCTTGTTCCAACATTATCCTCTCATAGTGTCGGTATCAATGGCTACAAACTCTACACGAACAATAGGGTCGGAACGTCTCGAGGAGGGGTTGCGTTGTATGTAACTGATGAGTACCCAGATGCAGAGCTCGAGGCTTTGAGGTATGTAGAAAACCACCCAGAGTATCTGTTTCTTGAGGTTCGGACGCCTGGTGAGTTTATTTGTATTGGGATGGTCTACCATTCCCCAAAATGTGGATACTTCACTGACATCAAGGATTTTATCATATCATACTTCTCGGGGATTTAAATACCGACCCCCGATTGTATGTAAAGGTGAAAATATATACTAAGAAGATAACTGAGCTCTTCGATAAGCATGCAGCTCTTAGAACATATCAACGGCGTAGAACGAATCACGCATCACTACAGCAGTATAAGTTCCCTGAAGCTTGGAGATGATCAATGAAGCTTCAGATTACCTGCCGATCGTTCTATAGCCCATAGTGTCAAAAATACTGGAAAGGATAGTCAAAAGAGACCTGAGAAGATTTTTGAAAGACAATACTCTCTCCGTTCCAGTCAGGATTTAGACAAGGGGCGAAGCACATGCATTGCACTCCATACAGTTCTGACTGAAGTGCGTAGAGTGATGGACGAACAAATGGTTACCATGTTTGTATCACTCGACCTCACCAGGGCGTTCGACCCTGTCAAGCACGAAATGTTGCTTAGGAAATTCAGTGGTTTCGGGGTAGGTGAGCAGGAATTGGAATGGCTTAGATCATATTTGATTGGAATGGACCCATCAGGTGAGAGCTCAAAATGATTGCTCGGGATGGCAGGAATGCGGCTTGGGTGTCCTCTAGGCCTCTTTACTTGGACCGCTATTGTTCTTCAGGTACATTAACAATGTTGTTGTCGGGACTCATAGATATAGTACAATCCATACATTTGTGGATGATATAGTTATCTGGGCTTCATCATTGCCAGAACAAATTTCAGAGACTATGCAGCGGGTTTGTGGCCATTTTTAACTAATACTCTTAAGGCCTAATACATTAAATGTATCAAACTTTCTTATAACCACAATAAAACATTAAATTTCCTAATAAAGATATTTCTGTTCCAGGTTCTATTACAACGTGGCTGTATCCAAGATAAATCCTTTTTACCTAACTAAAATAAGTTAGCTAATATGAGATAGTGTTAAATTCAATGAATCTGGCATATGTCGATAACAACATGGCAATAACACATTATTATAACGGAAAATATAAATAAAACATAAAGAGGATATTTAAAATGTATTATTATTGTTTCATATAGTAGATACTACATGTGTATATTGTATACAATAAACACACTTAAAATTTTGAAAATGAAGTAAAAAAAATCACTGATTTCAAAGCAATTTTTATCTTTTCAATTTTATATGCAATCTTCCTTGAAAATAATTTTGAAGAATTATTAGGAGTCACATGCCTAAAGGTAATGGGAGACTTAGACCTATAGCAAGCGACTACATTCATTCTTGGCTTGAAATAGGTTCAATAATCCAAATGGTCAATGTTCAAGTTGATTTGTTGGAGTTGATGGTAAAATCAAAGATATCTTTGAATAAGTATTGGGGAGTTACAGAAAAGCTAAATGTATCAAATGCATACAATTGAAAATATAATACTGAGAAATATTGTGTAACACATTATAATAAGTAAATATTACTAAAAGAGGAAAAAGCTTAATGACTTTAGTGGGGAAATAAAATCCCAGAATTCCAGCTAGAATAGAGGATAAAAACACATTCTGAGTGTTAAAGTTAAAAACAAACCATTGTTATTAAACTATTATTCAGGCAGTTCTTAGAAGTGTAATAAATCATTATCATGATAAAATTGCAATATAAACAAACATGAAAGGCTGAGAGGCCTTATCTTTTAATGTTCAGATGATTAAAGTAATATTATGTCTTTCAAGTTTGTCATAACCAAATTATTTCTAACCAGGGGCCCAGAAGTAATCCGCGTATCATTAAAAACAAAGGTGTCTGAGGAAAACCAATGTATTTTTCTATGGGATTCAATTTTCGTTTACTTTAACAAGGAGTTTATTTTATCCGAGTTCCTAATAAACTGTATTTATTATGTGCATTCTAAGCAAAATGAAATACCTTAAGATGTAAATCATGACTTGCTTAATTATTTAAGTTATAGCATTACAAATTATATATCATAAACTAAATTTAGCATATTGGAATAAAAACTAGAAAAATAATGTGACTACTTTATACTAATATTAAAGGTAATAACTTTTGTTTTATTTTTTATTAGGTGTTCTTAATATTGATTTCACTGCTATGATCATTAGCGACAGTTTTCTTCTTAAATATAATTTATTATATTGTACTTCAATGTTTTTTTCGATTCCATTGTTTTCTTTGTATGGAATTATGTCTCCAATTTTTATTGTAGTGAGTTATAAACAAAATCATTATTAAGCTTTGAATACGTAACAAATTTAATTATAATAAATGAAGTTTCCTTAATTCTTACCCCATGCCTTCTTCTTTTTGGATTTTCAACCTGAAGTCAACTGAATTATGAGATGGAGGTTTCCATTTCAACACCTCCGGACACTGTCCAGCCATATAAGGCTTAAAAAAAAAAAATTAAAAATTATCTTCAAACAATTTAACTAGATTGAAATAAGTACATGATTCATAGATTTACATATGATGTACAAACTATGTAAGGTTGAAAAATAACTTACCTCTGCGGAAGGTTGGAAGATCAAGCCGTCAGGTTCATGAGTTAATTGGCGAGCAAATTTTTCATCTAGAAACTTATGAGCCATTCCACAAGGAAGAAATTGTTTAGCACGTATACTGAACGGTTCAGTTTCTCTGACAATTTTACCTATTTCCATAGCCTGTTGCCTTGGTTTAATTATGTCAGTCTTAAAATAATTAAATAACATTATAGGATTAATAAGCATTATTAATAGAATTTAAAATAATTTTCAATAAAGTAGACTTACTTCTATCGTCTTCATACGTTCAGGACTAAATCGAAGTTCGGAAACATATATACCACTCACACTTATTATATCATATACCAGATATCTAGGAATATTTTGTCCTTCATGTTTGTCCATTACCATTTCCTGCAATCCAAAATGTACTTTTAGAGTTTTTAAATTAATTGGTTTCAGAGAACGAGAAAAGTAATAAAATAAAATAACTAACAGAATAGTTTAAATCAAATTTTAGTTATTTATATACCCGTGTAACCAATTTTGAATACAATAATTACAATTATCTTCAAATAAAAGTATACATTAACAATAAATAGGGTTATATAATGCATTAATCAAATACATACATCTTAAGTAATTTTATTTATTACTTTACATGAAATTTAATAACAAAATAGAGATAAAGCAAAGACCAAGTGATAATGAATTAAGTAAACCAAATATACTTCAATATGAATTTTATTTTATATATATAAAGACACACAAAAAATCAGGACACATTATAATAGAAAATAATGAATATGATGAATTACTAGCAATGTTAAATATATGAAAAATTGTCAGGATCCTGAAGATGAGATAAACCTAAAATGTTGATTGTTGAACACAATAAACAATTAATAATATAATAATGGATTGATAGTTGACAATAGTGAAAATTGAAGAGAAGTTGGTTGGGAAGTCAATAATAAAAACCATTTATTCATTTTTACTGAACACCCAACCTAACTTCTCTTCAATTAATAATATAAAGGACAGAATGCAAAATAAACAAATTAAGGTGTCAGTCAGGAGAAAAGTAATAGGTGCTATTGGTCTCTAAAGAATATTTTTCTGAACAACAAGAAAGGATCTAACAAGAGCCCTGGCGGTACAAACCAATCTTTAGGACTGTGGTCCTGTATGGAAATGAAACATGGACCCTAACAGCAAAAAAAATTAATGACTGCTCTGAACACGCAGGAAATAATGATTCTGCACAGGGTGTATGGCCCAACACGAGAAGGAGACCAGTGGAAGATGCGAACAAATCAGGAGTTGAAGTACTTAAATGGCTCAGCATTAAAAAAGGTAGGTTAAGATGGGTGGGTCATGTGCACAGAATGAAAGAAAAAAAGAATCCCCAAGATTATTATGGTGGGACATCCAGGAGAAAGCAGAAAGAGGGAAAGGCCAAGGTTACGCTGGCTGGAAGATGTGGAAGTGGACCAGAGGATGCTTGGAGTGAGGAATTGGAGAAGGATGGCCGAGGACAGAATGAAGTGGAGGAGGCCAGGGTTCTCCACAGACCATAGTGCCATCAGAGATAGATAGATAGGCCTCAATAGCCTTAACCATTTTATATTAACATTAAGGTATTCACGGGTGATAAATATTCAGGACCCAAACACCCTGATGATGACCCGCATGTTTGGGTTGAAACGTCAGCACTAATAAAAACTATATACTGACAGCGTCCTGAATATTTACCACCCATGATATGTAGAACAGTCGACTAACTTCCTTCGATAGTATTGACATGTTGGTCACAACCCTTTAATCATCGGTTAATTGCAAAAAAAGTCACTAAGTGCATTTTTTATATAGATTAACTTTCAAATATGTTCTTGTGAATTTTGATCTGATTTATCTCACCAGAAGTGCATGAAAATGACACACACCCTTTTATTTATCATATATAGTTATACTAAGCGCACAATTTTCTGATTTCACAAAGATAAAATTAATCAAAGTTCTTAATTATTTGAAGTTATGAACTGTTACTTAATGACTTTTTGCAATAGAACAACATATTTGATTGACTTAATATTTTTATGTATTTTTTTTTTTTTTTTTTTTTAACCACTTAGAAATAGCAATAACACATTTTAGCTATAAAACTTATAACCCTCACCCCATCTAATAAAGTCCATTTTAGATGAGCATCTAAATTCTTTCTTTCCACAAATCGAAGCCCAAAAACTTGAAAAACATTGTTATCTCTGTCAAGCATATAAACTCGATTTTCGTCTAGAATTGCCATCATATATCTAGAAAAAAAAAGGTTTTATAAAAAATAAAAGTATAAAAATATTACAAAATCAGGCAATTAAAATAGAAATTTTGAAACCTGGTTCCATCTGCCTTCCAGGAGACCATATAAGGCTTCGTCCTTAAGAGATCAATATTTTCTCGGTCCATGGAGACAGGCTGAGCACCTGGAAACCCTGATCTAAACATGAAATCAACTATTAAATCAATGAAAATCAGAAGAAAATATAAATAAAACTTGGTTGTTTAAAAAAATTATTTGAAAACACACAATTCATCTTTTGTTTAGTTGGAACAAATGGATTATGATGCTTCACCCAGTCTTATAAGATCAAGAGGGTGTATCCAATCAGTAATATATCTCTGGGATTACAGTTTTATTATTCAAGTATTATAATAGTTAAAAGTCCATTAGGAATAGGTGCTTACAGAAAAGGATTTAAATAAATTTAGTAAGGATAGAGATGGTATTGCAATGCTTCACTGGTATAAAAATTGGATAATATAAGTGGTAACTGATTCATCCAACTACACAATATGTGTCTCTAAAATGTAGGTAAAAACAACTTAATCCATCAACATTTCATTAATTCAGGCATCAAGACATAAAAAACAAGATCTCTTTACTTGATGTCTTCATCCAAAGACATAGTTAAACCTTTCAATTTCAATATATGCCCAATGTTATGTCTTTGGATGATGCCGTGATGGCCGAGCGTGTTAAAGCCTAAACTTTAACATTCTCCTGTCTAGTGATGTCGGTTCGAATTTAGCTTGGGCGGGATGAATTTTTTCATCACGGACCCAGAGAATGAATCTCCACCTTCCCACCCTGGTTAGAATAGGTTTGGTTATAGCTCTAGAATAACCACATCCATATGCCACAAATATTAAGGAAAGGGATAATAAATAAAAAAAAAGGAAGTGTTTGAATGTGATGGAGTGGAGTGATCTTGTTTTTTCTGTTTCAATATTATTGTTTTAATATTTAGATCCCTACTCTTTTCAAAGAAAAAATATCGAGGTGAATACATTGAAATGTCAATATATCTGACTTTGAAATATCAAATTACTATTTTAATATATTCGAAACATATCGATACAATACATTGATTTATTTTTTTATATCTACAACTCTACTTCACTCTACTCTGAGACACTGACACGTTCTTTTAAAATAATTTCAGCAATCTGCTAATCTTCTAAAATCTCACAGTTACAAACCTTGTCTCCCGAACGTGGTAACATAATCCACAGCGTTGATCGGCTTTACAGTGACTTTCCTTCTCGTCTGGCTCCATTAACCATTCAATCTTCCTTTCATTGACCATGCTACTCATATGACCGAATTATTTCAGAGGCACTGCTCCACTACCTCTCCAACTGTTGAGACTTCGAGGTTCTCTTTGATACTTATTGGAAATCTGGTCCCTTATATTTTACCCAGATTCGTATCAGAAATCTCATTTCTGTTGCAGTCACTTTGCTCTCAAGTTGATGTAGGGTTATCCAACACTCCATTCAATAGCAAAAAACTAGATATGTCCCGATTGCGAGTCGCATACATTACCAGCCTCTGAGCCCAGTACAATGATTGGCCTACTGAGGAGACAAAGGCCAAGCTGCAGGGCATCGAAGAGTTGAAAAATATAAAATACACCTTCAGCAAACAATCGAAACCTTTTTTTTTAAATCTAGGACATTTATTAAAAATAGAAACCCTCCTGGAAGAACAGAAAAGCCACTTAGAAAAATTAACTCTAGAAAATAACACAGTGAAGACGAAAATATCGGAGCTGGAAAGCTGTATGAATTATACAGTTGACAGAATCAGTTAAAAAATACAATAGAAATTCGAGGAATTCTAAAGAAGCCCGGTAAAACTGACCTCCCCCAAGTGAAGCCCAAGCAGCAAGGAACCCCAAGACTAATTATTGTCTGTTTTGTTAAGCAAATAGTAAGATGAGATACTTCAGCAAAGAACAAAGGGAAACTCCTCTACACGCAATCTAGGCGGGAGATAAAACAAGTCAAACCAGGTCTACATGAGCGAAGCCAATAAGTATCTTAACTAGTAAGCCAAACAGAAAAAGATTGCAGCAAAGAATTTATTTTTTTTAAACTGAAAATACTTTTATTTCATTCTTTTTTATTTTCTATCTTCATTTTAGTAATTATTCTTCTTTGTTCTTCTCTCTAGATGGCTATGTCGGGAAGTAATATAAAATTTGTGGTCCTCCTTAGGCCCTCCAGATTTCCAAAAAGCTTGATTCCGAGGTCTGTGGGTTGGGGCTGCTCTGCATGTCCTCCACTAGCCGCCAGTTCTGCAGAATGTGCTCTGTGGTTTGTTGATTTTGGCAACATTCACACCTATCTTGAAGTTTCTGAAGAGGTGTGATTTCAAATGGTTATGTCTAGTTCAGAAACGAAAAATTAACACCTGTTCTCTTCTGCTCAGCTTGAAAAAATCGTCATGGGGTTTTTTTTTTTTTTTTTTCCCTATGCCGAAGTAGTTAATCATTCGACCATCCGACATCTTGCTACCTAGTGTGTTTGATTTTTTTATATATTCCTGGTTCATGGGGATTGTGATTTGGGTGACTTGCATTTCACCTTTGGCTTCCCAGTCCGCTGGTGTTCCTCAAGGTAGTATCCTAGGTCCTATCCTCTATACAGTTTATACAGCTGACATCCCTACCTGTCCCAACACTGTCATCACCACATATGCCGATGACACATGTATCCTATCAGTAAACAATGACCCAGCAATTGCATCCCAAATGCTTCAATCACACATCATAAATCTAGAAGAATGATGTCAAAACTGGAGAATTAAAATAAACTCCAATAAATCTCACCAAATTACCTTTACCCTTCGTCGTAAACCAACGACTTCCTGTCCTACAGTTTCCTTTAACAATACTCCACTTATCCCTGTTGAGCAAATCCGATACCTAGGACTCCACCTGGACAAACGACTAACTTGGAATCCTCATACTAGACTGAAACGACAAGAAACCGCTCGACGTTTCCGATTACTTCAGCACTTACTAGACAAACGCTCTAAACTTCCCATTAATTACAAAAGACTCATATACTTGACTATAATAAGACCTATTTGGACTTACAGAGTTGAGCTATGGGGCTCCACTAAACCATCAAATTCCTCTCGCATCCAATCCTTACAATCCAAAATCCTTCGTAAAATCCTCAATGCTCCTTACTTTGTCACTAATAAAATTATCCATAAAGATCTTAATGTTCCTTATGTTTCAGATCTGGCCCAATCCAGATACCTATTCTTCCATAATAAACTTCAGAATCATCCCAACGCTCTCGTTTCTAACCTTGCTTCCTCTTCAATTCCTGATAACCCTCCGAGGCGTCTGAAAAGAAGATGGCCCCGTGATCTCCTAATGTAGTCATATCATTAGAGTGCTACCATTGGGTAGTTACTCAGCAAGTGTATTCATGTCATTATATCAATTATGTCCAAATTTACTTGATGTATTTATGTAATACAGTTGTAAATGTCATAAAGAAATAAAAAAAAAAAAAAAAATCCTTTGGCTTATGGCTACTTTGATAATAGTTTTGCACTCCTCCAACCTAGGTAGGCTGCTAATTTGAGGGAGCAGTGTTCCTACCTTGACCAATCGTTCTGCGATTTCATTCCCTGCAACCCAGTTAATTTTAAAACGCAAACAGTAAAGAAGTTAATTTTAGTACTAATGAGCTGGAATTTTATTTAACTGTTTGTTTTTTTCTTTCAATTTATTTTAATCATAGCATCCTGGTATGAACGTAAATTAATTCTGTATATCGATTTTTTTTTTTTTATTTCTATGATTTTAATTTTATCTTTTCAACGTTTATTTTATGCTTATATTTTTTTGGTGCTATGTCAAAACTGAATTTTTTGTTAAAAAATTGTGATATCTTACTCTCCATCCTCGATCCTATTCCCTTTAACTCTACCTCCCAAAATCTGTTATGATTAATACACGAAACTACTGTCACATCAATGCACAATCCCTTAATGCCCACTTTGATGAATTCAAAAATATTTCTTGATCATTTTTACCACACAATAGCAGTATCTGAAACCTTTTATTCCTTCCATCCAATTAGTCTTTCCTACAGATCATGACAGATCTCATCACAGGGGGGTTTTGGTGTCAGATTATATATACATGATAGTCTTAAGGCCAAAATCCTTTTACAGTCCCCTTTTCATTACTTCCCTCAAATCAAATATTCGTTTGTTGAAATTACTTCTATTTCCTTTGACTCTCCTTTTCTTTGACTTTCCTTATTCTTTAAATTTCTTTACTATTTGGAGGCTTGAGTCTCCTTCCTGTTAGCTTCATTCCTTTTTCAAATACAAATTTTCCTTGAGTTATTAACTTTTCCTTCTTTTTTATTCTTAGTAGCCTTCAGAACTTCCTCATTCTGCCAGCGAGTCTTTTTCAAACCTTTTTCTGCCTCCAATCCTTTTCTGCTATGCCCAGTAATAGCCATAATGGGTCTATTTTCTGTTCAACCACTGTTTCTATTAAACCGCTTGAAAGGCTTGGAGACTCCAATATTGTTCTCACTTTTCTTCATCCCTTAGTACCCCACATCTATATTCTTTCATATATTTTCAGCTGTGAAGCCCATTCTTTTTATCCATAAATATTAATTAAAAATTAAATAAAAAATGGTTATAATTAAAATAGTTGAATTAGTCAGAACTGAAATTCGAAGAATTACCTTGAGAAGTTTTTAATTGATACTAGAATGATCATCAATTAAAACAGAATTAGATACACTTAATTTGCCAATGATAAGGAAAAGGTACATTCATATTCTTTTCATTGATTATTGCCAAGCCTTCCACAGCATTAATAGGACCAACTTGATCAAAGCACCAATAGTACACAACATTCCAAAAAAGATAATAAGATTGATCCAGATGACTATAAGCAATAGCAATGCCAAAGTTATTGCAAGTAATACATTTACAATATCAACCGGTGTAAGGCAAGGAGATGCTCTGTCCGCCACTCTCTTTAATCTAGCGTTACATAAGGTAGTTAATAGCATAAATACGCAAGGGAATGTATTTCATTCAAGCATTCAAATCTGTGCATATGCAGATGAAATAGCTCTTGTGGCCAGAAGTGTTCAAACCCTTACTGAAATTTTTAATATTATCTATGCTGAAAGTAAAATTATGGGTCTTAAAATAAATGATTTAAAAACAAAGTATATGTCCATTGCTTTAGAAAATTCAAGAAATTCACATGCTCTTATGGTGGAAGGACACGTTTTTGAAAACGTCAATACCTTTACCTATCTAGGGACAGAAATAAATAATGAAAACAGAATTATGACTGAGGTACACAGAAGGATAATGGCCGCTAACCATGCGTATTTCGCGAATTTAAAGCTTTAAATCATCCTTGATATCAAGGAAAATGAAAATAAGGCTATACACTATCTTAATAAGACCCATACTTACTTATGCGGCTGAAACATGGACGATTACTACCACCATGACAAATTCGTTAAGGGTTTTCGACAAGAAGATCCTGAGAAAAATATTTGGTCTCTTGTATGATGCAACAAGTCAAGCATGGAGGATTAGAACCAATAAGGAACTATATGATTTATTCAATCATAGTGAAACTGTGAGCTTTATAAAATGATGGCGGATCGAATGGCTGGGGCATGTCCTTAGAATGCCAGACAAGAGAATCCTAAAAAAGATGCTCCAAGGAAGAATTTAAGGTGTCAGAGGAAGGGAAAGACCGATAAGAAGGTGATTGGGTGATGTGGAGGATGACCTCAGGCAGTTAAGAATTACAAACTGGCATCTGGAGAGCTGTTGTTTAGGAAGTCAAGCCCACCCCAGGCTGTAGAGCTATCGAAGAAGAAGAAGAAGAGAAGGAAAAGGTACAAATAGTACAATAAAATGTACAAATAAATTATATGTTATAGTAAACCAGAAGTTACAAGAACATGTGATAATATAAGAATTTATAAACAAAAATATATAAATTTAAATTAATTGATTTAAAAACTTACAATTGACAGTTACACATTTCTTGAGCTGCTTGTTGGACAGTACGGATAGTTTCTGTACAGGTCACTATCTCAATGCCTTCAATTCCTTCCATAAATTGAGGAACTATGCCATTTTTAAAACGTTTCTTTCCCCTAGGGAAAAATAAAATAAAGATGAGTAAAAAGTATTTATCAGGTAGGTAGGTAACAATCTCTGAAAATTTCATCATAATTAGATTAATAATAGTAGGTGTTGTTGTAACCATCACATGGATTTGACAATAGACAGACAGATACAGAATCAAATTTTGTTGTTTGTCTAAAATGTGAAACACAAATAAAAGTTTTTGATTATGAAAAAAACAAAATTTCTTTATTTCCTGCATGGATATTGGTTTTCCTAATTTCACTAGCGAGGAAGCGAAAATGAAAAATAATAAATATACCTTTCTATAAATATACTTTTTCTCTGTAATTAATGGTTACATTTCTTGAACTAAAAACAGAATAGATAAATGAATAAAAAAATTAAAATGAGTATCGATTTTGTCATGGAAAGCTGGAAATTGAGGCATCCTGATTACAGTTCTATGCTACTCTTAAAAAATAATATTTAAAATTTATTTATTTATAATTATTTATGAAATTTACAACTGTACAAATTAATGTACATACAGCAAATGTGATACAAAGAAAAATATGACATGACAAGGCTTATAGAGAATATACCCATTGGTAGCACTCTAATATATATATAAAATTGATATTAATTTTGTAAGGCTAAGAAAACAACCATGTAGATTGCAAAGTACTCTGTACCAGTATTATAAAATACTGCAGAGTAGTATAAAATATATAGTAATTAGTCACTATCACATAAATAATAGCTATTCACATAAGTGAAGTTGAATCTTTTTCCACAAACAAGGAATACCATCAGAATAGTTTGATATACTCTTTTGACAGCTTATTCTATTAGATTCACCTAATTTTACTTAATAAATAATCATAAATCTATCAATTATTTGATCAACTTTGAAATAGAAAGACTGCTTTGTTGGCAGCCAAAATCCTTTCTTCTCTCTAATTCAGGTCTTCATTGATGACTAACACATGATCAATCAGAGAAACAAACAAATCAATTATTAAAATATATAACAATTATGAAAAAAAATTTCATTATAGACATCAATGAAACTACAATTCTCAAGTCAAAAAGATGAACAGGTATTTTAAAAAATAATGAAGACAAACTTTAACACAAAGTTATTTTACTTAATTAATATTTACCCAGATGACTCTCGTCCAGAGTTCGCACGTTTTTTAGGTTGTGGAGATGAATCGTCCTCGATACTATCATCAAATTCTTTAAAACAATATAAATTAGTAATGAGTAAAATTAATCAATAAGAAAACAAATCTATTAACATAACAGTACATACCTAAGCACCAGTCTGGTCGAAGAGGGGCAGATATTGGATCGGAGTCAGGTTCATACCTTCTATACAGCTCTTGTATATAGTCATCTTTATAAATACCAGGTGACCTAAACAGAAATTGTTTTTCTTATTTATATTTTATTTAGTTATTTTGTCAATATCGTTTAATCTTGAATATTTGTCAAAATTTATTTAAACAAAATTCATAACAACACTTGCTCATCCAATCCAAAAAAGTACTCTGACTGTCACTGTTTTCTAGAAAAACCAGAGCTTGATACATAATAAGGTCAAAAGGCATACAGATTAAAAATTTTGATAAGAAAAGTTAATTAAATAAGAAAAACTGATCAGATAAAGAACCCTCGAAGGAATAATTAACAGGAAGGGAGAGGTATTATTTTCCCACAGCATTAAAGTAAAGACAATAATTTTAATGGAATTGGCAAAAAAATTGGCTAAGGAAGAAAATGTAGGATTTATGACTAAAGAAAGGATAGCTAAAGACTACTGTAAGAGTGTGTAAAATGATGTTACCTCTTTATAGGATATGTTCAGTTTGAAATATTCATCCCGTAAGCCAGAAATGGCCAGGTAGGGAGAAAAAAAAAGTTAATGATGGAGGGACTTTTAAATCAGTCAATGACAGTTATATAGCAAGGATAGTAGGTTGTTTCATGCCAAATACTTTTAACTACCTATAAAATTTACCATATAACAAATAAAGCCTTTATTTAAAAATCTATTAAATACTTTTAAAAAAATTGAATTATATTAAATATTTGCAAGGTGCACCAATTGGGACACCTTTGAATATTCTGAAACTATAGTTTATTTATAAAATTCAATAAATATTAGACAAGTGAAATGGAAATTCATTTAGCACCTGTGTTTTGAGAATTCATTTATAGCTGCCTCAAGTCCCCAGGCCATTTCTTGAACTAAATATGATACAATGAGGAAACCTGTTCGGTTGAATCCATGAGTACAATGAACACCTAAATGGGAAAACAAAAGTAATTGACAAACTAGGAATTTACGACTTTTTAATCAAATTTAACATAATTTATTTTAAATACCTATGATGCTGAGAGGGTCTCTATGACTGAATTCATTACAAAACCTAATAAAGGTATCAGTGGTTTCTTGATCTGGTGTTTCACCGTGTCCTCTACATTGGAGTTTGACGTAAGCTACCTCTTTACTATCCCCATACCCTCGTTTAATGTCGTTAGAATTATAAAATCTGTCTGTATTCGTAAGATCAATCCAAAGGCCAATACGTTGCTTAAAAAAAGTAATATCCTAATAATAATCATATAAAAAAAATAACAACAATGAAAAATCATAAAAACAAAAAACTACCCCTGTTTAACCAATTAATTCTATCAATAACACATGGTTTTTCTCATTATCACAAGATATAACAAACATTAAAAAACTTTTTTAGTTTAACAATACCAAATAAAAGGAATAGTAAGCTGGCTTTGGTTTACTCCAAATTTTTAATAAACTCTTATTAGACTCAATCATAAAATGTTATCATGAATTTGTAATTAATGTACTACGTAAATACATCATCAAGAACAATGATCTAGTCCAAGCAGATTAATTTCATTCCATGTTACTTTAGATTATAAGAGTATAAACAAATATTAATATTCAGATTCATAGTTCCATTATATGGTATACAATCATTTCAAATTATGAGGGTTTGTGTTTTCAATAAATATGATATTTTTTTTATATTAATTTCGCTTCATTCCTACTATCAATTTTAAAATTGTTAATAATTTTAACAGGATGTATCCACTCTTCAAAAAATAAATAAAGAGTAATATCAAACACTTCCTTTTAATATAAGATAACTATTTTCACTCTGTTCCTGCATAAAATAAAATCTTTTACAAGAGATCATGATTTTAATAAAAAAAGCTGCAACACTGACTCCCCATTCAGTGCACTGAATCCAGTGGGATCACCCAACCCCTAATTTTACTTCATTTTACTTAGTTGTTACTCTTTTCTCCCAAACCACTTATCATTCACTCAGTAATAAGAGCTCTTTTTTATAAGTTCATGGGAAGGTTGCCTATCTTTTACTTAGATACACTTATACAAATCATAATGGAGAGTTTTCTCAGAGATTATTGAGGATTGTGGATTGACAACCTGACGTTTTGAGCAGTATTAAAGATTATTTCTTGATGTTTCCCCTTAGTCAGTTTATAAATGATGTGTAGGTGATTTCCTTTTATTAATCGCTCAGTGAAAAACGCAAAAGTGTTCCCTGATTACTTTATTCAGAAAGTAACAGTACTGAAATAAGAACTCAACTAACATTTTTAGAAAGAGCGAAAGAATGGGATATTAACCTTAAGCAACACAACTTCTCATGAAATAGAATAAATTATTTTTTGCCACAGTACCGTAACTTTTTTTTTTTAGTTCCTAGTTGTTTCTCCTCATAATATGTGAAAAGCATCTTTTTACAGATATTATAACAATAATGATTCAAAAAGAAAAAGGCATGTTCAAATTGCACCAATATTATTAGCACTGAATATAACATTGAATTTAGTAGTATCATATAAGAGTATGGACTTAATTCCAAATAAAAAAAAAAATTTTTACACCTGATTACAAGAAAATACAAAAATTAAGCACATGTCGAAGAGAAGTATAATTGGGGTGATCAGTAAAGAAAATATGTAAAAATAAATATACTTATTTATTTCTAAATAAATCAGTATATTTAATAAAAATAAATAAGTATATTTATTTTTATTTTTTGCTGACATTTTGGCCCATAGTTCAGAAAAAAAGCTAAGAAAAAAACAGATGACAACAGGTATGAGAAACTATTAACATTAAAAAATTAAAAAGAAAAAATAATATGTAGGTGAAAGGTGTAGTCTAAAAAATGTAGGTAAAATAAATTTTAAGTAAAATAAGGTATATACAATCTCAATTTTATATACTGCCATTAAAGGAGATGAAACTTCAACTGCAAGATTAAGTATATACGTTATGCTTTAAGTTCTGACAGATAAACCAAAACTACTAATTTTTGGAGTTAAAAACAAATGTTTATTTAACGATTCTTTTTTCATTGTGGTTAGCTAACCATGATCCATAATGATTTAAAATTTTGGCCATACTAACAGTCAAATGACGCCCCCTCAAATAATAATCTTATGTAGTAAGTAGGAAATAAGCTGATGATAACAAAATGTCTTGCCTTCTTCTTATTTTAAAAAATAAAATGAGGCAACATCACTTTTTTTAAATGTATCATGTTTGAAAAACTTTTCTTCATTAAATTATTACAACGAAACAAAAAAAAACATTCATACTTTAGCTAAATATGTATATTTTTGTTACAGTGACTGCAGCAGTACAGCGGCCGCATTAGACCTCCTGAAAGTGCCTTTTACCATTAAACTTAGTAAATTTAACAATTATTTCCTAAAAAAAAAATTTGTCTCATTTACGATAGTGTACTTGAAATTATATTATCTTGAACAGTTTTTGAATAATTGCTTCTTATTCAATAAAAAATGTGATCACACAAAATAGGTCTTTGGCCAACTCCTTTTCCGTTCGGAATTGGCCCATTCATCAAATGAACTTTTTTATTGGAAATTTTGTCTAGAATCAAAGCATGGATTGAAACATCAACAGTAATAAAAACCTTAAAAATGACTGCGTCTCATCACCCAAGAACTTAGCTTACTTTAGCCACTGAGAAGTTCTCTTTAAATGGTTTTAACAATGATAAACTATATTTTCGTTTGAAGTAAATTTTGTCTAGCTTACAGTTATGCAATTGTTTATTACTTAAATTAAGTATTTCTTTAGATATCGCTTCCTATTCTACAAAAGACATGACACTTAAAAAAAAACACAAAACTTGGATTTCCTACTTTTTTTCTGAAAATTGGAGCATTGTTTATATGATTTTTTTAGTAGCCATTGAGGTCTGCTATCACTCATAAAAATGTCCCTCTGCAAACGGAATACGCTGTTTATATAAAATATGGTGTTGAGTTTTATTTATGATCACATCTCCATGCGTCAACCCTTAGCCTGAGGCCTGAATGAATAGAGTTTGAAACAGTAACAGCATATTCATGTACGGGAACCAAATAAAATTGTGCACTGTCCAATCCACCAGTTTTACACACTATGAAACCCTTTTTCATTCAGGCCAGAACAAAAGGGAGCATTTACTTTCTATTTCAAATGTTGTACACCCCAGTAAACACTATTCTACTCAGGGCGTAGCTTGCTTAGAATTTAAAGAAATTTCATAACATTTAGTAATATTAAATAATTAACTCCTAGTATTATAACTAATATAATAAAACAAATTTGCTGTCACTGAAAAAAATTAAATTCTTCTCAACACAAAATCCAATTAAGATAGTCAGTTACAAACCAATATTAACCTTTAAAATGCATTAAAGATTAGTTAGAAACAATCTTGCAAAGAAAAAAGAAACATTTAAAATATTGTTACCCCATAGCTCGATGTTAGACTAAACAACATTTTTGGTGTAAATCTGCAGTGTGCAGGAACTTGGTTTTCAAATTGTTCACTTAAAGGTGTTTTAAAAGCCAAAAATTTATCAGCAATCAAGTCAGATGATTTTCTAGGGCAATGTAGCCATCTATCAGGTATGCGGCCTGGTCCTCTTGAGTTCTTACTCATTTTTATAGAAGCAAGTAGCAAAAATTAAGTCAGAAAGTGCTATGAAACATTTATACTCTCTGACATGAAGGTAAGAAAAAAACAAAACTTGGCGGATACAGTTCAAAAAATAATTGTTATAATATAAAATAAACCACAAAAAAATAAATACAATTACTAATAAATATTTTCACAGCCTATAAATGAAAAACAAAACATATACCATTAGTTAACAATATTCTATGTCTGACTAACTTTCCAGTACATATAATCAGAACAACCTAAGTGACTTTCATTGAACTTCAAAGCATTGTAGACAAAGTGAAATAAAAATTATTTAAATAGCTTCCAAACCAAGCCATAAAATGATATGAAATATATCATCAGATTATTGGAAAATCACCAAGTACAGTTTCAATGAAGTTAAATTAAGTATATTTTCAACATACTTCACACAAACTCATTAAGTGCACCAAAATAGTGCAAACCCATTATAAATCTCACATAAACAGAAACACATTAAAAAATCACACAAACTGCACAATGTGTTTCTGTATTTTATTTTCATAACTCTGATTAAGTCTCATAACAAAAGCAACTCCAGCAAACCTTTCTTCCTGCGTTTTATTTATGGTCACATCTCTATGCGTCAACCCTTAGCCTGAGGCCTGAATGAATAGAGTTTGAAACAGTAACAGCATATTCATGTACGGGAACCAAATAAAATTGTGCACTGTCCAATCCACCAGTTTTACACACTATGAAACCCTTTTTCATTCAGGCCAGAACAAAAGGGAGCATTTACTTTCTATTTCAAATGTTGTACACCCCAGTAAACACTATTCTACTCAGGGCGTAGCTTGCTTAGAATTTAAAGAAATTTCATAACATTTAGTAATATTAAATAATTAACCCCTAGTATTATAACTAATATAATAAAACAAATTTGCTGTCACTGAAAAAAATTAAATTCTTCTCAACACAAAATCCAATTAAGATAGTCAGTTACAAACCAATATTAACCTTTAAAATGCATTAAAGATTAGTTAGAAACAATCTTGCAAAGAAAAAAGAAACATTTAAAATATTGTTACCCCATAGCTCGATGTTAGACTAAACAACATTTTTGGTGTAAATCTGCAGTGTGCAGGAACTTGGTTTTCAAATTGTTCACTTAAAGGTGTTTTAAAAGCCAAAAATTTATCAGCAATCAAGTCAGATGATTTTCTAGGGCAATGTAGCCATCTATCAGGTATGCGGCCTGGTCCTCTTGAGTTCTTACTCATTTTTATAGAAGCAAGTAGCAAAAATTAAGTCAGAAAGTGCTATGAAACATTTATACTCTCTGACATGAAGGTAAGAAAAAAACAAAACTTGGCGGATACAGTTCAAAAAATAATTGTTATAATATAAAATAAACCACAAAAAAATAAATACAATTACTAATAAATATTTTCACAGCCTATAACTCCAAAAATTAAAATAAATACACGGTTATGTTTATTTTTAAACATCATAAGATCATTAATAATCAAACAAACATGAAAACATTAACAAAGTTTTCAGTTCAAAACGAATCTACTCCAATTCTTTCCAAAATCCACAACCATCTGTGAAAGTAAACAGAACAACCTTCGGAATATCACCCAAAGAGCTAGAAGCTATCAACTTTCCAAAAAGTCAATAAGACATTAAAATACTCAACTTCATTTTTTTTCTTCCTCATTGGTATCATTTGTTTCAATAAGTATAAGAAATCAGAAAATTCATAGGTGATTACACTTATAAGAAACAAAATCCTGAGACATGCTTGGTTTCCATCCAGTTATAAAAAATTCGATTTTTTTACTTTCATTTACCTATAAATGTAATATATAGTAAATGTAAGTAGTGTGATCGTGAAAATTTTCTGAATCTGAGTTTAAAACCAAAATACACGTTTTGAGTCCAAGTAACCAAGTTCCGAAAAATGGTCTGTGTGTATGTGAACACTCCAGCTCGAAAACGAGAAGTCCTACGAAACTGATATTACGTATTTAAGATAGGTAACATGTCTTAGATGTCCTAACAACTTTTTTTAAAAAATTGGCTAATCGGAAGTACCACTTTATATCAACGGTGAAACACATTTTTACAATTTTCTCAAAAATGGCTCTAACGATTTTTATTAAACTGGGTGTAAAATTATATAATTAAGTGGTCTTTAATAACAGTTAGGTCTTATCCCCGTTGATGTCACTTTACAGAGCTTTAACGCCCAATGTTCATATACATCTTCCTCTAAAGTACCTTTAATTTAGTTTATTATAAATAATAACTATTCATTATTGTTAGGAGTTATGAAAAAGTGCTAAATATAACTTTTAGAGGAATTTATAATTAAATAAAGCAGAAAAAAAGAAAAATACTTATCCAGGTTGAAAACGAATATTCGGAAATAACAGTCAGAAGGCATACCTATAATATTTCGTTGGAAAGCGCAGAATTAAAAAAATATATATAATATAGAAAGTTGTAAAAGGTAGCCGATAATGACGACATATATACAAATAATAATTTCTAAAAACTAATATTATTTAACGTAAATTAGGTGTTTTCAAGGAAATTAAATGAAATTTTCTAATTAAACCCACGGATTCAAGGCAATGACATTATTTAAGATACTATTCCATTGTACTTGTGTGAAAGAAGAAGTTAAATATAAAAATATTTCATGGATACGTTTATAACCTTAAATATATTTACTGTAGTTTAATAACTTTAGATCTGATATTATATTTAAATAATTGGGTATCTATCCGCCGTTTATTCCAAAAAATCATTATGTAACCTTTTAGAAAATTAAATTAGTGATTAATTTGATACATTTTCCCTTTGGAATATTCCAACAGAATCCACTGACAATCAGTGTGACAACTTTTGACCTGTCTATGACAAACAATGCAAAACTCTTAATTCCATTTTAGTAAACTTTGTAATGGAAAATAACAGTTTAATAACTAATAGTCGTAAAATCCATAATCAACGGATTGTAGAATCCATAATTAACGGATCATACAGTCCATAAAAAACTGGTGATATAATAAATAGGGCTTTTGTTATTTTAATAACATTTATGATTTGTTAGCTGTAATATTTTAGCTTTAGCTCAGTTACAAATGCAATTCAAAAGTTATAATAGCCCAACATGGCCAGAAAATAATTTCTATTGAAAGTTAAGCGGTAAGTGAAAGTTGTATGTTACGCGAATCAGATTTTTGAAAATATAAATGTCATATAGATTCAAAGAAAGGCTTTTGAAATTTTCATTAAATAATGTAGAATTTTTCTTACGGGCTCTCGGATTATAACTTTCTTTCCTGACATCTTGATATCATTCCTGTTTTTTCCCTATTTTTACTGTGCTACGGTAACAACATAAAATTTTAGAATAATTTATTAAGTATACTTAAAAATAAGAGGAGGAGGATAGGTGCTATCAATAATCACTAGAACTATCGATAGCTTTAAAACTATCTCTATATTGTTATTATTATGTACTATGCCCATCTCTAGAGGTTTAGTTGTTTCGGAAGGCAATTTCTTGGTTATATTAGGTGTTCTGTGCTTTGTCAGGGCTAAGCGTATTAGGTGCCTTAGTTTTTTATAGAATGTTTATAAAAGCGTACATGATTCAGTTTTCTCTAATCAAGTGATTATTACGTTCTTTTTTGAGACGTTATACTCGGTTATTTCCATTAATATAGGTTATGGAGAGGTCTAAAGGTTCATCTGGTAGAGGTGGTAAGAGTAAAACTCCTCAATTTCCTGCAGATCTTTATGCACTTGGCTCAAAAAGTACTGCAGATTCAAAACAGCGTTCAGGAACTCATCCTCCCAACAAAGTTGTGCCTGGACCTGGAGCAGGTAATTGTTATCATTTTTTTTTTTCTTGGTGAAGATATAATAACTCCTGGAACAAAGTTGAGTCCCAGCTGCGATAAATAGTTATTTAAACATTGCTCTACAAATACCACTCCACTTCCATGGGTGGCACAAGATTATATGATTAAGCAATATTGGGGGAATTGAGAAAATCGTCGGAATGTTTCTGAAAGTGACCGAAACACCTGTATGGCCTAGACCTCAATTGAAAAGATCTAGTTGGGTGTTTGTCCATCCCTCCTTATCAAAAGCAGTAATGCAATAAAAGCTAATTTCTGCTCCCATATTAACCAGATGAAGGTAAATTATATTATGAACACATTCAGCTGGTATCTGAATCCCATTTATAACATAATCAAAAGATCTTGGTTCACTCGGCTGAGTGGAGTGGCACTTGTACAGTGGTACCATTATTTTTTTTTTTAAATAAAAATAATCCATGGTTCATCATCTCACACCAGTCATGAGAACCTCTTGGGGTCCACCTATTCTCTATAAAATTAGTACTTGAGTGTGATCTTGGCCAAACCATTGACCAAGAAAATGTAATTCCTTATACAATAATAAATCCATGACCCCTCCATAAGTTGCAGAGGTAATATGTTTTTTCATCAGAAATACAATAATGAACTGTTATTGTAGTTGATAGAGAAAGGAAAAGAGAAGCAGGTGTATTAGCACCGACTGTTCCTGCTAAAAAGTCCAAGTTGTCTTCTTCGTTGCTTAGTAGAGGATCGTCCAACTCTTCAGCAAGTTCTAATTCAAACACATCAGATGCTTGGGAAACTTTAGTGATCGAAAGTGAACCTCCTGAACTTGTTCCTAATGTTTTAGAAGCTTTGGAATCAGATGATACTGATAAAATGGTAAGCATTGAGCTCTTATATTTTTATAGATTTATGTTTATTTATATTATTATAGATTTATAAAACATGCTATTTTATAATATTTAAATCTTTAAAAAAATTATAAAATTTTCAGTTATTAAATTAATTAATTAATGAAAATAGGCTTAGTGAACCGGAATTTTGATGCTGATACTACCACTCACTGTTAACATACCTCTACCGAGCATTTTCTATTCTCAAATCCTTTTTTTTTTTTTTTATTTACCTATATATGTAATATATTGTAAGGAAAGTATTGTGATTGTGTAAATGTTTTAATCTGAGTTTTAACAGAAATACATGTTTTAAGATTCCCTGAGTCCAAATAACCCAAGTTCCACAAAATGGTTTTTGCATATGTGGGTGTGTGCGTGCGCTGACTTTTGCCGACCCTCTCATTTTACAGATATCCGTTACCCCTCTGTACAGGACTTTTATATTGTTAGTTTAACTTTTATATATCACTTATTCATAATTTTTAGGAGGGTTTTCAAGCAAAATGTTGAACAACCTATATTTATTAGTATTGTTTGAAACGTATGAAGTGATGCTAATGTATAAATTTAACCGATTTGATGGGCTGAAAAACATTGTAATTTATTGTTTTAAATGAAGTTATATCATCATTTTTATTTTTATTTTCCTATACATGAAAATAACTATCTACTCCAAGGTGGTAAGTGAATGTTGAGTGATGCGCGTACTGTACCAGATGTTTTCTCCTTTGATTATCCCCTTCCTCATCATATCAATATCACTATTAGAAGGTGGAAGTGTCTTACTTTGTGGAATCTTTTGGGTATTATATAAATAGATATATAATGGTGGTGACCATAGAACAAGTTGTCTTTTATTTTGATGCAGTCCCGGATTTGCATATTTTTGCCGATCTCATAATTTTATAAGTCTTTTTGCTTGTGGCTGTTTAGAGTAATTTTGGCTGAGGAGATGATCCAGTTTTTTCTTTCCACCTCAGCCTTTTGACATGATTTTATCTCTTTTCTTTTAGTCGCCTATCTAGTACTTTCCAGTGTTGTTCCCTCTGATTCCTTGGTTTTGAATTTATTTTTCAGATCAAATTTGAATTTGGTTATTACTTTTGGATTTTTCAAGTTATAGACTTTGTAACTCCTTTCCATTTATCTTCTGTTTTGTAGATTCACTTCAATGTCTAACAGTTTGATTCCGATTGAAATATGGTCCGAATTACAATCTGCTCCAAGCGTGCTTCTTATCTTTGTGTATACTTCTAATATACTATAAAAATGTATTATTAATTAAAAATATTTATATTATATGTTATGTTAACGTTCTGGTTATATATAATCTCTCTAATCATAATGTTTTTCTTTTTTTGATTACAGGTTGGGTTTTTGTGCGGAGCTATAAAAATGCTCCGTTCCCAGAAGGCTAAGCCCGATCAAGTTGTTTACCAGAGTATTGCGTATCTGGCTAAAATTAAAAGAAGTTTATTTTATAACGAATACATTATAAATGCTTTGTGTTCTCTTCTGAAGAAAGAAACTGGCCCGTCTGCTTTTAAAAGTTTGAATGCTAAGATGACGCCTTCAATTTATTATCTTGTAATTAACTTGTTTATTTCTGCATTCCAGGATATAAAAAGGTGGCCAGAAACTTTTATTAAGGTCAGTAAAAAAAAATAAAGTATAATTTTTTTTTTTAAACAATATTATTATGTTAAAATAGCTTTGTATACTAAATATAAGTAGTTTATCAGTGTATATTGTGTTATGTGTTTAGATATACCCAATATGTTATTACCTCTAAAATAAATTAAAAAAAAAAAAAAAAAAAGAATATTGGAGAATGAAGAAAATTTAATTTTTTTTATCTTGTTTACTAATTTATAAATCTTTTTATATGCCATTTTAGATATATCTAGACGATGCTGGTGGGGACAGAAGTTGGGTTGATAGTGAATTCTGCAAAAGTTTTGTAGATAATATAATTACTAGCTTGAATACAAAGCCTATCACAGTGCAGTTACCAGAACCAGCAGGTAGGCCCGAACAGCAGGAAGACGACCTTCCAGAATTTAGGATGGCCCTTGGTGAACAGCTTGAAACTGTCACGCCCATACCGAGGTAAGTAACTACTGCATTGAGTTCATGAAACCAAAAAGTATCTAAAATTATTTAATTGCAACCGTATCTATCTCATTTTGAAAGACTCCTGATCCAAAATTGTGATTTTAAAAATACTATGCTAAGTAAATATTTTTCAGTTTAAAGCTGATATTTGCCCTTTGAAATTAATATGGTTTTTGTAGGTTCAATCTTAAAAAAATTTAACAAATTTTGAAAAAATTGAATTCAATACTTTTCAGAACTAATATCCTCTTTTGCTCTCTCTCCATATTAATTTAATCATGTTAGTAATAGGCTCAACTCAAACTGTTTTTGATGATTTTATTTAAGAATAATCAAGTTGAATCATGAAAAAAAAATCATTAGAATTGGTTTAAATTGAAGAGAAAATTGTCTTTTTCCCAACTTTGAAAAAATTCCATGTCCACCTTTGATATGAAGCCACTCATATGTATTAACTATAATAATGGGCATTTGTTGGGGCCAGGGGTACTTCAAAATCGAAGTACAAGTCTTTCCCCAGTGAGGTTTCTCAAAGGTGAGAAAATTCGAGAAAAATTAAATTTTGGGAAAGAAGGAAAAAATAAAAAGAGTAAAAATGAGACCTGTAAAACATTAGAGAAAAAAACAAATGCATGCACAAGAAAATATTAAAAAAAAATATTCAATTAATTAAAAACGTTAAGATAAACAAATAAAAAAAAACCCTTCTAAATGCTTACAAATTTATTGAGATAAAAAAATATATACAATAGTTAAAAAAAAACAAATAAAGAGTGGCATGAATTTCACTGAAATGAATATATTTCTCTGAAATGAAACAAAATATAACTCAGTGAACATAAACCCAAATTAACAATTATTAATAAAGAAACAAAGAAATCAATTTCTGAAATTAAAAATAAAACGAGAGAGAAAAATGATGGTCCAAAAGAATAGACTAATTTAGCGAAGAAAACAGTTAATTAATATTTAAATGTCTTGGTGAGAATAGAAAACAAAATACCAGCCAGGTTGGAGGTTCCACCTGGTTACCTTTCGATGTCTAGCTGTCGAGTAATGGATGGTGGGGTGGTATCGATACGTATCGATTACTCAGCTGCGCCCAACAGCTGATCTTCGAAAGTGGCGCTAGGTGAGATGTGAGTCTGGGCTGGTGGGGCCCCCAGACCCACCGTGGGGGTAGACTTCCACTACATAGGGCTAGTGTCAACAAGAGCTATCTCCAGGTTCGCTTCGGCCGTATTTTGATGTCTTAATCCCTAAGAGGGGGTAATATTGCCGGGCTGGTGCATATAAATAAGCGATAATACATCGCAAAACAAACCTAAATATAAAACAATGTAACATTCTGAGACAATTATCCCTCAGTTTTTACTAAAATAAAATAAACATTTTCTTCATTAACATTTAAAAGGGTAAGAGAAAAAAAAAATGGTGAGAGAAAAAAAATAATATCTGAACTTATGCAGCGTTAACAGCATTAGTTTATAATTTATTTTAAATTTATCAAAGTTAATATGTTTATGTTTCATTCACAGATATGTTTGTTGAATGTTGAAGATCTAGCAAATGGATTGGCTGTGGATGAGGAGCATTTAAATCATGAATTTATGATTCTTTTTTAATGCATTTCCATTGTGATTCCTATTAACCAAACAACTTTCCCATATTTTCATCATCAAAACTTCTCCAACTGCTCCTTTTGTAACATACTACTACATCTCTTAATCTGGGACTGCTTCTTTTGAAAATCCTTTTACCTATCGTACTATCATCTTTTAGAATTCCTTGTTCATTTCATTCTTGTAAGTTTTCTCTAAAAAATCTGTACCACTACAGCCCATGATGGGTCTGGGGTTCAGTAAGGAAGTACTGTTTCCTTAAGGCAAACAGTCACGCAGGGAGGTGATCGGGCGGGAATCACGCTCAACTGCCAGGTTTTCTGCTCAATTAATTATTTAATTAAGACTACCCACTTTACAGAGGCTATAAGGTGTGTCCCAGAGGGGTCTTCTGACCCTAGGGACGAATCTCAGTTGATGAAAAATTATTATCATCAGCCGGACTCAAACTCGGGACCTTTAGCTTAGGAAGTCAGTGCTTGGGGGGTGGGTTGACCCAGCAGGCTAACGTGTGTGCACTGCACCATGTGTTGCCTGGCAACCTGATAACTGAAGTTTAAGATAGAAAAACAATTGCGAGTTCAAAACCCAGTGCCCGGTGGGACTTTTAACTTGGTATAATTCCCCCGCTCTCTCCTCCTGCCCGAGAAAAACCCCGTGTAGCCTAAAAGGCAAAGAAGGGGAGGAAAAAAAAAAAAGAAGTCAGTACTTACCCCCTGAGCCACCGTGCTCCCTTTAAATCTCCTTTAACTTCCATTGAATTCAATTTCATGTGTCGTGCATGTTTATTTTAATCTCATATATATTCTTAATATTTTCAGTTTTCCTCTGATTTGACTATTCTATAACTGATGTTTTTAAATTTAAACATGCCTCCAGGTTAACATGCTTTTTTCTTTTTTTTTAAGGTTTCGTTGGAATAAAGAAGTAATTGAAGGCATTGTTCTAGATACTGTGAAAGAACAATTAGCAAGACGACAATCAAGTGATTTAATTAATCGTAATTTCCTTAAAATGTTGACTTCTCTATGTGGTCTTACAGAAGTATGTATATATCTGTAGTTATTTTTTTCATATTTTAGGCAATAAAACTTCCAATTTTCTTCATATTTTTTTATTTATGCTTGTTGTCTCTTATGAAAAAATTATAAACTAAGCTTCCTGATAAAAAAAGAAAAATAAGAAGATAATCTGCAGTTATATTTTATAACTTGTTGTCTTTCATTAAAAATTAGCTATAATTTCAGGTTAGGCTTCTGATTGCCCCAAGACTTGAAGCTTGGTTACAAAACCCTAAGCTTATGAGACCGGCACAGGAACTTTTAATGTCATTATGCGTTAATTGTACTGCACACACAATCAAAGATGTTGAAATAATAAGTAACCTAATAAAGATGAGATTGAAAACTAAAGCTTTAAGCAACTATTATCTTCAATGTATCAAGTAAAATATTTATCTGCGTTTTTTATTCTTATAAATTTATTTATCTTTCTTATGCTCTGAAACTTTTATGAAAGATTTTAATATTATATCCTTTATATATATATATATATATATATATATATATATATATATATATATATATATATAGCTTAGTTATTTATTATTTTTCAATGTGTTTCGAACAGTATTGATTGGCTATCTTGGCCTAGTAAATTATAATATATAGTGATACATGAAACATATATTTATTTATGAGTAAGAACATGGTCTGGGGTGGTGGTCATAAAAAGAGTAAAATGGTAAAAACTATTTTATTTAAAGCGAACGTTTTGACACGACTTTGCATGTCTTCTTCAGGGCAAGAACGAACAAGATACTAAAGGCTATAAAACATTGTGGAAGTTACACAATGTTTAGATAAAAATTTATAAATGAGGTGAATAAACTTATTAAAATTATACACAGTGTGAATAGCAAGTACAAAAAATATTAAGAACAATAAACTATATAAAACAGAGTCAACGACGTATAACTAAGAAACAAGACCCTAAACTGAAGTAGATAAATGGTAAAATTATTGTAGATTATCGGAAATGGAGAAAAATTGAATGTAATATGGAGGATGGATAATATACACAGTGATGGATACAATCCTACAGATCTCGAGGAATGATTGAAAGAAAAATAAAAAATAACAAAAAATGGACATAAAGGGAATGTGAAATTTTACACTACAGTAATTGTTACCATTTATTTACTTCAGTTTAGGGTCTTGTTTCTTAGTTATAATTTGTTTACTCTGTTTATATAGTTTATTGTTCTTAATATTTCTTTGTATTTGCTATTCAAACTGTGTATAGTTTTAATAAGTTTATTCTCTTTGTTTATATTTTAAACCTAAACATTATGTAACTTCTACATTGTTCTATAGGCTTTTGTATTTTATTTGTTCTAGCCCTGCAGCAGACTTGCGAAGTCGGGTCGAAATGTTGGCTTTAAATAAAACAGTTTTTTCTATTTTAGTCTTCTTATAACCGCCACCCCGGAGCATCTTTTTATTCAATAATCTAGCACGGTCAACCATAAAGTATTCAACATATATTTATGCTTGTTTTTTGTTTAGGGAATTGATTTCTGCTCATTCGGATAATTTAAATACTGTTTTAAAACATACAATTTATAATGAACTTTCTACTTCTCGAAATCCAAATAACATGGCAATGCTTGGGGTAATGTTTCAACATGATCCTGACAGGGCAGCACAGATTTTAGCTGATATATTTCAGGTAATAGAGTTAATTGATATAGATATTGTATTGATAAATGTTTGGCTGGAATTTGGATTGTTAATGTTTGTGATTTTGTGATGTAATAAAATATTGTAGTATTTTAGAGTTGTATTCGGTTAATTTTATATTATTAAAATTTCATTAAGAATTAGGTTGAATATTTATTTTTATTTTTTTAATGTTTATTCAAATTTTAAAAAATAAAAATCGTTACATTTTGGTGATCCTATTGAGGATAGATATTTTGTAGAATTTTGGGAACAAAGATATTATTTGACATCTAAAATAGATAAAATAAATAATGAAGTCACAGGATTAAGCGAATTTCCGACAAAAATAAAGAGTAAGAAGGGGCGAGCTTGCAAATTCAAAAATGGAAATAAAAGTGTTCTAGAAAGCAAAATCAATTCAGATGCTTTTAACAATGATCAGATTACTGTTAATGCTGGCAGAAATAGGAACAAGCAAATCAATATGAATTTAATTCATGCAATTTTTTCTACAGATGTTTCATTATATGAAAACTGAAATAAATAAAAATTATATAAATCAATTTAAATTCTGACTGAAATAAAGTCTTAAATAAAATCAGATGAAAATTTTTTAAATTGAAAACTCATTCAACTTTAAAATTAGAAGAAAATTTGACTTAATTAGGACAGTCAAAACAGACAGAGATGGCATTAAAGTGAAAATTCGATAAGAAATTGAAACCTTTAAAAATAAAATAAGTGAAGTAGATTCTAATCCTGCAAAATATAAAAATGGTAGCTTTAACAAACAATTTTCTTACAATAAATTCAAAATGAGTAGAGCATAAACACTTTATAATAAATAATTTTCAAACTGATATGGAAATTTTAGTGTAGAAGAAGTGGATTGTGGAAGAATAATTCCATAATATAAATTAAAGAGGAACAGAACAGGAAGAAACTGAGATATGAGTTTACTATCAATTTAGCTTTTATCTAAACTAAAAGTGTGTGTTAAAAAAAATGTTTGAAGAAAATATAATAAAATATAAAGAAAAATATTATAATAGAAGGAGTTATAAAATTTCTAAAAAAAAATAATTGTAATTTTTTGGTGGATACAGGGACTGAAATTTCATTAATATAGAAAACCATTTTTGTTAAAAATAATAATTTATTTGGTAAATATGAGATGCTACCGATAATAAAAACATTTATCATTTTCGCAAACGCTGAAAAAAAAATCGTTTACAACACTAAAATTAGATAGAAGATTATCCAACAAACTTATATTACTGCCAATCATTACAAGAAAAATTTTATTGGGTACAATTTTTTTTTTTTAATTAATCTTTTATTAAAAATGTGATGTGCACAACACACAACTTTCACTTACCACTCTACTTCAGGTCTAAAGTTGTCACACTAATTGTAAGTGGGTAATGGTCGGATTTCATCAAATTATTCACTAATTTGATTCTTTAAAAGTTTATACAACGATTTTTTGGATTAAACGGACAATAGATACCTAATTATTTAAATATAATATCAGATCTAGAGTTATTAAACTACTGTAAATGTATTCAAGGTTATAAACATATCTATGAAATATTTCACTTCTTCTTTCACACAACTACAATGAGATAGTATTTTAAGCAATGTCATTGCCTTCATTCGGTGGATTTCAAATATTTTTTTTTTTCAAATTTAAAAACATTTTTAAAAGTTTACATTTAGGAAGAAAATATCATTTAATTTCCTTGAAAACATGAGATTTACGTTAAATAATCTTATGAATTCTTGAAGGAAGTTAGTCGACTGTTCTACATATCATGGGTGATAAATATTCAGGACGCAGTCTTTTTTAAAAATTTGTTTGAAACGTTGGCAAAAATAAAAATTTTAAAAAAGACTGCGTCCTGAATGTTTATCACCCATTAAATAATCTTAGTTTTCAGAAAAAATTATCTATATTTTCGTCACTCTCCGTTACGTTCTAGATTTTTATTTATTAGATATTATTTTTTCTAAAATTCTCCAACGATTTACCTATTACTTCTGACTATTATTGCATTTATTCAATTTATTGAATCTTTATTCAATTATTAAATTCTTCCAAACATTTATTCACACTGAAAATATAGAAAAATATAACATTACATTCTCATCAATCTTGTATTTACCAGTTCACTTTTATATATTAGAGATATTTTACTTTAATATTATCTCTGTATGATTTTTATTCTTAGGAACTTCTTTTAAATAGAGAAGATTATTTGAGACCTCTGAGAGCATTATTAAGAGAACTTGCTAGAGTCTTAAGGTCGGAACTGCGTCTTCAAGAATTTTGTCGTGGACTCATGGGTCGTACAGAACCATTAGCTAGGGATATGGATCACATTCGGGCCTTTGCATCAACAATTGACTTGATTTCTCTTTGTTTGTTTCTTGCAGTAATGCCTAATGCTCGTTCTGACAAAAAAGATCTGGTTCAAGTAAGTTATGGAATCTTGTACTATTATTTTAATTTAAATTTTACTGTAAACTTCTGCACTTATCTATTTTGAATTATTCTACATATTATTATATTCTTAAACACATACCCCATGCTGTTCTATATTATAGTATAAAACATTTAAATTTATTGTAAATTCCTATATATTATTTTAGCTGTTGTTAATTTTTTATGGTTACAGTTGGAAAAGATGCAGCTAACAATAGCGAGTATACAAAGCGATTGTATTTGGTGGCTACAGGATACAGCTATAAGTATATATAAGCCTTCACCAGCTGATTTTACACATGCATTACATAAGGTGATTGCATATAATAAAGTTTTGTTATTAATATTCAGAGATGGCGATATTGCAGGTGATATCGATATAGAAGATGATATGTTTGAACTCGTAGAGAAGTTTCGATATCTAGGGTCTATGATAACTAGAAAAAATGAAATTGATGGGGATTAAGGTTAGGCTGAAGGCGGGAAATGCTTGTTATTTTTCTGTTACAAAATTACTTAGCTCCCACCTCTTGTCCCGGAACTTAAAAGCTAGAATCTATAAAACCATTATCTTACCTACAGTTCTTTATGGTACGAAACGTGGCTGCTTATATTAAGAGATGAGCAACGTCTTAAGGTTTTTGAAAATAAAGCATTGTGTAGAATATTCGAAACAAAGAAGGATGAGTTAACCGGAGAGTTCAGACGGTTAAATAACCCTAAATTGCACGAATTATATCTGGTTAATGTAATTGAGGTGATTACATTGTGGCGAATCAAATGGGCTTGTAAAATTGTTGGGTTTAGTGACGAAAGAATTCCTAAAAGGTTAATGTATGCTGTACCAAATGGTAATCGTCCAATTTGTAGACCAAAGTGAAGATGGGAAGATTGTGTTAAAGCCGATCTGAAGGGACTGGGTTGGGACGGCGAACGTTGGAGGGCAGTTTGTAATAAGCGATTAGTGGTGTCGGCATTGAACCTTCGGGTTCGTTAAGCCTTTTATTATTATTAATATTCTGTATTTCCTGGTGTTTATTCAAAAGTGCTAAGTAATTTTAACGTCTTAACATACTTCTTTGTTGTTCAACAGTTCGAACCGTTCGCATTCAAAATTTTGCCAATTTTTTTTCACTATTAAATTCAAATCGAATCTATATTAAATATAGATTCAGCTCAGATTTTTTAATTTTTTTTGCTATTGAGATATAAAAATAATTCAAGATACTGACTCCATTTTATCAAATCATTAATAATAGTTTAAATCTTCAAGAGCGGCTTCATTTTATCGTAGCTTACAACTTTTGAAAAACAAAATAGAATACAAAAATCAACTTTCTTCTGGATATTCTGGATATAACTTTCTCCCCTTATTAATAAAAACAAAAATGATGATTAACTCTTACCATAAGAACAATGATATAAAGAGAAATTAAAATAAATATCAAAGTATATACATAGCTATTAAAAAAATAAAAATTGTCTATAAAAATTCTCAGAGATAGGGAGTTTGCTGACTAAATTAATTAATGAGCCACTAAAAATTTAAAAATATCGATTTTCTTGCCAGTTGAATCATGTGATGATTTTATCGGAAAAAAAAAAGAGGGCATACAAAAATATTGGGCTGTTTGGCCTATTATACCATTATTAATTTGATATGGTTACAGTTGGAAAAGATGCAGCTTACAATAGAAAGTATAATACAAAGTGATTGTATTTGGTGGCTACATGATACTGCTATAAGTATAATTAAGCCTTTACCTTATTATATTAAGGTATTATGTTATATTTATCTTATTATATTAAGAAGTTTGTCTTGTTATTTTAACATATTGGAGCTGGAGGTCACGCCACATTACCCAATATTTTTGTAGGCCACTTTTTTCCTTGATTTTTTGGTCAAATTATCTTACGATTCAAGTGGAAAGCTAATGACTGTTCATGAGTTTTTAGTTCCTCATTAAATTGACGAAGTTTACGAATCTCCAAATTGAAAACCTCATTTCTGAAAACTTTTGTAAATAAAAAAGTTGTGTCAATAATTTGATAAAAAGGGGTCTGTACTGCGGACTAAAACTTTTCATTTTTTAAATATTTCATCAAATACCCTTACTTATGGTCATTATTTGAACAAATATTATTGAATACTTGTTGTTCCTCCAGATCTTGCTATTGGAACCACCAGAACAGTATTATAAAATTGATACCTGGCCTCCAGAGCAAGACAGAACTTTATTTATGAGAATGGCTTCAGAGGTACCCATCTTAGAGTCAACTATCGTCACAATATTGGCTATTGGAATTTCTAAGGAGCTTCCTCTCTCACCTTCTGAGGCCTTTGATTTGACCGAGCAGATTGTCAAAAGGGCAGCTTCAATTCACAACCCAATCACTCCAGTTTTGAAAGGTAGAACTCATTTACTATTTATTAGTTTTAGTGTTTATTATTTTTTGCTCCAATCATTGTATTAAATATGTGACTAATTTTGAAATTTTCAGTTGAAAAATCAAAAATATTGGATCTAGTTTTCAATTTATCTGCTTATCGTCATCCAGAAAATATTGATTTACCAACAGGTTATAAACCACCTTCTCTTGCAATTTCTGCTTTATATTGGAAAGGTTGGACATTATTATTGATACTGAGTGCCCACAATCCGACAAAATTTGGAGCTCTTGCATGGGACAAATATCCAACTCTCCGTATTCTTATGGAAATGTGCATCACCTCGCATTTTGTTTTCCCTCCAGGATTTGATGACTTGCAGATGTTGAACCTTGAGAAACAGAGTATATTACAATTTGAATCATATCTCGCTGCAGCTTCAACTAAGGTATATTAGTAGTTTTATTTTTTTTTACTTAATTTGATTAACCATCTGGTGACCTTTTAAACTCCATTCTCACAACAAAAAAGAAGAGAAGAAAAATGTTCCGCAGCAGGCAGTATTTGCCTGTTTCTCATTCAATTTATATAACTAATGTATTGTATTCTGCAATGTAAAAAATGAATCATTTATTTTTTACTGAATTACTTTTATTCAACATTGAATGAGAATCTGACATTATTTAATATCAATCAATTTGTCAATCTGTAGAAGTCAATAGTCAATCTATATGTAAAAAAAGTAGTGCAAATAATTTAAAAACTAAAAACTTAAAAATGAAAAATAAAATTAGCTCCTACTATAAAAAACAAAGAATAGCCCAAAATTAACTTATGAAGCTTTAAGACAAAAATCAAACAGATGAAACTTCTTCTGTTATAATTTCTTTGACATTATCTTTAAAATTTTTATGAGTAAATGAAAAAAATTAATGGAATATTTAAAAGTCAATAAATAATATTATTTACTTTTCATGTATGTTACGACAAAGTTGGTGTGAACTGAAGTGGATTCACTGCATTTCACTGACGATTATTGTCTGAATCTTATTATGTACTGACCTCTTTCAGACATCAAACTCTTATTTTATGTAGGTTACAGTATGAATGAAGTAGATTCATTCAGTGCCCTCCAGATTTTTTTCAATGCTCTATATTTTTATAACTTTTGTTATCCAAAAATATTATATTATTTAATTTAATGTTGTAAAAGTTACTATCACTTAAACTCAATAAATTATTATTGATACTTTAAAATTAATAATTTTCAGTAAATACAAATAAAATTGTTTGAATTGTATATTTAATAGTTGACCGTTGCATTATAAAGGAAGGAGATGGTCCGGGGTGGTGGTCATAAAAAGGTTAAATAGTGGTAAAACTATTTTATTAAAAGCCAACGTTTCGACCCGACTTTGCAGGTCTTCTTCAGGGAGGTGTGTTCAGCTAGGAGTTTCTCCGTTCTAAGTTCTAAGTGAAACTCCTAGCCGAACACACCTCCCTGAAGAAGACCTGCAAAGTTTGGTCGAAACGTTGGCTTTTAATAAAATAGTTTTGCCACTATTTAACCGTTTTTTTGACTGCCTCGGACCACCTCCTTCCTTTAAAATTGTTTGAACATTATATATATATAGTGATTTAAAATTATAAAAAACATATATTCAAAACAAATAAAATTTATTTTGTTGTAGACCCATTCTGGTTATTATAGGCTTGGTTGTACCTCTAGAACAACCACCAATTCTTTCATAATAGAAATGATGAGGTAGGGAATAATTGAGAAAGAGAAAATTGACCTAACTTTCATATATTCCTAAAAATATACGAAATCTCATAAATTTTTGTTACAATAAAATCTTTCTGTTTCAGATGGAAATAACTGAAGAAACTTCATTGCTTGTTCCACAGTTAATGTCACTAGATCCTCTTGGCCCTCCAAGGCGCCCCCCTCCAGCCAGCTTGGAAGCTATAAAATCTCTTAATATTCCTTTACGTCTCGGCCATTTGTTGTGTCGTTCTAGGGCTCCTGATTTTCTTTTAGATATTATCCATCGACAAGGAGCTTCTCAAAGCATGCCCTGGCTTGCTGATCTTGTCCACAACTCAGATGGGGCTTTAAAGTGAGTAAATATAAATATTTATAGTGATGTAGAGATGGTTGACCGTTAATATAATATGAAAAGGAGTTAGTCGAGGGTGCGGTCAAATAAATAAAAAAATTAAAATATATAAATTATTTTAATTTTTGCCGACGTTTCAACCCACTTTGCAGGTCGTCTTCAGGGCGTAGGATGTGGCACTGCGGGAGGCAGTTGAAACACTGCCTCCACACACAGTTGAAACACTGAGGCAGTGTTTCAACTGCCTCCCGCAGTGCCACATCCTACGCCCTGAAGACGACCTGCAAAGTGGGTCGAAACGTCGGCAAAAATTAAAATAATTTATATATTTTAATTTTTTTATTTATTTGACCGCACCCTCGACTAACTCCTTCTCATATAAATATTTATTTGACTCGGTGCTACGATTTTAATTTGATAAAGTGCTACGAAAGATATTGGGTTCTCAGACTCAGCTTTTAATGTTTCTAAGAACTACCTTGATAACAGGAAAGCAATAATTAAATCTGAGTAAATCTACTGATATAGAAACCAGTGAACCTCTTGGACCCAATGTGTTTTAATAACTTAACAAATGATATTATTATTACTAAATATTACAATAGAGAGAGAATCACTTTATTATCATAAAAGGGTGCTGCCCAATTACATTGGGTTGCTTTAAACAATTTTTTTTTTTTTATCTATATATATATTTTTTTTATCATAATTTTTTTTTCCTATATTTCTATTTATTTATTTTTATTTTTTTTATTTATTTATTTTATTTTTACTATTTCTTTCGTTCATTTATTAGCATTATACATCCCTTTCTGTTCATTCTCTCACTCTATACATTTTTCTGGTTCCCTAGATTTTCTCCTCTCTTTTCCTAACCTAATTCATAACATGCATACAAATACATAAAGTGCAGTGGACGTGGTCAATAAATAATGTAAAAATGCTGTAAAACACGCATGCCTCTCCCCCATGAACAAACTCTCTATCCATGCACATGGTGATGGATAATTCCCAGGGAGTCAAGGATTATATTCTCTGCCAACCTTGCCACGTCCTTTATGTCGACACCAAGGCCCTCCATGAAGCTCCTTGTTGAGTCTGGTATCGTTCCGCGAGCTCCGAACCAAAGGCCTCTCACGTGGAACTCTCTCGGCCCGAAACTCTCGCGGAACTTTTCACTAAGGAAAGGGATGCAATTCTCATATGTCTGTTTTTTCTCCCTTTCCACTTTTCCTGCCTGATCGAGGTCGTTGGTCTCATATCTCACGGTCGGATCCAAATTCATCGCCGACTTTCCCGTCTTAGGGAATGCTACTATGTCAGCATATCGGGTGGATCCATCCGTATCTATACAATATACTTCCTCGAAACAGGCGTAATCTCTCTCTTTAAGGAGCCTCATCAGTTCATGTTTGACTCTGTGGTGACGGCCCGTTATAAGGAGGGAGTTGTTGGGGCATTTTCCAAGCACATGTGCTGGTGTTTCTGGCTCTCTGTCGCATTTGCGACAGAGGAACCCAACTTCTCTTACCTGTCCGCTGACACCTGGGACTCCACGCAGGGGTGCATAATTAATATTTAGTTTCAGGGCATTTGACCATTCAGACCCAGAAAGTACTTGCTTATCATACATATATTTATTGGCTTTCGGGATCTCTTTAAAATGGCGAACTCCAATGCCCTGCCACCTGCAATTGGTCCATTTCTCAAACGAATTTTCTCGAAGCGACTGCCGTAGAGCTCTCATATTCCGAATACCCCGATCAATCCCCAATCTCTCGGGACACATTCATCAACCTCAGCCGAATAATCAAAGATCGACTGAAAAAGGGCATCAGGCACATTGGACAGTCGCTGAGCAATGGACCAATGTTGTAGAGGAGCCTCCCACTGGCAGCGGATTAATCCTAATCCTCGATACCTCCTGGGAGCGTACAACATCGCCGTGGAGGTGTTCGCAGGGAGTCCAACAATAGCCTTCACACTCCTGCGAATCTTGGTGTCGATGCCGTCAAGTATGGCAGGACACAGCTTTGTGAGGGGCGCAGTTTGGAGAGGGTAATAAGACCCGGGAACAGATATTGGTTGACAATGTTTAGCTTCTGCTCCAGCTTCAGCAAGGGAGAGATTACCAGTTTATTCAGATTTTCGTTCAATTTGGTCACCGAATCTTCGTTGAACTGTAGCTCTCCCGAGAATGTACCTCCTAAATACTTGATTGTATCTCCATTCTGCAATGTTTGGATGTACTCTCCGTTCTCAAGGGAGAGCATCGCTGTTTCCAGCTCTCCTTTATTTAGAACGATGCCCACGCTTTTTTGAGGATTAATAGCCAAACCAATTTCCTCAAAAGTCCTCTGAACGCTGCCGATCACTCTTTCTGCAGCCCCCTTGTCACGTGCTGACACGGCCTGGTCATCCACAAAACCTGTGAGGACCACACAACCTTGGTCACTTTTTAACTTGTATCCAAATTTTTTGGAAAATTCTTCATCGCACAGGTCACGATAGAGATGGTCGATGGCCAGGTTGGAGAGCGACGACGACAAGGGTCCGCCTTGGGGTACCCCGCGCAGCACTTTGATTTCGCTAGTTGTGTGAACACCGTTATTAATTTTGATTGTGTTGGTGCAGAGGAGAGCCGATATAACACGTTTAAGATCCGGTGACACACCTCTTGCTTCTAAGGAGCTCACGATGTTTTTATGGCCAACATTGTCAAAAGCACCGACAACGTCAAGGAAGACTACTGCACAATCATTTTTCATAATTTTGGCATCTTTTAATATAGCGTTGATAATCCTTGTGTTGACGTGCGTTCCCGGGAGGCCTTTTATAAAGCCTTTCTGATTCCTGTGGAAGGTGACCTGCTTTCTTAGTTCATGGTCCAGAACCTTCTCTATGATTCGGCGCACAATAGAATAAATGGTGATAGGTCTCCAGGAAGGGATTTTGTTTACATCACCTTTCCCCTTATATATTACTATTGTATGCCCTTGTCGAAGTGGTTCTGGGACATAGGCCACCTTCAGCATTATCTCCACAATTGTTTTGATAATATTTCCTACATCAAAATATTTAATCGTGCGGATCAGAACTCCATCAGGCCCCGGCGATGTGTCCATTGATGTTGATTTAATGGCTCTCTTGACGACTTCTAGATCAATGGACACCAAATTTGGCATTGGGGCGCACTGTTCATAATCCGCACGCCTGCAGAGATTTTCGCTCTCAAAGAGGTCTCTATAATGTTTTTCGATATCGGCCATCTTCAGAGGACACCGCTTAGGAGCGTCGGCATTCATTACGGTTTGCACGACCTTTTTCCTTTTATTATAGTAATTATATTGTGCAACCTCATATTGATACTGTTCTTGCCGACGACTCCTGTCTACTTTGTTCGCTCTTTGCGGATTTGAGACTTGTCCAGCATCCTTGTTTAGTTTTATTTTTTTTTCTCAATCTATAAAATTTGACGGCTAGGTGCTGGGGACCTGGCAGTTCCGCATTGACATTCTTGAGAAATTTCAGGAACCTGCCTACGGCCTCATCAAAATCCGCAATATTTATCGTGCTTTCTTTTGAGAGGTTCTTGAACACAGTAGACCATCCGGTAATGTCCTCTTTTATTTTTGATACCTCACCCTCTCCATTTTTAGGCCCTATAACATTTTTCACTATGCCCCTCAGTGTATTGGTGTTAGCCTCCCTGGGGTGCTTTTTGGCAATATGGGTTCCTCGACCTCTTGCACCCTTAAAAGAAAGTCCACATATGGGACAAACTTTATTATTAGGGTGTAGAACTTCTTCCTCCTGCTCTCTGTTCGCCTCCTCGACATTCTGTGGAACATTTGGCAATGCTGGGAAGACGTCATCTATCGAAACTGTCTTTCCCAATAGTACACCTTCTGTGTCTGGCCATTCGACTTTTACAAATTTCTTTTCGCCGCCTTCCGCGGCATCCACAGACATCATAGAGGCAACAACAGCCTCCTGAGCAGGTCCTCCAGTTCTCAGAACCCATACCCTCTGGCCAATCTCGACTTCATTCATTGTCCTTAGGTCCACTCAAAATCCAATATCCTTCCTAGAGACCATGCGTACTACACGCATGTTTAAAACAAACCATCTAAAGGAGAGTGGACCCGTATACAAATAAATAAAAACTAAACGGGAGAGACATGCATATATGCCAACATACACACTTAAATATCAGATTAATAATATCAACTGCTTAAAAGGAGTGAAAATGTAAAATAAATAGAGCCCAAGTTAAAAAGTTAACCAATAAGTTAAAATCTATCTTAAAACTAAGCTAAAATATAAAATGAAATTAAAATCTATAGACTCTATTGCTTAAAACTAAGTTAAAATATATAAAATAAATTATGGTAAAACGTTAAAATCTTTAAAATCAATTTATTAAAATAAAACTAAAATTATAATAAATAGAGATAAAACTATTGTTTTGTTAATAAAATCATCCCATATACGCCTGTAGATGATCCTGTATCAAAAACCACAACTGTGCTTGTCTTAATAATAATCATGATAAAATATTATACTCTTGTAAAATCTTAAATGTTGTTGATAAACATAAATGCTTAGGCATTACAGTAGACAATAACTTTATCTCCATATTATGGGTATATTAGGATGATTATGCATACTTCAACTTATTGCATGCTTGAACAAAATTTATTGCCTGTAATTTTCATTTAATAAAGAATCATTAATAATGATATATAAGGCATTGTTCAAATCAATAATAAGACATGGGATTGAATGCTATTGAGCAGTGCAGATGCTCATTTATCCAAACTCTTCAAATTGCAGAACAGGACACCAAAAACTATTACAAAAACAGTAATACAGAAGAAAATTTCAAAATAGCTAAAACATTACCAACCGAATTTATTTTATACTATTGAAAATAGTATTCAAATTCATTCATAAGACTCAATTAAAAATGAAATCAGCTATGTAGGAACAGTACAATATAGAAACAAAACCAAATACTTTAAATCTACATTTAACAAATAGAATCGGGAAACGGACTTTCAGCTACATGGTTCCATATCTGCTACCAGAAAATCTGTTAAACAGATCTAACACTAAGGGAATCAAAAAAGAGATCTTTAATTGGATAATTTCTTATTTTTAACTTTTAGTTACCATTAATCCTATTTATCAAATACCTGTGATTTTTCTTTTCCTTATCTCATTGTATTATTTATTGTTTTGTACAGACTCATTGGTTTATAACTGTATTTTAGAATTAGTTTATTATTTTTAGATCATAACTAGTTTTATTATTTGAGTTTCATCTCTTCTATATTAATACATCTTTTCTCTTATTATAATGTTGTATTTCACTGTATTGTATTAATTAGACTTCATTAAATATTTTGACTTTATTCTTATATCGCCTTATTATTTAGTTATTATTACATTTTATTATTAAACTTTATTCTTATAGACTTTGTATCATATACTACTGTTAAACTAGTCATTTCAATTATTGATCTATGACATATAATCCTATGCTTGTCACATATGCTATGTTTGTCATATACTTCTATTCTTTCTACTCACACTTATATTATCCTATTGTTGGTCATACTATAGTATACTACTATTCATATTTTATTTAATCTATTTATTATATTATATATTATACCTATATGTATTTATAATCTTAATTATAGTGTTATCTCAAACTATTGTTATTATAATATTTTAAACATTAGATTATTATTATATTGTAAAAAAAAATTAACTTTGGAAAACATATTGATTTATTATTAATGGCATCAAATGATAGATCTTGTCATCTGGTCGGACCAAATTTTTATTTTTGGTTAAATAAACTCTAAACTCTACATTGTCATATGTTTTTCATTATTTTTATAATAACTTTTTTTTCCAGCCATCTCCCTGTTCAGTGTTTGTGTGAATTCCTTCTGACGACAGGACAGAAGCAGGAAGGAATTTACCAGCAGTTACTAGCACACCTTAAAAATATCTTGACTGACCCTAATCAGGACCCTAGCCTTCCATGCGATGTCCTTGATTATTTCCTTAGAAGGCTGAGTTCGCCTACGAATAGAGCTTTGGCAATCAATGTACTTTATCCTTATCATTCATTTATTTATTTATTTTTAATTTAAAATCAAATGTTAAATTATAATGAATGATTATTTCAGGGATTGAAATTAGTTTTGTCTCCATCAGCTGAAGACATAACCGATCCAGATAAAATAAAAATCAGTCAAATAAAAGATGATCCATCATGGTTAATGAAGCAACTTCCGATGCTTCCTCATTTTCCAACCGCTAGGCTTCAGGTTAGTTATTTTCCTTATTTATGTCCGTACCTCTGTGAAACTCTTATTTTATTTTTAGAATAGAATAGAAAAATCAACTTTATCCTGGGATAATATCCCTTAAGAATCACAATAGAAACATAAATAAAGATCAATTCTGGCCATAAAACCGATTACATAAGTAGAAATTAAAATAAATACCTACATATATACACAGATATAAAAAGAAAAATTAAAGAAAACAAATATAATAAGAAATAAATAAGATAAGGTGAAATTAAATCTTCGTTACTTAAATAGAATGATACAGAAAGGTTAATTAAATTAATCATAGAAAAAAAAAAAAAAAAACATTATTCTTATCTGTTTAAGAAAAGGATAAATAAATAAATTACAACTTCAGTTATTTAAAAGATGTATAAATAAATAAACGTAATTATTTTGAAAATGTGATAAACTTATAAACTGTAACCAAGGGTTGTGTACAAAGTAATATGAAATATGTATTCATATTCTTTATAAAAACTAAAAAAATTTATAAAGAAATAAAACTCCTTATTATATATTACATATTTAGCCAGCATCTGATAGAGTTGTGAAAAGGAGAGTTTTAAATGTTGATAAGGATGGGACGTGGCGAATTTTAAGAGGGAGAGAATTCCAAAAAGTGATGGAGCGGGCAATGAAGGAGTTTTGGAATGAGGCATATCTATGAAAAGGGATTTAGAGATCAGAGGGTTTAGATCTTGTTGAGGGAGAGTGGGTGGAGAACTTGAATTGAAGAAGATATTGGCCATAGAACAGGTGATGGTTGTTAATTATTTGGTTAAGGAATGTCTACTAATTATAGTTTTTGGAAGAGAGGAAGTAACCACTCTCACTCAGCTTAATAGAGAGAAACACAGGATCGTCTCGAGGTCACATTGATGAATCTTATAAAACTATTCATAATCTTTTTTTTATTTTTAAATGTGTGATCTTAGATAAAAGTTATTGGAAAAAAAATTCTTCTGCTAAAACATTGGGGATATATAAGCTTACCTACCTCATCCAGATATTGTTTAAAAAAGGAAATTTTTCACCTTTTTCTTTGTGAGTCAAATCATAGCATCTTGAACTCTTACCTCAAACAACTTATGAAAATCAAGTTTATCACAGGAAATAATTTAAATTTATATGACATGTAGTATCAAAAATATTTGTTCAGTTTTGCAATCTAATATTTTTTTCTTTCAAATTATCATAACTAGTTAATTGTCTCTTCCTGATTTTTCCGTAATTTATCAACATAATCATTTATTTTTATCTTGATATTAACGAGCAAAATTTCAAAATTCAATTTATACATAGTTATTTGCAAAATATTAAATCTAATATAATTTTTTTTTTATAGATAATTGATTCTCTACGAAGTGCTTGTCAGGTGGAAAACGAGCCAGATCTCATAACATCATACCTGTGCTTCCTGGCTGAGCACGGAGTTGGAGATCTTGTAGAAATGGCCGACTTGGTGCTAGATATGGCGCAGTTGATCGTCGAGAGGAGCACTATAATGACTTCAATACTGTCGCCGACAGATGCTCCCAATCAAGCAATCGAAGCTTTTCTCACGATATTTTATACTTATCTTACCAAAGTTAGTATCTTGATCGTCAGAATATAATCAATGAAACCCAATAACTTTATTGGTAACAAACTTAATTTTGAAAGATGGAATTTAAAAGGTTTAAATTAGTTTTCATTTAATATATTCAAATCCAGCTTATTTTAATTTATTTAAAAATACACAAAGGTGTAGCATTAGTAATTCGGTGAAGTTTTGATTTGTGACAATATCATAAAATAATTTGAAAACATGTCTTAAAGGGATAACAGATTTTTAGGAAGAAGCATACAGACTGCATAAAAATGCTGTGGGATAAATGAATATTGTTAATTTTTTTTTTTTAAATCTTTTTTATTGAGAAATAATACATTTTGCCACATTTAAGGGCACTGAGTACTAAAGCTGAGTGAGACCCATTCATACTATATATACAACACAATAAAAAAAAAAAAAAAAAAAAAAAAAAAAAGCTATAAAAAAGCTATAAAAAAGCTACCAAAGAAATGTAACTTGAAATAAAAAAAAAAAAAAAATATATATATATATATATATATATATATATATATATATATATATATATATATATATACAGAAATTGGTAGCAAATTAAGTCATAAGCAAAACAAATAAATATATAAAAAAGAAAAACATTCATACTTAATATATAAAAAAGAAAAACATTCATACTTAATATATAAAAAAGAAAAACATTCATACTTAAGAAAAAAATGAATATTAATATTTTATAATAACTGAATCTGTTAGCCACTGATGATCCACTTGGGCAAATACAGAATAAATTGAAAATTATTCTAGTTGGAAATGATCATACTGCAAGGTAAGAAATAATAAAAAAATATAAAGGAGAAATTAAAATTTTTCCATGAGTGATAAATATTCAGGATGCAGTCATTATAACGTTTTTATTAGTGCCGATGTTTCAACCCAAACATGTGGGTCATCATTAAGGCATGTTTAGAGCACTGAAGGTATTCAAGTACTGTAAGTAATTTCATTTGTTAATATTGTTTATCAAATCCTAGAATTAAATTATAATAATTTATCGATGTTATAATAATTTATAAATTTATCAATCATTATAGAAATGATCATAAGCTGTGGAAATAAAATATTTTAAATTTTAAATAAAACTGATACTCTGTTAAGAAGAGTTTTGAGTTGTGAATGAGTCATTTTTTAGAGAGTTTGAATTATCAAGTCTATAGTTTATAATTAATATTAATTAAAGTAAGTGTAGCAGTCATAGACACTGTATTGTTAATAGACAGTTTCAACTTATTAACAAATAAAAAGCTTTATGCACCCAAAAAAGAATGTAAAGATGTGTTGGTTTGCAGTTAAATCACTTACGAGGGTGATGTCTGAACCTCAAGTGTTGTTATGCCATAATGACCAATTGGAAGTTAATTTTTTAATGAAGCAAGGCTGGATGTTTGTTTTAGGGAGTTTCCATTATAGATAAGTTTGAGATTTTGTTTCATTCATCTGTAGTTTGTCATTTCTTAATTTAAAACTATGCAGTATTTATCTTGAGTTTTTTTAATTATATGAAAAACCTATTGGTCCCAATACCTGAGTATGAATTATTAGAGCAATATACGCTGTCAGATTTTTGTAAGTTTTTATTGAATAATGAACCAATAAACTATAGAAAAAAAATTGTTAAAATAATTTTCTGTCAATTAAATCCATTTAAAAAGATCTGTCGTCAGAGCTAAAGCAGTTCGAATTAGCATTGAAAATTTATCTTAAAGTGTCTATTATCGATAGATTTATCTTATGGCTTCAATTATTATATTTTAACATTTATTCTATTTTCCCTTCTTCCATAGGAGTTAATCCAGTTTTTAATAAAGCTATTATATCAGCCATTTTCATATAAAAATTATTTTATTTTAATTGTTATTTGTCTATTATAGGCAAGAGAACCTCGTAAGGAGAAGTATACATGGTCTGAATCCCAAGATCAGGTGCTGGTGACTTGGCAGTCAGGCGAAGAGTGCACCGTTCACATTCTTGTGGTTCATGCTATGATTATACTCCTTACCTACGGTCCTCAATCAGTAAGTATGTGGACTCATCAAGAGCAATATTTCCTTCTTTTGGACACTTGGTTTCCTGAAGACTATACTAACACACCAAAGGTTAGTCACCCGAATCATTTACTACCTGTAAGTATTTAAACTATCAATTATATTTGTTATTGAAGATCAAATTTAAGTAGCATGCTATGGTTCTATAAAAGAATTTACATGTCGATCAATCAATATCTCTCAGTTATTTATGTTTGTTATTGAAGATTAAATTTAAGTTGCATGCTATAGATCTATAAAACAAATTACATGTCGATCAATCAACATCTCTCAGTTATTTATGTTTGTTATTGAAAATTAAATTTAAGTAGCATGCTATGTATTAAATAATTTACACTTTGATCAATCAATATCCCTGAGCTGTTTATGTTTGTTGAAAAAGATTTTTTAAAATCAAATAAGTTATATTGAGTAGTGTTAGAACGTGTTTGTCTGGTGGATTGTGATAACATACATGTTACCTTCTACTCCTGTGTACTCATCTTAAAGCATCTCAACTGTTTAAACATGTTACTTGAAACCAGAACTGGACAAAATGTATTTTAAATATTATCTTAAAGTATCATGTATTTTAATTCTAAAGTCTTTATAAATTGTTTTCGGAAAATGTATTTCAAATACCAAATACTTCTGGTGGGCGATCAGTATATAATACAGAAAATCTACTCTATTTGGTAATTTATTTTGTGTATTTAAAATACAAAATAATTTTTTTTTTTTTTTTAAATATTTCATTTCAAATACTGCCTGAGTCTGCTTGAAACTATAGTTCAATGATGCTGCAAAAATTATATTTTCCCTTTACATGGTCAATATAGATTTTCGTCAACATATTGACCATGTAAAGGCTACATTGATATCAGTTATATTGATGTCAATCATTCAAAATGGTTGATATAATTTTTTTTTTATCGAAGCTCCTTCAATATTATTGAAAGAGTGACAATATAATTGAACATTTAAGGGCTGTATTAAATCATATGTACGGATCTAGGACCTTGTGAGGCCTAGGGTGATACAATATTTCGGGGTTCTCTTAGTTTATTTTATTATTTTTTTTTTTTGCGAAATGCACTGAGGCCAAGGTCTATTGTATACCCCTATTCAGAGCATCATTCCAGCAGTCTCTCTGAAGTGAAGTAGGCCTGTTGGATTGACAAGCTCATTTGTCTTGGGGTCAGATACCTCTTCATTACCGAATCATTGGAATCTTAACTCAGCAAACCTATCACATTTTTCTTCATGCATTCATTTATCTTAGCCTCTTGGTTAGAGTGGGGGACTTTGTATTTCTTGTGTGGAGGAGGAAGGTCCGGCACCTACATTCTTCTCTCATTTTATTTTATGTTTTAGGTTTCTATAGCAGAAAGCAACTCTTCCATTTCTAAATATTTATTTGTAATCCTTTAATCTGACGTTTTGGGTACTGACCCATCTCTGAGGGCAATTTATTATCCAATAGGTTGGTTTTATTTCCAGGTCTATAATTTTCTAAAATAATCATGGTCATCTTTATATAGTTTTTTGCCATAACGATCTCTTTTCCAGCTCTCAGGAGCGAAGGATTTTGATGAATGAGGTATCAAATGAAAGGGTATTAAATGGAGCAGTGACGAATCATAGTGACATCCACCCCAAATCTCAGGGAAAAAAGTTACGAATGAAAAGAAACTTTATTTGCAAATTACTTTAAAAGTATGCATTTTTTTCTGGATTTGACTCGTTATTATTTGAAAATGTAATAAATTCATTATAAAACGAAGAAAAGAAATCATGAAAATCGATTAGAAATTCTTAAATCAGAAACAATTTTAACCGACCAGCTAGTTAGTGTTTATTTGAAATAAGTTATGAAACAAATTGTCAAGGGTTTGCATCTTATAACATACATGGAAATTATTTTCTTTCCTTTTTTATATTGTTTAAGAAAATAAATTTTTACTTTGTTATGTGACAATGAATTACATAATTTATTTATATTCTTACTTGCTAATTGTTGTTGCTCCAATACTGCACTTAAATTATTCCTAAACTCCTCCTTTATTTTTTGCATATCTCTACTGTTTGTGCAAAAGGTCTTATGTAACAATTTTACATGTTTATTCTCTTTGTAAGAAGGTGACATTTTGTAGTCTGCAACTGCTATAAGTTGTCTGTTAGATTGAAAAATAGCACAGAGATATAAAATATGAAATTATATTAATAAATCATAAAGAGATAATCGGTTTTATACTCTTATTTAAAAAAAAACAATTTTTTCGTACGAGCTTTTTCACTAACAGTAGTGATAGGTCCATCCCTGTCCATATAATTTAGTATCTTCACTTAGTTTTTAAGGAAGAATTATATTGGTTCTTGCGTTTTTATCATTGAAGGCAGCTCTTCTATTTGTATATATTTATTTATAATCCCGTAGTCTGACATGTCGTGTATCTGACCCATTTCAAAGGATGATTTATTCTGTTATTGGAATATTAGAATTATTTGATTATGTTATTAAGAATAATTAATTCTATTTATATATACACAATTTATATAATATTTTAATAAACCTGATAGTTGCTATCCATTATATATAATTAAAAAACTCTCAACAACCATCTCATTGTCATAAATGTCCATAATAAATACTTAATGAAATTTTCTTAATAAATATAAATAAATTATTAATAAATATTATTTAATTAAATTTCTGTTTAAAAGTAAAATACATTTTTTATAAATTATAAATTGAGATGGATGTTGTTTCCATTGCCATATTACCTTTGGGTATCTGAGTTTGAACTTTGTACTAATCCCTATTTTAGTTATATCATGCTCCTTTTCCTAATATTTATTTATTTTTTCATGATCAGAGACTATTGTTTTTTATAATGTACCAATTCTTGTGAGTCTCTTTTTATATATGTAAATATATATATTTTTTGTTTTTTAATTATTGATTATATGTCCATAATGACTATTTAGATTTTTAGTGTCTGTTTTAAAATTTATTATTTTTTCTATATTTTTAGGAACATGTATAACCTATTTTATTTTTTATTGTTTGACAATTTTTAGGATTTTTGTGTTTTCAAAGTCAAAACTGTGGGTTTTTGTTATACTGTGTTGCAACAGTGCTGTTGGTTTTACATTTTTCATATTTTTACTACTATTTTTATGCTGAGTAATCTTGGTTTTTAGTTTTTTGAGATTTCCCCTATGTATGTTTTTGCATTATATTTCAGATATTACATTTTGTTTTTTTCTAATTTTTCAATCATATTTGTTATAATGTCAAAATTGGTACAGTGGAGCATAAATTATCCGAACTAATGTTGTCAGGGGTAAGGGTGATTCGGATAATCAAAATTCACTAAACAAAAAATTATATATATACACACACACCCACGTAAAAGGAAAATATTAAACAATTAACAACTGTATACAAAAAGCATGGTTGTTTATTCTTATAAATACATATACATACTTTCGTATTGAAAACACAAACAAAAATGCAACATAATGCAAAAATTTATCGAAATTAATGCTGTGCCATAAAGAACGTTTTAATACTTGTCTGCTTCAATGTTGGCTTCCTAAAGGTGATATATCCATCACAATAGGAAGGGATTCAGAGAAACAAATGAAATTAGGTATACAGTTCTCAGTAAATAGATAGTAATAGAAGTCTTAAGTTAATTTTTTGAAGTTTCTGCGAAATAATTACAGCTCTCCAGATAGACATTCATGGAAAAAAAAAATTTATTTTATTTAAAACAACAATAATGTTAACAATACAAATAAGAAATTAGATGATCAATTTAATTGAAATAAAAAACTGGTTCCGTTAATTGAAAGTTTGGATAACTGATGTTCGGATAATTGACGCTCCACTGCATTGTATTTTGTTAAATTTATTTAGTTGTGCTTTATAGTTCTTTTTCTTTTTAATGACCTGTATTTTATCTTTTATTTCATTTCGCTCTTTTTGTTTATCCATGTATTGGGTAGATCCATAAGTTCGTTCGGTTTTTGAAGGGTGAAATAAAACGTTTTTTTTTCATACAAACTTTATTCATAAATTTTATTCTATAATGTATTTGCTGTGTTTATTAATGACTTCTTTCTAACAACACTCTCGTAAAACATCTGGGGCTTAGAAGCGAAAAAATGATTGAGATACGTTTTCACATCTCTCTCATCAACGAACCATTTCCCGTTGAGGGATTTTTGGAGGGACAGGAATAAGTGATAGTCGTATGGTGCAAGATTTGGTGAATACGGTAGGTGTAATATAACATTCCAACCAAGTTGCACTAACTTTTGCTGTGTGATTATTGCAGAGTGTGGTCTGAATACAACACCTTTGTGATTGACTAGTTCTGGGCGTTTCTGTCACAATGCTTGGTCCAATGTTGTTATCTGCAAGCAGTAGGTCTTTGAATCAATTCTTTTTCCTAGTGGGAGCAGCTGTTTAACACCTTAGGCAGCTTGTCAACAGTTTTCCACGATCTCCTGCGCACTACATTGTCGTAGATGATCCACTCTTCATCACTCGTCGCTATTCAATTGAGAATGGATCCGTTTTTTGCCAGTTCAGAAGAGAATAGCAGATTGATACTCGGTTGGTCAGGTTTCCCTCAGTCAGTTTGTTTGACCCCTAAACATCGAGGCACTACGTACTACGTAGTCAACCTGTTTTAAATGCCTTTGAACGATTCCAAAACCTATTTTCAGTGTCTCTACAATTTCTCGTACCTCTAACCATTTTTCAGCAGTACGTTCTGTTAAGGCATCGTTCCTATATACCTTACATGTCTTTCAGTGAACCTCCGAAGCTCGCTTGCCTTTTATTAAATAAAAAAGCAAAAAATTCCGAAAATGCACCTAATCATTTGACATAATCATTGCGCTGTACCACAAACAAAACTAATGCCAATAAAACTGAACACAATAGTTTCGAAGAGCGGACTTATTATATTATTATTATTGTCAGATAAGGCAAAGAGAACTGGAGATATTTGAAAACAATTTGCACTACTAACAAAAACCGAACAAATTTATGGATCCACCCAATATAAATCTGTAATTAATTTTTGGTTTGTTTTCTTTTTTCTTAAATTTTTATTGGTGTTATAAATTAGTTCACTATTTAGAAATGGATTATTGTTCGTTCCACCAGTTTCACTTTGTTCATTTCTGCCTCTAACATACCATATTTTGTTAATGAATTTTTAGGATAAAAATTTTCTTCGTAAGATATTGTATATGTGTGTTTTAATACATTCATTGCCTGTTATTGCAATGGCTCTAAATATGAAATTTTTGGACATATTAATATTTTGTGTTATAGGGTTTAGTTTTTAGGCAAAATGGCAATATTTTGTGCCACTTAACTGTTTAAATATATTTTTTTATTTTTCAAATGTTAATTTTTATACTATATTGAATAACAATTAGGAAACAAGAAAATAACAAATTTGAAACAAAGAACGTTTTAATGTCGAGGAGCAAAATAAACTTTACAAATATTAACGTTACTTTATAGAGTGAATTAACTATAAAGTACATTATGGAAATGTTCCATTTCTGTACATCCTCATAACAATGTAATTTGGTAATAAACAATTGAGTGGCCTCATATCAAAGATGGGCATCTGCCATTTTCAGAGAATGGAGAACATATCAATTTTTATTTTATAGTTTCATTTATATTTTATTTGAGTTTCAACTCAAACTGTTCTTCATATTTTATTTAAGAATGTTCATTTTGAATCTTGAAAAAAAAACATCATTATAATTGGTTTGAATTGAAGCTATTTCACAAAAATTAGCTTTTTATCAACTTTTTAAAAATTACAGATGCCTGTCTTTGGTATGAGGCCACTCAATTGATGAATAATTAATTAGTAATTTTATGAAATTTATTATTAATATATTTATTTGTAATCAAATGTAGTCAATGGTAACAATAAAATAGGAAGACATCGTCAGTGTATTGCAAAAAATCACTAAGAGACATTTCATAACTTTAAATCACTAAGAACTTTCGTTAGTTCTCTCTTAATAAAATTTTGTGCTTGCAACAATATTTAATACGTATAAAGGTTTCATTTTAGTGCTTTAACTTTGCTTTTTTTATTGATGAATAAAATTGAAATTCTCTAATATGTTTCTAAAAGTCCAGCTCCATAAAATATATATATATATATGTAGTGATTTTTTACAATAAACTGATCATATTTTTATTATATTATATAATCCTATTTTTTAATGCTATGGCTAAGGAAATTAGAATAATATGAAATTCTCTATCATGTTCAGAAAAATGAAGGAAGGTGACTACTTCTTTGGAGAAAGCAAGATTGTAACTGTCAAAATATTGACTCAATACAAATGAAAGGTGTGAAAGGGCCTTCAATTATATTGACTCAATAATATTGACCATGTTAGGACCCCTTAACAGATCTGATAAGACCTCTCTCATTTATAAAAATAAAACAAAAATTAACTGATTTCATTTTTATATATTAGCAGCTTGAAAAAACACTTGTATTGAATCTTTTTGATTCCATAATCTGTCTTTAGTTGTTTTATAATTTTGTTTTAATTTAATTATAAATTATTTCTAGGGATTCCTTGTTGACACTTCTGAGGAAGCTTTATTGATACCTGATTGGCTGAAACTGAGAATGATCAGATCTCATGTTCCAAGATTGGTCGAAGCTGCTCTTACAGATCTAGAAATCAGTCAATTAATTTTATTCATCCAGTCGTTTGGCATACCTATAGCTTCAATGAGGTATTTTGTTTGTATTAGATTTGTTTATAAAAAAATGAAATGTTCATGGATTTCTTTAATTTTTCTAACTAATTGTGTTTACTATCCCCATTTTACTTGTCAATAAAGATATGACTTTTATTTCATAATTATTGTTGATAATTCAACTATGAACAGACTATAATATTTCATGATATTTTTTATTCATAGGTTTGTATTGTTTATAGTCAATCAAAGTTTGTTGGTTTTTATGTTATTTTTTTTTCTATTTATTATTATCTTCTTTATTTATTCTATTTTTTTTTTAAATTCTCCATGAAATAGAATGATAGCCACCAGTGTTATGAATTTATTTGGTTAGTAGTAAAATGAATCATTTTCTGCTTTATGTCATTCACTCTAGTTGATAGATATTGTTATTTAAAATTATATATATTTGCCCTGATTGATATATCATTCATGTCAAGAAAAAAAACTGTCTGTAACTGTATGTATTTGTGAATCAAGAAATATGGTGTTGATTGTAAGTATTGGCATAATTATTAACTTAAATTAGCATTTAATGCTATCACTACTAATTTTGAAATGCAAAAACATAGGATTAAAATTTGTTATTTCTCATATCATGGATTTAAATTTTTCCTATTATTGGGATATATGTACAAAATAAAATTAATAAAAGTAATATTGCTTATTTTGTTTTTAGTAAGTTATTATCTACACTTGATACGGCTGTTATATCAGACCGTCTCGCTGTTGGAGAAGCTGTGATTGATAAACATTATATGATGCAACTTGTAGAAGTACAGCACAAGCGAGGTGCTGTAGGAGGTGAAACATTTATCAGAATTCTAGATCTTCAAGAACGTTCCGTTCCAATGGAAGTTGAACCTGTTCAGGTGAAGAAAGGTCAGTGGTTTTAGTTTTTTGACTTTAACCATTTTAGTACTCTTGTACCATATCTTGTTATACCATTTTAGCACTCTTGTGCCATACCATGTTATAACATTTTAGTACTTTTTTTTATATTTGGGTTTTATACAACTTAAGGAGTCATATCCCCAACACCCAAAAGCCACTGCTCCCTGTCCATCCAATCTCCTTCACGAAGCCCTCTGGCTGCCATGCTTTCCTCCACGTCCTCAATCCATTTCTTCTTTGGCCTTCCACGCTTCCTTCTTTCAGGTGGCATATAGTTATAAATTTTCTTTGGCCAGCGGTTCTCATCCATCCGCATTAAGTGGCCATACCACATTAACCGTTTGGTCCTGATCAGGTGAAGGATGTTCTTTTGACATCCGATCTTGTCTCTAATAGCTGCGTTTGGGATCCGCTCGATTCTGGATATGCCACAGTTTCTTCTCCAGAAATCCATTTCCATGGAAAGCAACTTATTTTCCATCTTTTTTGTCAGTGTCCAGACTTCTGATCCGTAAGTGGCTACGCTTTCTACAAAGGAATGGTATATCTTCTTTTTAGTTTCTAATCTTATTTCTTTACTCCATAGGGTTGAATTTATCGAACTTATTATTCTTTTCCCATTATTTATTTTATGTTCGATATCAACCTCACTACCACCCTTTGAAGATAACCAGTATCCGAGGTACTTGAACTGCTGGCTGACATTTAGTGTCCAGTCATCAATTTCAAGGGGCAAATTTGGAGCGTTGAAAACCATACATTTTAGTACTCTTGTACCATATCGTGCTATACCATTTTGCACTTTTGTACTAAATCATGTTATACCATTTTACTACTCTTGTACCATATCATGTTATACCATTTTAGCAATCTTGTACCATATTGTTATACTATTTTAGCACCTTTGTACCATATTATGTTATATCATTTTTGCACTCTTCTGCCATATCATGTTATACCATTTTAGTATTCATGTACCATATCATGTTATGCCATTTTAGTACTCTTGTGTACCTTTCTGAAACTTAAAGAAGATAATTTTTCATCTCTACTTTGTTACCTTTTTTTATAATTTCCTATATTTTTATATCCACTATGAATTTAGCCACTCCAAGTTCATCAAAAACAGATGAGTCAGACGACCTCGAAATGGAAAACAGGTGGGCCTTACTACTATAATATAAATACAAAAAATAGCTTTTAAATTATCTTCAGGGAGGAAGATGGAGAGGATTTTTAAAATATACACCACAACTATAATTCCCTCCTGTAACACCAAAAGAAACAAGCAATATTATCAAACTTTTGAAAACAAACAAACGAAAAACAAAAAATCCCCAGTTGATGATAATATACCTCTAATAGTCATTAAAAATCTTATCAAAAAAACTATATCCCCCTAAAAAGATTTTCAATACCATATTTCGCTATCGACACTTTCCTACTGCCTGAAAAGCATCGAAAGATTTGACAGAAGTCAGTTCTGTTTCTGATTCTGGTTCTGTAGGGCCACCATGAAATAAAAGTCAACTCTCATTTCCCAAGCCTAATTTGAACCGGCATCGCTAGTCACAAAATTGCTACAATTGGCAACACTCTCGGACATCACGACCTTACATCATAGTCCGGGAGTCCTTGGCAAAAAGGGTGTCATATTTCATAGTAAGGTTCGTCCTTATAAATTGACTATATCCACAGGCCTGACAAGAAAAATACATTTCTGCCCCCATATAGCCGCTGGAATACAAACTTGCAGCCAAGTGAAGATGGATAGAGACACTATATAGATAGTAAACATTTATATACAAAGGGATTATAGATTAAGAAAGCTACTAACCCTTTCAATTTATAATATTTACAGTCTTAAGACATGAAATAATAATCATTTACCCCATACCCGTGGATTTCAGATTGAAAAATTGAATTTACAAAAAGTTTACTTTTTTAGGTTTTTCGCTTATATCAGTGAAACTAAGCGTTCTATCTATGATGATGCCATATGTGAAATTAAAGCTGACAAAATTTTCAATAGAAATGGTTATATTAGTTTTTTTGCTATATTCTATAGTTTTCATGATATCCGTCTTCGTCATTCACTAACTTCGAGAAAAAATTGGTTTTGCATTTTATTTTTATCATTATTTGACTTGCCAATTCATTGTTTTCATTTAATGTAAAAGTCATGAGAAAGAAAGTTGTTTTATATTAAATTTTCTTTAGGAATATATATTACATTACTATCTTATCTTCAACCATTCAAAAGTTAGATCAATTATAACTTAATGATTAATGATTAAACTCTGAAGCTATACCGAAAAATATAATTTTCGGTATTACACAGCTCTTAATCTTACATTGTCTTGGATAATCCATCTGTCACTATTCGATTGATAATGGATCCATTTCGTGCCAGTTCAGAAGAGAATAACAGATTGATATTCGGTTGGCCAGGTTTGTCTCACTCAGTTTGTGTGACCCCCAAACATCGAGGCCCTCACATAGCCAAATTGTTTTAAATGCCTTTGAACGGTTCCAAAACCTATTTTCAGTGGCTCCGCAATTTATCCTTCCTGCAACGACCGGTCCTATTCGATTAGAGTCATGATATCACTCGAATCAACCTTGATGGACCGACCGCTGCAGGGTGCATCTGCGAGATGCGTATGTCTAGAACAAAATTTGACAAACCATTTTTGAGCGGTACGTTCTGTTAAAGCATCATCTCCGTAGACCTTACATATCTTTCGGTGAACCTCCGAAGCTCGCTTGCCTTTTTTTAAACAAAAAAGCAAAAAATTGTGAAAATGCACTTAATCATTTGACATATTCACTGCACTGTAGCAAAAACAAAATTAATGCCCATAAAACTAAACACAACACCTTCGAAGAGCGGACTTTGACCTTTCAAATAAGCATCATTATTTTCAGATAAGGCAAAGAAAACTAGAGATATTTGAAAACAATTCCCACTACTAACAAAAACCGAACAAACTTATGGATCCACTCATCCCTTCAATATAAGGCAGGACATATTTAATAAAATAAATGTAAAATAAAAATATTTTATGAACTTTAATTTAATAAGTTATATCTGACGATAAAAAAAAAAACTATTAAAAGCAACAAATTAATCGTAATCAGATTTGTCTTCACGATGACACAAAATGCACACAGGCTCAATTACAAGTTGGGTTTTCACGTGTATTTTTTACAATTGGTTCATGTTTTCATAATGTTTTGTTTTCCTTCCACACACATGAAATCTTCAGTTTAAAAACTTCAATTCAATTATAAACACAAAATTATCTAAGAAAAACTTAAGGTATAAGACGAGTAGGTACACCGCACGGAGTGTGCCACAACAGTTTTTCAAGCAATTAAAAAAAGTACGGGGGGTTGTGAGGGGCAGGGGTAGGTAAGAAGATAGCAGAAGGACAATAAGGGTTTCATAAACGAATATCTGTGATTACCACGACATCCGGACATTTAGAGAGATTTAACAGCCTAAAAACCGAGGCTAGTGCATCCCTGCACCAGCTGCCTTGCCCGCTTGAAGGTTAAATTATTCATTCTTTTATAGATACAAAGTCTATGAGTTTGCTCTATCTGTTGTCTAATTCAAGTAAATCATTAGCTTTATTTCTTATATAATCCTTCACAGCAAAATTATTATATTTCAACATCTCATAATTGTTTATTTTATTTTTTAGAAAAAGTAATTAAAAGATTTAGATCGGAGCCTGTGTATCTGACTGACGAAGAAGGTGTTGCAGCCCTTGAAAAAATTTTCAGCCCCAATTCTGGGTTATATGAACAGAAGAATAAAAAGATTATTTTTACACATCTCCAAAGGGTAATATAATATTAATTTTCTTGTTATTGTTGAAGAACTTATTATATGTATCGATGGCTTGTTTCTAAAACCTTGTAAATCTAATTCATGTACTCATATCTTTACATTGTTAACTTTTTTATTTCTGTTATGAATAATGGATATTTAAAATCAAAATTTGTATGCTCCACTTTTACAAATATATACAAAGAGCCTGCCTAAATGTTTTGTTTAAAAATTAAAATCTTTAGCTTTTTTAATATTTAATTTCTGAAAAATTTATAAATGTGCTTTTTACAACTACTCTGATTAATTATGGAAAATACCATTTATCAGTTTTCTAAATATTTATCTATGATTAATTTAAAATAAAATAATAATTGACATTTTTTTAATTTAACAAATTTTATTATTTCAGTTTTAACTTATTATTTATTTTCTTAACTATTTGTTTATGATTTTCAATAATAAACCATTGTAATTGATCTGAAAATTCATAAACAACCATGCTAAAAATTTGAGGTTTTACTATTTACAAATGAATTACATTTGTTATATACAAAGGAATTTTAATTACTGATTTACAACTGAATTAAGTAGAGAACTGAAGAAATATAGATAGATATTGTATATTGTTATATTATAATATTGTAAAAGTTTACAAAATTTCCTAAAAAAAAAAAAGAAAATCGTTAAAATCGGACAATTTGGAGCAAAGATATGGCCTCTAGATATTTTTTGTGTTCTACTGTAAAGGTTGGTTGTCCTTTGTAGTTGTTTTTGATTTTTGAAAGTGTTGCTGAACAATATTTTTTTTTTTTTTTGCAAATTACTAATGATGAAAAAATAATATTCAATCCAATAATAGGAATCACCTTTTATTTAATTTTTTTTTTTGTTAATATGATAATGTCACATTAGATATATAATTGTTTGAAAATAATAAACCATTGTGAAATAATTTGCAGCATTTTTTACTTTCACTTACTCTATGCATGAAATACATATTAAGGTAAAGTGTTGCAATCATGAACCAGAGTTTTCATTAGAAATACATGTTTTGAGCTCTCTGGAGTCCAAATAACCAACTCTTGCAAAATGGTCTGGGTGTCTGTATTTGAACAGCCTAGTTCAAAAACGAAAATTCGTATGAAACTGAAATTGTGTATTTAAGGTTTGTATATGGCTGGGATGTTACCAAAACTTTTTTGTCAAAATTAGCTAACCAGGAGTTTAGTTGTCACTTTATATAGTCGATTTTCCACATTTTTTCTCAAAAGCGGCTATAAGGATCTTAATTAAACTCAGCGTATCAATGTATAATTAAGTGGTCTTCAAGTATTGTCTCCATTGATATCAATTAACAAGGCTTAAATGCCAAATGTTCAACATTTTTTTCTCTAAGGTACCTTTAATTTGGTTTATTTTAAATAATTAAATTAATAACTTTTGAGAGAATTTGATAATTGTATAAAGGAGAAAAAAGGAAAAATGTTTATTTAGGTCAAAAATGAATCTCCAGAAATAATAATCAGAAGGTATACGTATAATATATTATTGGAAAGCAGAGAATTTTAGAAAAAAACAATATCTAACATAGAAAGTTGTTGAAGATAATGGAGAGTGATGAAAAAATTATAAATAATAATTTCTGAAAACTAATATTATTTAATAGAAATCATGTGTTTCCAAGGAAATCAAATGAAATTTCGCAACTAAATGTAAACTTTTAAAATTACTTATAAGTTTGAAAAAAAGTATATATAACCCACCCAATCAAGGCAATGTCATTGGTTAAAAATCCATTTCATTGTACTTGTATAGAAGAAGAAGTGAAATATAAAAATATTTCATGGATTTTTAAAAGATATGTTTATAACCTTAAATAGATTTACTGTAGTTTAATAACAATAGATCAGGTATAGTTGAATAATTAATTATCTATTGTCCGTTTATTTCAATAAATCATCATGTAACCTTTTAGCAAATTAAGTTAGTGAATAATTTGATGAATTTTCCCCTAGTGAAATTCCAACATTATCCACTTGCAATTAGTGTGACAACTTTTGACCTATCAATGACAGGCAATGAAAATCTCGTAACTTCATTTTAGTAAAATTTACAATGGTTTATAGTTTTTGTTAATTTAATGGTCTTAATGATTTGTTATATCTAAGCTTTAAGCTTTAGCTCCATTAAAATTTTAAAAAATTATTATAGCCCAATATTTCCAGAAGATAAATTCTATTCAAAAAAATGCGCCGGATTTTTTTAAATTTAAAATAATTAACGATTTCACATTGTAAACTGATAGAAATAAATATAAAATATGAAAGAATTTGATAGTTAACTAAAGGAAAAATAAGGGATCGTAGTAGAGAACTGAAGAAACCCGAGCATGCACCTGAACTTGGCTGAAGTGTTAGAATTGACACATGCTTAATAAATTACGGGTTCCGATAATATTATTCTTACATATATATGTGTAGTTTTCATAAATGCTAGCATTTCTATTATTTAATATTTAATTGTAAATATTACAGCAATATAAAAAATAAAATTTGTACATATATCAATGCTTAAACAAACAAAAATAATCACAATGCAATATTAATGAAAATATTTCCTTATCAAACCTTATTATTTAAGACTTCTTTATCAGTGGAATTCTTGTCGGACTAAAAATAATTCTGTGGCTCGTAATTTTTATTAACATCAAATAAATAATTAAAATATACAGTCTCTAAATGAAAATGTTTAGTGATTAAATAAGCATAAATATAATACATTAGACCGTTGTGAAAAACATATGGTAATTAATTGTTTTAAATAATATTTTGTACTGCCTATAAAGTTTTCTTTCACTTCCCTTTGTCTGAAAATAATTATTTCTGCAAAACAAGGGTAGTAAGTGAAAGTTGTGTTCTGCGTGTACTTAACTAGATTTTATTTTTTTTTTTTATGCTGTATTTATAGTATAGTTTTTCTATTTATTTGTTATTTTTTTATAATCTAGTGTTTTGCCAGTATTATGTCAATTTAGCCGAGGACAGATTAGGAAGAATCTAATATATGTATGATTTGTTTTCATCCTTATATTAAATTAAATGTTATCATTTATTTTTACAGACACTCGTTCATGAGATGAGGGCTCAAGATGGTAAACACCGCTCCTTTCTGAAAGAAGTAATGCGATATCTTCTTAAAAAGGTCACCATAGATAAAGGCTTTGTTCACCAGATACTTGCTAAACCACAATTTTCTTGTCCTCTTTTCCGCCTTTTAACTACTTTACATCCATACTCGACAAGTTTGACAATTTTAGCAAAGGTCAGTTATTGGTTATTAGATAATTAAAGATATATTGGTAACAATTCAAATTTATTATTCTAAAGGCATATTGAACTTTCATATTGGTATAATAATTAATAATTTGTCATCATTGTTATTTCTAAGATTTTCTATCCCTTAATTTTCAGTTTTTTTTTTAAAACCTAAGTGGTCGATGTTTTGATCAACTCGTTCATCTCCATGACCATCTATCTTGACTGAAATTTTTTATTTTTGTCAATTGGTTCTAAATCAAATTGGTCAATTCTTAATCTAAATCTGGCTTATTGTTAATGTTCCAATTCTTGATAAGGAGGAATTTTTTTATCGCCTAGAAATTGCCATAGAATTATTACATTGAGAAAGGAAGGATTGTGAATTTACCGAATCGTTCAACAGTTAAACTTAGAGCAAAGCGACATTGTAAATTGATGAAATAAATTTTAAACATCTGGTTTGGTTGAAGATAGACTTTGTAGTAGTATACCACAAAAAAAAAAAAAATAATAATAAATAACAGCCAGAAAGATCTATGAAGTGCCCAGTGATGAATTATATTTTCAAATTATCTTGTGGCCTTTCTATCAATAGTATAAAAATTTGATAAGAGAGAGAGAGAGAGAGAAACACTTTATTTTTATTTATGTTCATGTTTTTTTCAATTTTCCATTGAATAAATAAATACATAAATTAAAACTCTCAGCCTAGCCATGCTCATGGTGGTAAATGATTCCCAGGGAGTCGAGAACTATATTTTCAGTCACAAGGGCACAGAGAATTGCTAGCTGATGCCATCCTCAAAGCTACTCCTTTCCTGCTCATCGTCGCTACAAGATTAAGCATCCAAAGAAACTGAAACCTATCAAGAGGAGACTAGTTCTATCAATTGCAGCGAGATAGGAAGATAACATGAACAGTAAGCAACCAAACTTCACAAAATCCTTTCTCACATTACTAACTTTTGGGCAAGATGGCTCCTGGATATAGAATTGGAATGCAACAGCATCTTCACTGGAAAAGAAAAATTGAAAATTGATTATGATTTATTCTCAATAAAAAATGTCTTCTCATATCAGAAAACAAGCAAATCAGAGTTTGAAGCAAGCTGATTCGTTGGAACTATCTTAGTGCTAGTAGGCTTCTTAGCCACATGGTGGATGAGACATGAAACAGCAAAACTGAACTAACTTCTATAAAAAAGATATAAGTATACCTGAGAGATATCCTTAAACCCATATTAATGTCGTATTATGACAGTTGAAAAAGTTAAATTTCAATGACAGACGTAAAATTGCTGCCACCAAGGTGAATTAGGCTCTTCCCAATCCTATAAATGAAATTAGGTTAATTCAAAAGAATTTAAAATAAAATGATCTTTATATACGTGAATAAACCTTTCTAATTTTAATTACGCTCAATTTCTTCTAGTTTGATATAACTGCTAAAGGTAACGTCCAAAGAGCTGATTCTCACAGAAGACCCCTAGTTTTATGTTGTATCAAAAAGAGTTACAATTAAAACAGTCATTGATTGAAGTGAGATTACAAGAATATTGGAATAATACTTATAATGGGTTGATGATGATTGTCGTAGAGAGCTGCCGTAGCTCTAGAATTGAACCACACTGGATATTTTTCTGATAGATATTTAAAAGTGACTCGATTATGACGTCAAAGAGAGAAGGGAATGGTTCTGAGAGAATCAGTCATCTGGGAAAGTAAACAGAAAGGGAGGAGATTTGAAAGGTCAATGATTAGATATGGTGGTCCTTCATTGTCTCTTCATCTGAGAAATCTCAATCTTTATCTCCAAAATATTATTTCTAAAATTCTGTGTGAATCAAACACTTTATAACTGTTGTTATTCGCAGGGCTAATCATAAAGGTTGGCAGCTATCCCGACAATAACACCTGTGATAAATAATTATATCACAAATTTTTCTTCTGGTTGAAGAAATTTCTCATCCATTTTGAGCAAGAATCATCCAAGAGAACCTTTTATAACGCAGTTGATTGAAGGAGTTATCACTGTTCTTGCCTGACACCAACTCTGTTCAGTATGTCTGACAGAGCAGTCTAATGTCGACCAAACGTCCGCATCATTGCTCAGGAGATGAGGTTGGAAAGCTGCTGTACAAGTATGGAGAAACCTGGACCAAAATGCCATTAATCTCGTGATTATGTGCATTTCTGACAACATGCAGGCCTTAATTAGAGCTAAAGAGACAACACCGATGACTATTAATGATAAGATGGTGCGGGTCTTTACTAGAGGAGTAGTTCTTGACATCATCCCTCAAAAAGACTTAATAAAGAAAACTTATTAAACAGATAGCTTTGTAGCTCTGCCTGAAAATATCTGGAGAAGAATTGCATAATACCTAAGAAAATCCAATTAGATTATCCTGTAGACTATTACCAAAGAGTGAAATAGGTGGTGGGTGACTACCACAAATGGTTTTACCTTAAGAAAGAATTTCCCCACCATCCGGGTATGTTTGGAAGCAAAGTAAGTCTTCTCCGAACTATTGGGTCTCGCAATTCCTTACTGAGTAAAGAGTTTTCGAGCGAAGTTTTATGGCTTTAGGAAGGAAATGGATCCCCTAGACCCTATACAGGAAATGGCTGAGCACATCATCTTGAATTAAAACGCCATTTAGGCACTGAGGACTCCTCTTCCTCATAGAGAACGGTTCTGTCAGTTAATTATAGATCAGAAATTCTATACAGCGTTGCATACGTCTATTCTGTGGAGTGCGGGCCCCGGAAGAGGATCGTACTGATCCCCAACCTAGCCTTGCTCCCCAGACGGGACAAAGTTATACAAGCACTCAACCGGTGCTCATGGAATGGACATAATCCTACTCTACAGAGCTTTCCACCACTCCTCAGCACACTGAAACCAGATGGCTGGCCGGACCTTTGTCACAAACAGCTGAACACTGGTGTCATACAGAGAGCAGTTGCAAACACATGACCACTACGACCGCCATGGCCAAGCAGTGTAAGCACTCTTGCCACCCAAAGCGCCACCAGGGCTCCGGCGTTGTCCCCATAGTACCAATGTAATCAGATAAAAATAAAATTTTAATTTTCTAGTCATATCTTTTAGGTTCTGAAGCTGAAATGTCGAATAAATAATACATAATGTGATAAGGTGTATATTTGGTGACCTTTGGCTTAATGTTTTTTTTAAAAAACTTAAAATTATAATCTGACCTCAGAGCGCGATTGGTCACTAGGCTCTGCGATCATTCGTAATGAACGATCACTACAGCTTTACATCAACCACTAATGAACACAGGAGGATGCCTGTGCATCGGTGATCGATGAGGGACGACATGAACCTATGGCTCAAGTTGAGATCCGTCCCCGTAGAAATTCTATACAGATGGAAAACTGTTATAGGAATACAGCACTTCATCTTTTCTAGTTTTTAGTAAAAAGAGTGATGATGCCAAACATTTTTTGATGTGATGTAGTAAGAAGAGTGTTTTTTTTTTTTAGTTAATACAGCATTTTATGTCGCAGTTGTTGGATATATATAATTAGATTAAGTTACTACCTTGATATTATATTTAATATTATTTGTTCAGGCAATTTTGGAAACAGGATTCCCTTATCAAAAACCTAAAGCATTAGTAGACCTGTTGAATCAGTATGTTAACAAGCAAGAGAGTAAGATGGAAAAGGAAAAAGTGAAAAGAAATGGTAAGTATTAGATTAAAATTCATTTTCTAATTCAGAAGATATTATATGTTCTATTCTACAGGATGTATTATCAGGATAAACAGACCATAGACCAGGAGTTGATTTCAAACCATATTCGCAACATTCGCAGGAAGATTCGTACGAACCACGGTCCGGTTCCACATAAAAAAACCGTTTTTACTTTCTTTCATGTATGTGAAGTATATAGTAAGAGGAAGTATTGTGATCATAAAAATTTTGAATCCTAGTTTTTAACATAAATATATGGTTTGAAATCCGCTGAGTCGGAGTAACGTTTTTTGATGTTTGCATAGATCCTGCAAAATGTTCTGCTTTTTTAAAAATATTTTTATTGTCCAAGACAATAAAAATATTTCCAAACCACAGCAAATTATGTTTCTGCCTTAAAATAGGATGCCACTCAATCAAGATTTTCATCCTAACGACATTTGTAAACTATCGGACAAAATTGAACCTCATGTTTTAATAGAAGTAAAAAGTGCTAGAATTGGCTTATTATATTGGCGTATGGAAGTGGCGACCCCATCACCCGGTCATAGTACCACAGACAGCCACTGGCCCTCCAGGCTGGGGGTACAGAACACTCACACTCATACAGTAAACTAATACAGCACACTGCACTCATCCCCACACCACAAAGGTCATCAACAGTACACACCCTAAGGCCACCTTTCCTAGGTAGCGGTCACGGAGGGAGAGCAGGACCCCACCATCGGTCTTGGGTGCGGAGTGGGTTGATGCCCGAAAATTGATTCATCTCGAAACCTCAAATATAACATACCGATCGATCTCAACGATGACAACCCCGGAACTGTATAAAGGATTTTAAACTCGGAACATGGAATGTTTTATCGTTATATAGACCCGGAGCTCTGCGTAAGCTCTTGGAAAACATCGACAGGTACCACATAGACGTGGCTGCAATGGATTTATGGATGGAAAGTAAGTTAGGTGGACTGGAAAGGGATCGTTGGAGGAAAGACACCACGCCATCTATTATAGTTGTAGTGGAAATCAGCACAAATTCGGTACTGGGTTTATGGTCAAGTGAGAAATCATCCTCCAGGCCAACAGTCCACTAATCCTGAAACAATGGTTATTTTTTATTTTGACAGATTTTATTTTGTATGCTTTAAAAGATAATATTAGTGGTTTGAAGGAAAAAAAACTTCGTTTTTTTTTTTCTTCATTTTTTTCTAAAATTCTCCTTTTTCCCCCATTTCTTTTGCTTAGAATACTTAATTACTAAAATTTATCGTACCGATTCTTTCTGAACCATACCTTGTTTTTTAATAGATTATTATTTATTATGATATATTTTTATTGAATAATTTAGTAATCAAATTCAACTACATGATGTTCTCAGACGTTCCATTCGATCAAAATATGAACGCATTGACTAAAACTATTGAAAAATTAATGATCACACCCAGCTCGGAAACTGGAATGCTTATAGATAAATTAGTGAGATTGGAGCCAGAAATATTAGGAGGTTCTTTAATGGAATTACAGGTGAGTTCTATTTATAGTTGATTCTTAATACCCTGATGTATTAGTTTTTAATTTTTATTGTTTTCTATTTATTATTGTTTTTTTAATTATTATTATTGTAGATGAAATTATTGTTTTCCTCTCGGGAAATTGGAACTCTTCAATGTCGGCCTTATTTATTAACGCTCCTAACGCATCATGCAAGCTGGAATACATTAAGTGAATGTGTGGATTTGTTACTCCAGATGGAATCTCTCCATCAGTAAGTAGTACATCAATTACTAACTAGTGATACCTTGTATCTGCAAAATAGCTACTTTGCAATAGTACCAAAAAATTGTTTTATAAAAAATTTTAAAATGAAGATATCAGAAATAATAGAGAACAAGAATTGGTTTCATTTAACAGAGAAAATGTAACATTTGAGATCGTAAAAGGAATTTTTTGATTTGGATTTGTGATAGAAGTGCAGTGAGCGAGGAAGGTTGCCTAATTTAATTATGAGTTGATGCTACTGCTCACAGGTGTTGAAATAAATTTTATTCATTAAAAGTAATTCTATGACTATAAAATCCTGTTTGTGTGTGTTAAATACAGCCTTTATCCTCATAACAATCTTGATAATTAAGTATATATTTTAATTGAATGCTATTGTTTTGTTATTTTTCATTAACTGTTGTCTCTTTTTTTCTTAAAGGTTTGATCCTACACCCGTTTTAGATTACTTGAAAGCTCTTACATGTAATCCAAAGCTATGGCAAGGAAGGGAGAAACATACTGCTAAGCATTATAAACCTGAAAATGTTCTTAATCTCAGCGTTTCTCAGGTAGATATCCAATCTAATTTCATTTGGGTTGTTAAATCCCTCTTCGCGATAAAATTAAATTTAAATTCATATTTTCTGTATAATATATTTCTTAATAATGTTTGATAAAAGATTTCAGTGGTGTTCCATAGTCAATAGTCTTAATAAGTCATATAATCATTATTTTATGATTGTGATTAATATACCGGGTTTAGCAAGTAATAATTCTTTTTTTTATTTTTTTTATTTATAATCTTTACAACTGAATAAAAAAATACATCTAGTAAATTAATAATTCTTAATTTTTTTTTTTTGTGATAACTTTAGGCTGATTTCGTACTTTTTTGTGGAGAGTGAATTAGATTGTTCCTTCAGATTTTAACGCTCGGGTAAAGTTGGCTAGAGTCGACTAATTGAAATATTTTTACATATGGATTAAAATATCTCATAAACTTTTTACACTCATATATTGCAAAAAGTATTATACTGTTCTGGAATATACTAATAATTTACTTTCAGTTGAAATGCATGACAGATTACGTAGTTGCTGAAGGAATTCAATTAGAAAAGGACAAGACTTGTGGCTTGGCAAACCACATCGCAAACAGGCTATCTTTTCTTGAAAATTGCATCAGAGCAACAGATATAGAGGTTACAGTAGAGATTGCTAAACATCTTATGGATCGGCGTTTCTTATCCAGGTTATTTTCTTTTGATACAACTTTTTTATTTTCTATTTGTATCCATTTATTGAAGTATTTTTTTTTTTTTTTGTTTTCAGGGAGGAAATTGAAATGAGCCATAAATTACTTGTTCAATTATATATGAGGATACCTAGTTTTATTTCACATTTGAAAGAATCGGAAGTTTTGAAAATTTTCTTTAAATATGCGAGTATATCAGGTATTTGTAATATTTTTAAATTGAAAAGAAATTACTATATATTCTAAAGATTATTGTTCAATTTAAAAGTTAAAAACTTTCTCTAACCATGCTACTTTGGATAGAAATAGATATTTCATAAAACCTATCTATCGGTCTATCTCAGTGCTATGGCTCGGTGATGAGTTGTGGTTTCCTCCAGTAATCTCTACTCGGTGCAATCCTCATCCAGCTCCTGACTCCCAGGAAATCTTTTGCATCTCTTGCCACACCATCTGACCATCTTAGGGATTGTCTATTTCATAAATAGGAAGTGAAAATAAAAATTATATACAGTGCAGCATATTATTTTAAAAAATTAATTACCATATGTTTTCCCCACCTCCCCGTCTAATCTATTATCTATCTATACTTTTTCTGGAAATCTTGTTCCTAAATTAATGAATTATTTATTAATTCAATTTTATTTAGTCTTATGTTAATCTAATTTTTCATTTTAGTTAATGGAACAAGCACTATGGATGTCCTCTCACATAGCCTGTTGACTGCTTTAGCAGCAACTCCTAGTAACAAAGAATGGCCAAAGAGAGCTGTAGAACTGGAACTGGCTGTTCGGAAAATGGCTGCTAGTCATCCCCTATTGGTTCTCAGGTTTCATTGACAAATTTATTATCTAAGATGTCTTTCAACTAAACAAGTGTGTATTAAGTATTGATTTGGTCTATTTTCTTTGTGTTGTAGGCAGTTGCCATTGATTGCTTCTGCATTGAAAGGCCGTGTTGATTTAGACTGGAATGCTTTGAAATTCAGGAATCATCTACTTTTTTTTCAACAGACAGCGACACTTCTTGATCTGTTACAACCCCTGATTTTTCAATCAGAATATTCGACACCTCTATATAAAATATTAGATATTTATTTTGAATTATTCCAGGTATACATTATTTCCTTTATTTGTAATGTATGTTTATTAGTTGCATAGAGAGAATTTTTGATTTTTTTTATTCACATTCATTCAATGTATTATTTATACCTAAACTTGGAAGAAAGTTCAATGTGTATATAAAAATGTGATTCCCCATGGTTGTATGATATATAAATGCTAATAAATTGAACCATATAAAAAATAAGATAGTTAAAACTATATATGGGACCCTACACGGTCAATCGGAATCGCACTAATGACGTTCCGAATTGTCGTGTAAGGTAGTGAATGAAGTACTGATGGTGGTGCGCTGTGGATTTCCGAACATCCGGAAATCAAAGGTTCATTCACGAGAAGTGGAGGGGGACTAGGTAAAAGTAGTAGGGAGACTAACCATACTGCTGGATAGGTTAGGTTACCTAGGCCTCACAATCATTATAAATTTCTGATTTTCATTATATGTAAATAGTTAAATAATTTTTCATATCACTTGTTTATAATTTTAAACCATCTTCAACTATTTCTTTTAAATAGTCAAGTGGGCAACAAATTAAAAAAAAAAAATGAGGAAACTTCACAATTTACTTTAGGAAAAAAAAAAACTTTAACGTTGTGTATATTTATCAGTTCTTTTCCCATTTTCCAAATTTATTATTTTCGTAATACCTTTCCTTAATTTTTGTAAGTAGTAGACTTATTTTTTACTAACTTTTATCAAAACGATTTTCTATGAGACTAACCTTCTATGAGACTACTACTAGATAGGTTAGTTTACCTAGGTCTTGTTATTAAGTAAATAGTTGTTTATATCCTAGTCTATATTATTATTAACCATTTTGAACTATTTTTTCTTTAAATAGTCAAGAAGGCAATAAATTGAAGAGAAAAACAAGTGAAAACTTCACAATTTACTTATAGAAAAAAAATCTTTAACTGTTGTGTTTATTTGCTATAATTTTTCCATTTTTCTTAACAAATTGATTATTTTCGCAATACTTTTCCTATATTTTTGTATGTAGTTGACTTATACTTTTCTAACTTACGATTTTCAGGCACTAGGAAGTAATTATTATATCTCCGTTTTTCTCTTGATGCCCAATATTATAAATGACAATGTTCAAATAAGCATATCTATACTGTTTCTTTGTTTACAACTGAGCTAAATTGGTATCAGCAACGATAAGTAATGATCAGTAACGATTGAACGTGTAAGGATCTTCATCATCAAAGCGATTGCGGGCAATCTTGGCACTTCTTGTGACGTTCATTCAAGAATTACCGTGTAGGGTCTGCTTATACAAAACAGCTTCGGCTTTTCATTCGGCAAGAAGTTATGAAAAAAATCAAATCTTCACTCTTAAGATATTTTTTTTTATTAAACATTTTCAGAAAGTTTTTAAATTTTTTTAATATGCTTCATATATTCTAATGTTTTATTTAATTTTCTTGTTGTGTTATAATGTTAGAATCATGGGCGAGACGGAGGATCAGCTGTAGGAGCCCTTATTACTCAAGTAGTTTTGTTCTTACATAATTATATCAAAAAGAGTTCTAAAAATGCTAAAGAATATCTTCAATTTCAAGCAGAAGCTATCAGGTATAATAATAATGCCAATTCTTTCTTCATAGATATATATCTAAATGTATTTAGTATGATTCTTATTGTTGTTGTGAATGTTATTATGTTCTATTTCAGTGCCAAATCTTTCTATCATTAATGCACTTTATTAATATTTTTAGTGACCTTCAAAGTGAATATCCGATCATGGGAACATTGTGTGTTGTTGTCGCTAATCTGAAGGGAACTCCTGAAGTCATCTTAACACCATCAAATATTTCAGATCAAACTAATACTCAGTGGGATACTAAAGTTGCTCAACTTCAGAAAGATGGTTTGATTTATTAACATTCTGTTGAAGTTATTTAAATTAAGTTTCATTTGAATCAGTTTGATTCTTGATAGTTAAATTATTTATAACATTTATATATTAAATTTTCAGATCCCATTGCCTCCCTTTCTTTCATCGACTATAGCAGTGGTAAACGACCTTCAGTGATCGGCCCTGTATTTTCAATGGTTTTAAGTTACCTCTCCTCTCCAATCTCTCAAATTCGAAACCATGCAAACACACTTGTTGTGCGCTATATCAAACAAAACCCTAAGTCGGCTATTGAAGCTCTTTCTACATTCATGGACTGCCTCAATTCCAAAAACCCCGATGTTGTTGCTTCCGTGTTAGATAGGGTACCTGAACTCGTTGTGTGTTCCCAAGGTTAGTAATAGGAATTTGTATTTTTTAAACTTAAATTTCTATATTTATTATTTTTTACTCATTAATTTTATTTTTTCTAGAAATTGCTTTGCCTCTTCTTCGAAATGTCTTTAGGCTTGGTGTCAGTAAAAATCTTAACTCTATGAATTGTCTGTCAAAAGCTATTGCATTGTTGAACTTACAATCTGGCTGTTGATGTAGATATTTCTCATAAAATGAATGTTATGTATTGCCAAAATATTTTTGTATAGAATATGAAAATGTAATGTAAATATTTTATTATATTCCAGTTTCCAAGTTTATTTAAAATTAAAAGTAGTTGTGTAATTTTTTTTTTTTTTTTTCTAATTTGTTTTAGTATACCAAGTATTAAAGTTGATAACTAAATCTATCATTATTAGCCTGAAATAACGGAGGTACTGTAGCACTCTTTGTTTTCGATTGGTTCAATTTGAGCTATAATATTAGAAAAGCGGAATAAAGCTAAGCTGTAGTAGGGGTAGTTTTGCAATGTTTTAACTTCTTATATTGCAATATGGGGATCTTTGCATTATCATAAGTAACCAATTGGAGAATTCAGTCTTAAGGTATAGTCAGAAAATCCTTTCGATTTAGCATCCTACTTTGAAATAAATTTAATGATTTTCATTTGTATCAGAACAACACATATGGTGGCAGAATTTCACTCTTATTTAATTAATATATTTCATTTTTTTTCCCGGTAGTTCAAATTGAATAACAAGATTAGGTTATATCTGTGTTATAAAATGTTAACATTTATCAACATATTAAAGCCCACCTTCTACAAAATTATGCTTTCTTATAATATTTTTAATAGAAAATATCGTCTCTTGAAAGAGAAAGACAAAATATTATTTTAAGAAATGAGGATGTATCTCTGATTTTAAATTTATTATTTATTATTAGTATAATCACTTCAGTAACAAATATTATACATTTGTAATGAAATCACAGCAGACAATGTTTTTGCCGTTTTATCATTAGGTAATCAGTAAATAGGCAATTTAATTTTAAAAAACAAATTAATTTTTCAAGGTTTGGATTGGAACTGAGTATTTACCTGAACTTAATTTTTTTAATTATTAAATGTCAATTCAAATTCCTTTGTAAAAATTGTCATTTAATTTTGTCTGATTTGATGAACAAAAGTGGGGAATGAAACGTAGCAAGGTGACTGTTATAACAAAAACTCTTCTCTCATATGATATCATACCCTAGAATTGTCGTACTATCAACAGCTTCACGGCTTCAGTGGGCACCCCGCCGGCTGGGTGGCCGAATGGGTTAACGCGTTGTGCACAGTACCGCCGTTGCCCGGCAACCTGATATATGACAAATGTGTTATAAAAATAGTCATGAGTTCGCGACCCGGTGCCAAGGCATCTTTAAAATCCCCGCCCACACTCCCTGGCCCGGGAAAATCCCATATAACCTTAATGGCAAGGAAGGGGAGGACCCAAAAAAAAAAAGTTTCACTGCTTCAGGAGCGGTCAGAAAGTACTAGTATAGTGATGTCATACCTAGACTGCAGAGCAGTGCCAACAGAATAGGCTCCTTTCTATTCACTAAAGCAGTGCTCAATTGCTAGCAGTCAGTGTGATGGGCAGTACAAGCGAAGTAGTACCTTTATATAGTCAAGTTCCAAGTGCTTATTAGTAAATTATTCAGATATCAGACATAAATTTTGATAGATGGTTAGGAAAAGTAATAATTTTAGTTAACTAAAATACATTTTACAAAAATATTTAAGAATGACTATAAATAATAAACATACCCTATTGATGAAAACAATTGATTTTATTATTATTAGCATGTACATAATAAAAATGATTTAACAAACATAATAATTATGTTAACATAAAATTTGAAATATTATTGAATAAATAATTTTTGTTACCATAAGATTATTTTTTCCTAAACTGCAAAATTGTAATTGCGACTCTAAAAAAGCTATTGATATTAAAGTAGTGCTTATGTTTACACAATAATAAAACGATTGTTGTATCAGTCCTCTTTCTAGATTTTTTTTCTTTAAATAGTCTTGCTATAAAATTAGTTTCTATTCGTTAAACTGATTAAAGAACAAGTGCTATAAACAAATAACTTAATTTTATCAGTTAAACTAATTTCTAACAAATTATGAAGCCCTATTAGAAAAGTGAATAACAACAGAGGTTCCTAAATCTGTTTTCACAATCTATATTACATTGAGGCAACTTGGAGATCTAGTTTCTTTTTAATTTACATAATGATTACAATTTAACTAATGCATCTAAATGTACAAATACAAGCAATGAAAATTAATAATCGAATTGAAAAAAAAGTTAAAAAAATATCTAGTAATCAATAAAAAGTAGTACATACATAAAATCTGGTCTTAAAAAAGTTAAAGCTCTATTAACAACAAATATGCTTACACCTCTTACTTATTAACCCCCAAAATATTGTATATTTCTTGTGTGTGTGTGTTTGTGTGCCAATTTATACAGATGTACACACATTTTCCTTCAAACAAGAAAAAAAAAAAAAACAGAAACTTTCTGTTTCCATAAAATACATAACATTCAACATTTCCTTACATAGTACAATTAATTTTTTTTTGTTTACTTTCAACTAATAATTCCTATACACTTCTTAAAGAACAATAAAATACTATACAGAAAAATAAAGTCGATAACTAATAAAAACTGGTAGCTCGTTATCACTTACCTACATCCATAATAGACAGTTACAAAATTATTTCTAAATATATATATATATATATACATACAATACAGCAAGAAAACAATATAATAAATCTTGTATTTACGGGAAGTGCTGTATATACAAACCAAAAAGTTGATCTTACATCTCTAACTACCAATTACATTTACATATAAAAATGTTCATAGTCAGAATAGATATACATTCACTGTATACATTATTTATATACAGAATATTCTTATAATTAGCACAGTCAGATGTGTAGAACATTAAATGTCACAGAAGTAGCAATCAATGATTGTTACAATTAAGACTTAAAATACAATAAAAATTATTCGGATAACAATAGAATAGTAAATATTCAATAAACTAATATTTCATGTAGCATCTATCGAAGGATTTTAAGTTTCCCAGTGTTTGTACCATATACAAAAGCTTCACCTGGCGTTGGAGCCCAACGAATACAATTAAGGCTCATGAAGTCAGTAGATTCACGGGACATATCTAATTCCCTAACTAGCACCAATCTTCCTTTTGAAGGTAGATTTTTCGATGGCTTACCTCCTTCTAATCTGAATATCTATAAATCATAAATAATTTATTCAAGAATTTAAATAACACAAAAGCAATTATATAAATTCCATAGAAAGAAGATCTAATTTCAGAAATTCCAACATTAATTAAATCACATCTATGAGATTATATTATTTATAAAATGCTGAAAATTATTAAACAATGGTTTATTATTTCCAAACAGTTATATAGCATAAGTAAGACTACTTTCCTTGTCAGCTAGAGGAAAATATAGATAGATAGATAGTTTATTTATTTGTCTAAGGAAATTCCTGTACAAATAAATATAATGGTATAATTAACAATGTTAGATCTTGAGTATAGTACTGCATTCAAACATAACATTAACAATGTCCACAGCATTAAGTATGACTAATATAATAACAGATTAGTAAACAATATATATATATATATATATATATATATATATACATAACAATTAGTAAAACATTTTTTTTTATTTTTTTAAATATTCGAGAGGTATATATGACAAATGACAATATAAATAAGCATTAATATATGTTATATAATTAACTTTACCACTTAACAGTTCAATGAACAGCCCTGTATGAAATAATACAGTTGGTTTATTTTTTTTTTCGTAGTGTCTATTTTCAGTATCTCCTCCAACACTCCTCAGTATCTTCTCTGGATTCAGTGATAAATACCTTCAAGTACTTATTTCTTGGCTCGTTGAAATTGATACATTGGATCAGAAAATGAGTTACCGGGTCAGTTACAAGGCAGTTGCATGGACCACATACCTCACTGGATTTAATAGTCAAAGTGGCATCTTTTAAGTATATTTTCATAAAATTTTTACTTGCTACTCTGAGATGACTAACGGCTCTTAATTTGTTTAAATTCGGAGCCCTGAACTGAAGATAATCCTCTGGTCTGGTAACATTAAAGGAGCTTTTTTCAACACTTAATGGAGATCTTCCACTTTCAAGGCGAGCCACATAGTTCGGTGTATTTCTTGGCCAATGGAGCAATGATTTGATAAATCGAACTTGTGTCCTCTCCAAAACCTCCAGGTATCTCGTCCCCCAGATCTCTGCAGCATAGAGTAGTGTTGACGAGACCATCGAGTCAAAGAGGCTGGTTTTTGTCTCCCAAGAGTCGCTTTTTCCATTTCTTAGGATTGTCATCACTTTGGTCGCTGCAACAGATGATCTATGTAAGAAATGCTCCGCGGCTCTCTCAAATTTTCCAGAAGAAGAAAAGGGTACACCCAGATATGTGTAGTTTCTGGTATACTCCAAACTTGTGTCTCGCCAAGCCAAAGTCTTAAGTTTCTTCATCCTTGGAGATCTATGGAACACCAACACCTTAAGACTTAGATGGATTTAGGGTCAAAGATTTGCTTTTATAGAATTCGCTCAATATATTGATGTTTCTTTGTGCACCATGCCACGAATTACTGAGGAGCACAATATCAACCGCTAACAGAAGCATAACTACTTCATGGTTGTGATCTATACTAATACCAACAGCTCCTCGGTCACGGAAGTACTCAACTATATCCGACACAAACAGGATAAACAATGCAGGACTAAGACTGCCCCAGCTAGAGGAAAATATATAAAATGTGATTCCCAATATAGGTCTAAATAATTTTTATTTTCATCATTAGTAATTTGCTCAGAAATAAAGACAACCATCTAGATGGCTTCAGGCAATGTATGACAGTCAAAAATCAAAGTAAGGATATCAGCTTGGCATCAGAACATTTGGAAAATATCTAGAAAATATATCTTTGCACCTGTCCAATTTTAACATCTCTTTTTTTTTAGTTTTTTGGAAATTGTCTAAACTTTCAAATGACCACAATACAACATCCACAAAAAAAGAGTATATTTTTTAATTATTCGGAAATTTAATTTTACAAACATTCTTAACTTTTTTCCCACATTCTATACGCTGAAGTATGTTACCTAGATAAATTTAAAGAGTTTCGAAAGAGAAGACTAAAGCCATTTCATTGAAATCGGTATGTTCATTTTGGCGAAACAGTCTATACAATACAGGTTTTTCAGACACCATCTTGATAGGAAAGTACTTTTCGGTGAAGTATGATATATACATAAATTTAATGAGCTTTGAGGAGGAGACTTGGTTAAGTTTCATTAAAATTAGTACATTAGTTTTAGTTTATGCACTACAGTCTATAGCGACACAGGTTTTTGGCAGCCTCTTGAAAGAAAAGGGCTGGTAATGCCAAGTTCTGACGATTATCCTCCAGTCTCCTGTAACATTGATACCGAAACTCAAAACAATGGTCCAGTAGCCTCAGAGAAAAGAGGACGGGGTGGCCGAGTGTGCTAACACATGTGCACAGTACCGTGCATTGCCCAGTAACCTGATAACCGAAGTCTCAGATAGAAAAATAATTACAAGTTCAATTCCCGGTGCCCAATGGTACTTTTAACACGGCACAATTCCCCTGGTCCGGGGAAAAACCAATGTAGCCTAAAAGGCAAGGAAGGGGAGACACTGGTAAGAGCTGTTGTTTAGAGAATCAGACAGACAGCATTTAGCAGATGAGAACAAATCTGTAAAATATTAAAAAATCTGGTGCGCACAACACACAACTTTCACTTACCGCTCAACTCGACTAGAAATTATTTTCTGGCCATATTGGACGATTATAAAATTTCTGAATTGCATTTTTAACTGAGCTAAAGCTAAAAGATTACAGCTAACAAATCATAAACAATTAAAATAACAAAAGTCCTATATATTTATCACTGAGGGTGATTATGGATTGCATGGATTATGGATTCTATTGGAATATCTAAGAGAAAAATTTATCAAATTATACACTAATTTAATTTTCTAAAAGGTTACATAATGCTTTTTAGGAATAAACGGACAATAGATGCCTAATTATTTAAATATATATCAGATCTAGAGTTATTACACTATAGTAAATATATTTAAGGTTATAAACGTATCCATGAAATATTTTTATATTTCCCTTTTTCTTTCACATAAGTACAATGAAATAGTATCTTAAATAATGCCATTGCCTTGAATCCGTGGGTTTTAAATACTTTTTCAAACTAAAATTTAAATTTTACATTTATTTAGTAAATTTCATTTAATTTCCTTGAAAACATGGGATTTACGTTAGATATTATTAATTTTCAAAAATTGTTATTATTTATAATTGTTTTGCCACTCTCCGTTACCTTCTACAACTTTCTATATTAGAATTGTTTTTTCCTTAAATTTCCACTTCCACGAGTTTTCAAGGAAATTAAATGAAATTTACTAAATAAATGTAAACTTTAAAGTTTAGTTTGAAAAAGTATTTATAACCCACGGATTCAAGGCAATGGCATTATTTAAGATACTATTTCATTGTACTTATGTGAAAGAAAAAGGGAAATATAAAAATATTTCATGGATACGTTTATAACCTTAAATATATTTACTGTAGTGTAATAACTCTAGATCTGATATTATATTTAAATAATTAGGTATCAATGTCTGTTTATTCCGAAAAATATCATGTAAACTTTTAGAAAATTAAATCAGGTGAATAATTTGATGAATTTTCCCTTTGTGATATTCCAAGTGTCCACTTCCAATTAGTGAAATGAAATGAAATGAAAAAAAATTTTATTATTCTGGAACTGTTGTCCCTTAAGAACAAAATATAAATACAGATTGTATGTCTGTGTGGTTATAATTAGATTGTATATTTACAATAAGAGTTGGCTTAAGATAAAAATACTGAAAAGAGAAAGAAAAGAACAAGTAAATTGTACATATATATGAGAAACTAAAATAACCTTAATAAATTGAGGTAGTCTCTGGCGGTGCTTAGATATTTCTCTTAACTTTATTTCACAATCAGTCGAATTGAGAAAGGAGTAGGTGCTTAAAGAAGAGAGGTTTGAAAGAGGAAACTAATTGAGCGTGTCAAATATCAGCAGGGATGGAATTCCAGAGGGAGGCGGCTTGTATTGCAAATGATTTGTCAAACACAGCAGTTCGGTGAGGAGAAGGATAGAGGTTGGAAGTACGAGATCTGGTGGGACGGAATTGGATGGAGTATTTGAATTGTAAGCTGTGAAAAATATAGGAAGGTCGATGAGTTCTAATAATTCGGTACAGAAAGGTGGCTAGGAAGTACTGATGGCGATAGGATGGGTAGAGCCACCTCAACTCAGTGTAATACTGGCTAATATGCGTATCCCTTGAGATTCCGAAAACAAATCGTAGTGCGCAATTTATTAGGCGTTCAAGTTTGGCAAGTCGGCATACAGGTGGTATTGACAGTGCAGGATAGAGGATGGGAGGTCATTTTAAGTGAGCGTTGAGGTTATCAGCAGAAGCGGAATTGGACTGAGACTGGGGTGCATTACCAATGGTCAGTTTTCTAAGAATGGTCCATGTGGCCTTGGTATTGGAAGAGTTGGATAGGGAATGATGGTAGTAACGGGATTTAGCATGGCGTACTGCTGATTGAGTGCTGTTTCGAAGCTGTTTGTAGGAGAGAAAATCATCAGTAAGTCGAGTTCGTTTAAACCATCGCCTTGCAGCATCTCTTTCTCTCATACACTCCCTCAAAGCAGGAGTAAGCCAAGGAGCTGGAGGATATCGGATGGTTTTTGTGATAAGAGGAGCATGTCGGTCGAGGATAGAGTGAAGTTGAGTGGTAAGGGTTTCTACCATGGTGTCTATGGATTTTGAGGTGTGACAACTTTTGACCTTTCTATGACAGACAATGCAAATTTCTTAATTCCATTTTAGTAAACTTTGCAATGGAAAATAACAGTTTAATAACTAATAGTCGTACAATCCATAATCATTTATAGGTTAAATATACAGATATACTTTCAAATCTATCTAGGCATACATAGCTCAGAGACTAAAGTTATGTGGTTTACCAATGGAGTACAACCCATAATCAACCAGTGATATAATAAATAGGACTTTTGTTATTTTAATGATATTTATGATTTGTTAGCAGTAAGCTTTTAGCTTTAGCTTGGTTAAAAATGCAATTCAAAAATTTTATAATAGAACAACATGGCCAGAAAATAATTTCTATTCAAAGTTGAGCGGTAAGTGAAAGTTGTGTGTGCACCAGATTTTTTATTTAAGAATTATTTTGTCATCAAGAAAAATCATAATAACAATCTTTAAAGTAAAATAGTCACTCAGGTTAAAGTCAGGACTCATTAATGGTCAGGTAACATCATCTCTTTGTTATTTACTGTTCCAACTAAAGGTTTTGGTGCAAGGCAAGTGGCACTACCTTGAAAAAGTCAAAAACAATAGTGTCAAGAAATTTGAAGAATTTTCAATTTAAATATACATACCTGTGCTATAGTTTGACGATCTGTATGAAAGAAATGTACTCTTCGAGATGCGAGTCCAACGATGAGATGCCTTGTAGTAGGTGATAAACTTACTGAAACTGCATTCTGTTCAAAACTGGTTGTATAAAGACATTGCCCAAGGGACTCCCATTGTAAGCTATAAACACCTGAAATTATATCAACAAAGAAATTATTGAACAGAGCTGCAATGAAGTATGTATACTTTTTGAATACAATTCATCTATCAAGTAATAATCAGTATAGCATTAAGAAAGCAAAGACTCACCAAGCATAGTAGTTATAGATAATCTCCCGGATGGTAAAAGAGAAACAAGGAGTTTACCATCATTAGAAATGTCGACACTGGCATCATTATGTATTTTACACTCCGAAACAACAATATTTTTATCAGCTGGAAAAAACAAAACAAATAATTTGTAACAACAAAAAATTATTAAATTAAGTAAAGTATATTAAGCAACAGATGTGATGGGAATAATCAGATGGCCTTTTGAAAGTGGTAAAGTAACAACCAGACATAACTGTGCCTGGTAACATAACACATTGGAGGTAGAAGCTATATTTTCAAACGAATTTATCATAAATTTTCAATTTTATTTTTAGTTTTTTGAAACTGGATTAAACTTATTTTTGACTATTTTATATTTATATAAATATATATATGACGGAGTTACCTGTTGTCTACTTAACAGCAGACCAACACTAATTTGACAAATTATATAACTGTTCGTGTAATTGTACCTACTCATAGCTCAAATTGCATAACTGTAATATACATGTATTTTGTAATTCAGATTGTATTATTTTTTATCCACATAAAACAAAACCACTGAGTGAGGGAGTGCCTGAGAACGAACCTCGTATTGAAGGTAACGTAGAGGTAGGTCATGGATGATAGACAGAATACTTGTTTGTAAATAATTTTCATTCTGTTAGTCTGCTTTGATTGTAAATTCAGGGTTAAATTTGTTGTAATAATAAATTCTTAGTTCTCATGGTGTACTGAGTCAAAGTGATTATTTAATCTTGACACCAACATACACTCAGTTCGGATATAGTTATAGCTAATTTTTAATTTCTTTAAAAATCTATATTACACATTGTGCCTAATTGCCAATTTATATTATTATCATTATTCTTATTACTAATTTGTAATAACTATTAAATAGTTTAATTTAATTAACTATAGATAATATGGTTGGGGGTCGTAATCACAATGAAAAACACAAATAAAAATTTAAAACATATATTTTATTTTGTGCTGAGTGATGAGGAAAAAAGAGATAACAAAAGTAACACATATTTTGTTTTCGTATCTTTTTATAATAGAATCGCAATAGTTTTTGTTTGGTTGTTATCATGTCTTTCCTCAGCCCTGATGAAGCGCTGAAAGTTAGGCTGACATGCCAGCACAAAATAAAATAATTTATTTTTATTTGTGTTTCTCACTGTGACTGGAATCCTCAACTATATTAGTGAGAGGACATTATAACTACATTGGAATCTAAATAACAAGGCCCAATAAACAATAATCGTAATAATGTAGTGGCAAATTTTACCACAACTGTTTATGAAGGGACTTCTAATCATTACTGCAACAAATAGCTGTTAATTCAATTTAAAATAAATTGCCTTTCTAAATACCAAAATATTAACACTTGATGAAAATGGAAGGAAGATATTAAAATTTAGAACTAATGACAACTTTCAATTGATGGTTATTATACCCAACAGTACTGAATTCCAAACATTTTCCTCCCACCTGGTAGACATCCCAATATTGCAGGAAATTTTTCTAGCTCCATTATCAATGTCTTTTGTGAAATTAAAGAACTTCTTTGAGTGTTTACAAGAAATAAAACAAAACAAAAATTGATATTCTAAGAAAACCTGTCAATATTATTGTCATTAAAATTCCCTTTGTCTTAAAAAATGTCATTTTTATCTTATTCATAATGAAAACACCTTGGGTACAAAGTAAGAAGAGCTTATGTATTATAGTAAAGTCTCAAATTCATAACTATCAAGAGTTGATTCATTGGTGTCCAGGAATTTAATAATTTGCCACAATAGGTGACGCGCATTTTCTAAGTGATGAAAATAAAAATTATATTTCTTTACAATCATTAAATAGATATTGTAATGACAATATAATATGCATAATGGATTCTAAAATTTTAAATATATAAAAGCAACTACAAGTATAATAAAAAATTTTCTTAATTGAAAATAACATTATATTTTAAATATAATATTAATACAAACCAATATGTATTTCTGGAAGGGCATATTTTGTGAAATCCCAGGCTTGAATTCTATGATGAGGGGCCATTGGAGTATCACTGAGAAGCATTGAAGCTGATGTAGCTGCACAACATTAAAAATAAATTTTAAAACTAAAGAAATACCTTTAAAAAAAAAAAAAAAAAAAATATATATATATATATAACAACAATATATATATATATATATATATTGTAGATGTATTTTACAATATTCATCAATTTATATATTTTTAATGAAATAGAATGAATATTTCACTCTACGAATTATTAAACCCGTATTTTGTAGGATTAATGTTGAATAAATGTATGTTTTATTTGTAATGTATGGTTCAATCTTTGCAATTAATTAATTTTAATGATTGATGCAAACCACAGAAATTTATGTTGTTATTGAGGAAAAGTTTCTATGGTTATTAAGTGAGGAAAACTTATCACTGTTCAAAGAATTCATTTATGGATGAAAGTTGGCAGTGGATAACGCCCATTTAAACATTGGAGCTCAGAGACGAGGATCAGCACCAGGAAGACTGAAGTGAACCCCCCTTTTTTTTAAAATTTATTTTATTTTATTTTTATTTTATAACCCCTACCCACCATTTCTGGGATACGGAGGGGTTGCTCTAGAGATACAACCAAACCGATTCTAACCAGAGTGGGAAGATCAAGTTTCGTTCCATGAGTACGACACAAAATAAAAGTGAACCCTCCCAGGCCGGATTCGAGCCGGCGTCGTTAGGCACAAAGATGCTAGACCGGGCAACGCTGCAACATACTCGGCCATCACGATCTCAACACTGAAGTCACCCTTCACTGTAGCCCACAGAAGATTTATAAAAAACAAGCAATAGAGAAGTTTATACATTCATTAGTGTATTGGTAGGCATCCCACTAGAGCAAACATCATATTACCAAATAGACAGGGAGTGAGAAGCATAAATAAATAAAGATAGGCTAATGGCTGAAAATTCATTATTTGGATTATAAATTAGAGTTCTCAATTGGCAGAAAAGTAAAAATTCAACAAAATATATAATCCTTACTAAAATGGGTAATGAAAAATCAAATCCATAAGTTCTTTACCTCTCAAGAAAAATAGATCATTCCTATCATGAGATGAATCCTCACTGGAGTCGTCAACAAACGCAGGAAGGCGATATCTTGGATGCAGAAATCTTGGCCTGAATGTTGGTGGCATTGCAGGAGGGGGTGATTCCCGCAGTGTATTGGATGGGTTGTCTGGAGGAGGAGGACCATCATTTACTCTCAGTACCGGAAGACTACTTCTAGACCCTGCAATCCAAAGGAAGTACATATAGTATAGGACAATTGATTCTGATAATTGGGTCATATTCATATGAGCTGCTTATTTCCAAAGCAGATCCTAATCAATTTTTATGGAAATCGAGATAAATATTGATTCTTATTTTAATACATCAAATGAATCTGATGGTACAGAAAGTGGTGTGAAAGTAAGTTTATTTCCAAGACTGATCTTTTCTAAAGAAATTAGTGAAATTTGCATTTCTTAAGTATTCTAAGAAAACAAATAAATTCATCAACAGCTTTCTTAACCATTTTTATTCAGATGAAAACTAAAAGTAATATTTATACTTATTTTACACTAAACTTGTATTTTTGCTTACGTTTCAGGCCTTAATCAGGACTATCCTCACAAAAAGGTGCTGTAACACCTACTTACGTCACTTCCATGTTCAGAACCTCATCTTGCGGCACCTTTTGTGAGAATAGCCCTGGCAAAAGCCTGAAACTGGAGACAGAATGTTGGCAAAAATAAATATAATTTATTTAAAGTTTTTATAAAATATTAGGCCAAAGGTCACTAATGTATACAGTTTTTACATCCTGTATTATTAATTCGACATTTCAGCTTCCAGAGCCATTTTTAAAATCCTGCAAACTAATTTTATTTCAGTTGTTATACTTAAAAATACATCTTAATAAAATCTAATAATCTTTATAAAAATACATATTAATTTAACAACAATCAATTATATAAATTTTGGCCTAATATTTTATAAAAACTTTTCAAAAAAGGCAGCAAACCTAAAAGATATGACTAGAAAATATGATCTATTTAATTTTACTTTGTTATTTTTTTAACAGAACACCTCAAACTTTTTTTTTTGTTCTCCCTTTTCTCGCCTTTTAGGTTACACAGGGTTTTCCCGGAACAGGGAGTGAGGGCGGAGGATTAATGCCAAGTTAAAAGAACCCCTTGGCACCGGGATGCAAACTTGCAATTATTTTATCATTTATATATAACTTAGTTATCAGGTAACTGGGTAACGGGCGGTGCTGTGCACACAGTACACACGCGTTAGCCCGCTTGGCCACCCCGCTCCTTGAACACCTCAACCAACTTCTCTTCAATATATCTATGGCAGTCAATCATTAGTCCACTTGGAGGGTTATCAGGAATCGATGAGGAAGCAAGTTTAGAAACAAGGATTAGGATGATTCTGAGGTTTATTATGGAAGGATAGGAGGTATCTGGATTGGGCCGAATCAGAAACATATGGAACATTCAGGTCATTATGGATTATTTTATTTGTTACAAAGTAAGGAGCATTAAGGATTTTATGAAGGATTTTGGATTGTAAAGATTGGATACGAGAGGAATTCGATGGTTTATTGGAGCCCCAAAGCTCAACTCCTTAAGTCCAAATAGGTCTTATTATGGTCATGTTGTAATTAATTGAAAGGTTAGAGCGTTTGTCTAGTAAGTGCTGAAATAGTTGGAAACATTGAGCGGTTTCTTGTCGTTTCAGTCTGGTATGAGGATTCCAAGTTAGACATTTGTCCAGGTGGATTTCTAGGTATCGAATTTGTTCAACAGGGATAAGTGGGGTATTATTAAAGGATACTGTAGTATAGAAAATCATAGGTTTATGACGAAGAGTAAAGGTAAATTGGTGGGGTTTATTGGAATTCAAATTCTCCAGTTTTGACACCATTCTTCAAGGTTTGTGATATGAGATTGAAGGGTTTGGGATGCCATTGTTGGGTAGTTATGAACTGATAGGGCACGTGTGTCATCAGCATAGGTTGTAATAACAGAGTTTGGATGGGTTGGAATGTCTGCTATATAGACTGTGTAAAGAATAGGACCTAGGATACTACCTTGAGGAACTCCAGTGGACTGGAAAAAGAGGGATGAATAGGCATTGTTGTGATTTACTTTGAAGTATCTATTAGTTAGTTAGGAAGGAATAATGAGAAAGTATGTAGGTGGTAGGAATTTACAGAGTTTGTACAGCAGTTCCGGAGCCGGACAATACAGAGGAGGCTACGTCTACCACACGATGGCATTGCTAGATAGTGGTATGGGAAGTGCGAAATCCAAATTGGTGATCAAGGATTATATGATTAGAATTTAGGATAACTTTCGTCACAAATAAAATCATCCATAACGACCATAATGTTCCATATGATTCCGATTTGGCCCAATCCAGATACCTATCCTTCCATAATAAACCTCAGAACCATCCTAATCCTCTAGTTTCTAAACTTGCTTCTTCCTCGATCCCTGATAACCCTCCTAGGTTTCTGAAAAGAAGATGGCCTAGTGATCTCATAATTTAGAAACTTTATTAGAGTGCTACCAATGGGTAGATTCTCTACAAGCCTTGTGATGTCATGTATTTATCTATATAACATTTACTGAATGTATTTTAAATGTACAGTTTTAAATTTCATAAATAGTAAAAATAAAAAAAAAAGAAGCTTCATCTAACGTACATTTAATTATTTTTAGTTGAAATAAGTAACCATTTCACATTGATCTCTAATATAAAAATCTGGTGCGCGCAACACACAACTTTCACTTACTCTTTGAACTTTGAATAAAAATTATTTTCTGGCCATGTTAGGCTATTATAAAATGTTTTAAATTGCATTTTAAACTGAGCTAAAGCTAAAAAAACACAAATGCTATTAAAATAACAAAAGTCCTATTTATTATATCACCGGTTGATTATGGATTGTACGATTCGTTGATTATGGATTGTTCGATCCATTGATTATGGATTGTACGACTATAAGTCATTAAACTGTTATTTTCCATTGCAAAGTTTATTAAAATGGAATTAAGAGATTTGCAGTGTCTGTCATAGACAGGTCAAAAGTTGTCACACTAATTGTAAGTGGATTCTGTTGGAATATCCCAAAAAGAAGAATTATCAAACTATTCACTAATTTAATTTTCTAAAAGGTTACATGATGATTTTTCGGAATAAACGGACGATAGATATCTAAATATTTAAATATATTATGAGATCTCGAGTTATTAAACTACAGTAAATATATTTAGGGCTATAAACGTATCTATGAAAGATTTTTGTATTTCACTTCTTTTTTCACACAAGTACAATGAAATGAGAAGATATTTGTGAAATAGAGGAATATCACAAAGAGAAGATCTATCGAATTATTCACTAATTTAGTTTTCTAATAAGTTATATGACAATATTTTGGAATTAACTTTAATACCTAATTATTTATAGAGAAATACTTTATTAAAAGTAAGGCTGCCCTACTACATAAGGTTGCTTCGTACACAGCATACTTATCAATCCATACAGACATTAATTTTATATTATATTTTTCTTTTTTTTTTTCTCCCCCTTCATAACAATACTCTTACAAATTATCAACAATAAGCCATATTAAACAATAGACATAGCATAATAAACACTTTCCCAAAATAAAAAAAAATTCCTTTTTTCTCTTTAAATTCTCAAACGCCAGGAACGCAATATAACATCTCACACATATATAACACCGCAATTCCTTGAATGTAGCCAAAAATATAAGACGATTATGGACCAATTTAAAATTTAATAAATAATTACTAAACTACAGTAAAGGTATTTAATATTATAAACACATGATTTATACATCCATGAAATGATTTTATATTTTATTTCTTCTTTCACACAAGTACACTGAAATAGTTTTTTTAACAATGCCATCAATTTGCTTAATTGGATTTTAAATACATTTAAAAAAAATTAGCATTACCTTATTAACACATTCAAAATTCACAAAACCGAAACAAAGGATATAACCATTGCAGCAGAACATATTAAAAAAAAAACTAGAGACCATATCTTATCTCCTTATTGTCCGATTATAACGATTTTTTTTTTGTTTTTTAGGCTATTCCATAAACTTTTAGAAAACCATATACAACAAGAAAAAAAATAAAAATGCAGAAAAACGTAGCTATAGACTGTAGCGCCTAAACGAATGTACCGATTTCATTGAGACTTCGCTAAAGTCATTTTCTCGACACTCTTCAAATTTATCTATATAACATTCATCAGCGAAGAGAAGCTGAAAAAAAGTTACGAGGGGTGGTAAAATTAAATTCCGAATAACTCAAAAAGTATACACTTTTTTGGGAATGTTGTGATAAGATGTTTCAAAGGTATTTAAATTGCCTAAAAAACAAAAGAAGTTTCATCGAAATTGAAGCACTATTAGTAGAGATATCGCGATTTTTAAATATTTTTACTTTCACTTACATATATATGTAATATATAGTAAGTGTAAGTACTGCAATCGAGAAAATTTTTGAATCTGAGTTTTCGACGGATTTATACGTTTTGAGGTACCCTGAGTAAAAATGACCAAGTACCGACAAATGGTCTGTGTGTTTGTATGTTAGCAGTCTAGCTTAAAAACGAAAAGTCCTATGAAACTGATATCACGTATTTAAGATAGGTATATGCCTTAGTTGTGATGGCAACTTTTTCCTTAAAATCGGCTAACCGGAATTGCCACTTTATATCAACGCTGAAACACATTTTCACAATTTTCTCAAAAACGGCTCTAACGATTTTGATTAAACTCGGTGTATCATTGTATAATTAAGTGGTCTTTAATATAAATTAGGTCTTATCCCCATTGATGTCACTTTAGAGGGCTTAAATGCCCAATGTTCATATACGTCTTCCTCTAAAGTACCTTTAATATGGTTTATTTTAAAAAGATAATTATTTCGCATTATTCAGAGTTACGAAAAAATGCTAAATATAACTTTTGAAAGAATTTGATAAGTTAATAAAGGAGAAAAAAAATAAAAATGCAGAAAAACGTAGCTATAGACTGTAGCGCCTAAACGAATATACCGATTTCATTGAAACTTCGAACTTCGAGTTTAATCAAAATCTTTAGAGCCGTTTTTGAGAAAATTGTGAAAATGTGTTTCAGCGTTGATATAAAGTGGCACTTCCGGTTAGCCGATTTTAAGGAAAAAGTTGCCGTCA